ACTTTGCAGCTGCAGATAGACTCATTTTCTATTGTGAATTTCCAGTTGCAACTACAGAGCAATTAAGATGGGGAAGGGAATTCCTTTCCCTTAAGTAACATTGAAGGCAAGGAGTACCTCAGCAGTGTATAGTTGCTCATGATTAACGAATCATATTGCACCTCACATATTACTAACTTTGGTGCCCCTGCCCATGGAAGGTCCCTTAAGAGTTCTTACTGATCCAGCTAAGCATTCATAGTAGCAGAGAAATATGAAATGCAAACTTAAATCTGCTTTAGAGAGTGATAACTTGTACAGTGGTGCCTTGCTTAATGATGATAATCCGTTCCAGGAAAATCGCCGTGAAGTGAAAACATGGTAAAGCGAAATTAAAAACCCTATTGAAACGCATTGAAACCCGTTCAATGCGTTCCAATGGGGTAAAAACTCACAGTCCAGCGAAGATCCTCCATACGACGGCCATTTTCACTGCCTATATAGCAAGGAATCAGTCCCTAAACACAATGGGGAGCCATTTTAAGCAGCCGGTGGCCATTTTGAAAACCCCACGAGCAGTTGTTTTTGACTGTTTTTGATCGTCGTAAAGTGAAAATTGGTTCCCTAAGCAGGGGACCGATCATTGCTAAGCGAAATTCCCCCATTTAGACCATCGTTTTGCAATCGCAATTGCGAAAGCGGACTCTTCGTAATGCGAGGCAGTCGTTAAGCGAGGCACCACTGTATAATTGAAAGGCACAGATCTTTCCCTCTCTAGTCAGTGCAGACATGTGTCTCTGAAAAGACAGTCCAGAGGGGGCTAGGGAGCACTACAGTGGGAGTGGTGAAAGAAGAAAGTCTGATGGAGGATGCTTAGCCTTCTGTTTGTGTAGCTGCTGGCTGAATTTTGAAATGTGTTGTAGAAATTCTCAAAAAAATTAACAAACAAATATCTTTTGGCCTCCTGCTAGAAATCTTAGCATTTCATTGGACTGAAATAATATGTGTGGTAGAATATATCCAGCCAAGTGAACAATCTAATCTTGATAGTATGACTGATGGAGATTGGCCAGAGCCCTGTTGTGCTCCCAGCTAAACTAGATCCATTGAAATTAATTGTTGAATAGCAAATAAATCAACTGTTAGTAAATCACACTAATTCAGGGAATATGCTCTGGTTGGGACTATCAGTAGGATTCTGGCTCTTGTTGAAAGTGGTGAGTGAATTAAAAAAGCAGCTGCCACTCACACTGTGAGAATCTGACTTTGCTGCTCTAACAAGTGTTTTTAGAAGTATTTCTTTAAAGTATGGTGTACACTAAGCTGAACAAAGACTTGGAAACGAACAGGTGTCGAACTGCAAAAATAACTTATAGAGGCAAAAATAAAGTGGGGAGAGGGGGAAAATATAAAATACTGCAGCAAAGCAAAGTATTCTGCTTATATACAACCCTATAATTCTTAAAATACAGTGGTGCCTCTCATTACGATGTTAATTCGTTCCAGCGAAATCGCTATTGAAGAAAAACGTCGCAATGCAAAATAAAAAAAGCCCATAGAAACGCATTAAAATGCGATTAATGTATTCCTATGGGCTTAAAACTCACAGTTCAGCGAAGATCCTCCATAGCGCGGCCATTTCTGGTGCCTCTTAAGCAAGGAATCCCTCCCAGAAAACAGCGGGCAGCCATGTTTTTTCCCGGTGGCCATTTTGAAACCGCCGATCAGCTGTGCGAAAATGATGGCTTTGCGATGATCGGTTCCCTAAGCAGGGAACCGATCATCACAAAGCGAAATTCCCCCATAGGTAACATCGCAAAAATTTAGTTGCTATGCGATTTCATCGCTAAGCGGAGCGCTCGCTAAGCAAGGCACCACTGTACTCTCTGGGCAGTTTGCAGTTTAGTTATGCAGGCTACACATTGTGTGCCTCCCCCCCCCCCGCCCCGGTAAGCTGGGTACTCAGTTTACTGACTTTGGAAGAATAGGAGGTTGAGTGAACTTCTAGCTGGCTACCTGGGATTGAACCTTAGTCGTGAGCAGAGTTTTGACTGCAGTATTGCAGTTTAACCACTGCGCCATGAGGCACATTAAAGACTAACAAATTTATTCCAGCTGTGATTTTTGTGGATCAAAATCCGCTTCCTCAGACCCAGGTGTGAAAATATATGGTGGCTTCCTTTATATATATATATACATAGAATGGGGAGAGTATTTTGAGGGCATACTTATAGACCATTAATTATTGGAAATGGCTGAACCAAATCTGCATTGTATTGTTCAGAATTAATTCTGATTAAATTGCAGGTTATCTTTTGTCCTTTTTAGCTACTGGGTTGGGTGAGACAGCCTCTTGTGTTCTATCAAAAAGTGAAGGTGCACAGTTAGAATTTATTTCCTCTAGAAACTGATACAGTTCACAATTTGTTGGGAGCATGTGTGAGTTACATTAACAGTGGGGATTCATACTGAGTAATAAAAATGTAGTTGTAGTTCTTAGCTGAGCATTTGAAAGTTCTGGGTGTGGACTGAATATTTTGAAGAATTAAAAGAATGTGACATGGAAAACGTTTTTTAAAAAGGCAGAAGACTTAAAGTTGACATGTCATTGTGCCTAGGGGCCTAATACAGTGGTGTCTCGCTTGACAAGGATAATCCGTTCCAGCAAAATCGCTGTAGAACGAAATCGTTGTCAAGCCAAAGTAAAAAGCCCATTGAAATGCATTGAAAACCAGTTCAATGAGTTCCAGTGGGTGAAATAGTGTCCAGCGAAGATCCTCCATAGGGCGGCCATTTTGCGGTGCCTGTATAGCGAGGAATCCATCCTAAAACAGCGGGGAGCCATTTTGCACAGCGGGTGGCCATTTTGAAGATCAGCTGTTTTGATCGTAATTAAGCAAAAAATCGGTTCCCGAAGCAGGGAACCGATCATCGTCAAGCGATTTTCCCTATTAAAACATTGTTTTGCGATCGCTGTAGTGATTGAAAATTACTCATCGTAAAGCGATTTCCTCGTCTAACAAGGTAATCGTCAAGTGGGGCACCACTGAAATCCTTTAAATTCTCCTAGTTCCTGGAACAGAATCTGTGGAGAGAGAAGTGGGCTGCTTAAATAGCACACTATTGAGAGTACTAATTTTTGATTTCTCATGAGGTGTTGAAGGTTTAACGTTACATTTAGCAAAGCACTGTCAGATATTTTATAAATATTTATAACTGAGAAAAAAAATTAAACTCAAACATTCACAGTAATGTTGGTCTTTCTCTGGTTTTCATCAACATGTTGCTTAGCTGTGAGCCCATAAAATGGTTAGTTAGCTCTAGAAATGAAGTCTTTTCTGAAGGAAAATACTGGCTTTTCTGAGGACACATTTCTCTCTACTGGGATATAGAGGGTGAACAAAAACACAAGGGGCTGCTTCCACCCCCATCCTTTTCCAGTGAGGCAGATACTTAAACCTGACTTTTTCTGTTTTGCTTTATAAAGGAAGCCAAAAGAGATTTGCTTTTGTGGATAAATACCCCAAGAGGCAGCAGGCTTAAGAATATTTTCACCTGATCTGTGTACTTCTGGTTGTGGTAAATGGTGCATGTAGTGTGCAGCAATTTCTAGACCTGAATTATATTTTGTACAATGTTTGATTTTTAATATGGAGTATGCTCAGTTTATTGTAGATTCTAATACACCTGTAGGTAAAGGTTCCCCTTGACATTTAGTCCAGTTGTGTCTGACTCTAGGGTGCGGTGCTCATTCCTGTTTTCCAAGCCATAGAGCCAGCACTTGTCCGAAAATAGTTTCCATGGTCACATGGCCAGCATGACTAGACACGGAACACCATTACCTTCCCACCGTGGTGGTACAGTACCTATTTATCTACTTGCATTTACATGCTTTCGAACTGTTAGGTTGGCGGGAGCTCACTCTGTTGCGCAGATCCGATCTTATGATTGCTGGTCTTCTGACCTTGCAGCACAGAGGCTTCTGCAGTTTAACCTGCAGCGCCACCACATCCCCAGTACACCTTTAGTGCCCAATTATTATTTAAATTGCCATTGTTAAAGTAACAGATGTTTTTGTGTGTATTATTCATCGATTCAAATCCTGTTGTATAAATTACACCTGCAAAGGTGTGTATGTAAGATATAGCTATTAGCAAGTTATTTTTGTTTACTAAAGACTCCTTCCTGTCCCATAGTTCTCAGGCAATTTTCCCTCTAAGCTGTGCACACTTGCCCAGAGCTCCGTCTGGGTTGTGCATGGACAGCCTGCAGCCAGTTTGTTTACTTCCCATTTTCAATGAAGCCTCACTTAACCCCGCGCACACAGTGAGGTTCCCGTGCAGTGGGACAGAAACTTAGAGGGGAACATGGCTCTCGGGAGTTCAGCATGCTGAAAGGGATTACACTTAACACAGGAGTTAGAAAATGCTATTGAACAGAAGTTGAAATTTATTAATTACAAAAATCACCCATTGTTGGTGACGTTATGATTCATCTGCAGGCACAAGTTACATAACAGGATGGCAGCCATTAACAGTATATGGGGTGGTAGAAGAAATACCTGCAGTAATAAAGGAGGTGGATTTGACATATCCCTGAAATTCATGTTTAATAACCTCTCTGTCTTTAAAACTGCTAGTACTATGTTGGGGAACAGTGACACAATGTAATGCTTCCCATGTTGTTTCTAGGAGAATGTGGGAAACAAGCAGAGCACAAATGATGTTTTCTTAATAACCTCATATTTATGTCCTTGGAATTTGAGTAGGAAAGAAAATTGGAGTGTTAGACAGTGTTTGGAATGCTGATAAAAATCAGTTTATTTTTGAGAGAAATTGGTCATACTCAGAACTCCTTAACTGTAATATCCATTTTGGTATAATTTATTAAAGCACATCTATGTACTCATAATTTCTTGAAAAGCAGTTGTAGAAATATTTTATGTTTGATTAGTGTTTGGATACAAAATGTGGGTCAGGATAATGTGCAGAAACATAGTTAATATGTTTTCCTTTTTCTAGAACAAATTCTGTATAATATAAAACAGGAGTACAAACGCATGCAGAAGAGGAGACACTTAGAAAACTTTCAGCAAACAGATCCCTGTTGTTCTACTGATGCACAGTCACAAGCATTTCTCCTTACTGGACCAGCTTTGCCAGGTAAAGGGTGTTTCTTTTTTTTAAAAGCATAAACTTACACAGTGTTTAACACATTTGGGGTCTAGATGAGTGGATTGACTTTGTTAGTTGTATGTCTCATTAAAAGGATTTATGAAGAAAGTCTTCTAGCAAAGCAGGGGAGTGAACTGTAGTTTTACTTCTAACAGAAGAAGCAGATCATAGATGAAATGTAGCGGTATCCATCCACCAATGGGATGAACCTAGGTGGTGGAATAGATTACCCTGCAGTGTCTGAACACCCTAGCAAGGTTGGAAGACTGAGAGACTGAAGCTAGAAGAGAAGGATGTCTCATTTGATTGTGTAAAATTTTCTGATTTTCTGTTGCCCAACAACACATAGTAAGAAGAGCCTGGATAAAGGCAGGTGGAATGAAGGCTGAGCTATAGCCAGCTGGGTCCTCTCTGAGATTGTGTGAAAGTCATGCTGTTTGTAGCACCAGTAGTCCATTTTTAACTGGCTGAGCCATAAATTGTGATCGTCAGCACCTATCATTTGTAGGCAAGCCCATGTTCTGTTAATGGTGATAGTGGAGAACATAGTGACTTGGAGAGTGCTGATTGGAAGTGCCCTTTATGTTAATGTCTAGTGTAACTCCATCCACCAGCAGTTTGGTTATGCATGACAAAAGAACCTGCAGGCAAAAGATTTCTAATTTTTACATGCGTGCTAAAAAAAAGTCAGGTTCAAGCCATGTCCTTCTGCAGAACAATTCCTTTGGTTTGTGGAACAGACTGTGATACAGTGGAGACTTCTGCTGGAGGAAGAGGGAGGCCAGTTTTTGTTTACTCCTGTTTATAGTCCCATTTGGCCCTCTGATAAACTTCCAAAGGGTTGAGGGACAACATAGAAGATGCCACTGTGAGTTTTGGGGGAGGATTAGAATTCGTGAAAATTGAGCATATCTACTGAGCAGAATTCAGAGGAGTTCTGGGTTTTACGCATGTTTGGATACTGTTGAGTTACTGCAGGTACATGTTGTTGTGGCAGTTTAGCCATCTCTGCTTTTTTTGTTTGTTTTTTGTTTTGTTTTTGACAAAAATGTTCTTTTCCTGGCTCTGACCTCATTAAATTGAACAAGTCAGAAGGAATCGAGAGAATAATTTCTAAAATATATCTGAATTAACCATGGGAATTTTTGTTCAAAGGTACTTCATCTGCAGCATCACCGCCACTGAAAAAAGAACAACCTCTCTTTACTCTCAGACAAGTTGGAATGATCTGTGAACGCTTACTTAAAGAACGTGAAGAGAAAATTCGTGAAGAATATGAAGAAATCTTGACCACAAAACTTGCAGGTATGATAAATATAAATTCTGAGCTTGCAGTGATGATACCTTCTTTGACATTACACACTTGTGAATAAAGTTTTGTGTTTTCCTAGAACTAATTGTTGGTTTATGAATTCCCACATATAGGCTCTTTCTGAAGGAGGAAAAGCAAATACTTGCTTCCTTTTTCATTTTGCTGTTAGCTATGTACTCTGTGGTGGAAGTCATAGAATGATAAGGAACCAAGTTTCATTTCTCAACCCTGATGCAGAATACAAGGAGTAGCACAGCTGCACAAGTTTTCTCATGGTCATTCTGAAATATTCCATGCCACTTGTACACGGATCACTTTTACACGAATGTGTTTAAAGTGGACTGCTTTGTGTAGGAGGGATTGCCTTCTAGACCTGATTTGGTGATGCTCAACGCCTGCATTTTCAGAGGCAGGTTATATGGGATGATATGAAGCAGGAAGACTTTAATCAGTATTGTCCATCTATCCACACAAATTGTCAAATAAGCAGCCAGACAGAGTTTGTTGCTAGAGGAAAGACTCGCGTCCCTGAAAGCAAACTCTGACTGCCCTTCAGTCATTAAGCATAATGAGAATGTAATGGGCAACCTTTTAAATAGCTATCAACAGCAAATAATGATTTTATATTCATTTATTTCATGTTAATTGTGGAAAGAAACGAAAGATAAGAGTATGGTTTTTTTGTGTGTGTGTGTAAAATCAGATACTGTAATCAGCAATATAGCGCTGTAAATTTACAGAATATTTAAGGAGTGCATTATTCATGTAAATCACCTAAGTAATAATAGATCAGCTGTATGGATAGCTCAGTGAGGCATTTGGCTGTGGAGCCAGAGATTGAGAGTTCAGTTCCACACTGTGCATCTCAGAAGAGCCAGCCTGTGTGGCCTTAGGCAACCTGCACAGCCCCAGGATACTCCCAGAAAAAGGGAATGGCAAACCGTTTCTGAATACTCTCTAACTAGAAAACCTTGAAAAGGGTTGCCATAAGTCAGAATTGACTTAATAGTGCACAAATACATAAATTACTAGGCTTGACATTCAAGTTTATGCATTCAGATGGCATAGCAGCAATGGTTAAAAGATTAGAAGTTTAGGATGAGATCCAGTGTTATTCTCACTGAAAGCCTGCTTGTACAATGGGGTTTTCTGTCCTCTTTTTCTCCCTTTGTAGGCTCTGAGGCAGTGGTCAGGGAACAGGGGTAAATTACCCCAAATGGGGTAAAAATGAAAATCCTGAGGGTAATGAGGATGGTCGTGGCAGGCATTTTACCCCTAGGCATTTCATTTCCGACAATGCTGTGTGTAGGCGGGCGTTCCATCGCAGGGAGAGCAAGCCTCAGCGAGGTACTGCACAGGGCACTGCCCTGCCCTCCTCGCCTCCAAAGTGTGTGGGGGGAAGGGCGGTGTACCAGGCCAGCTGGATTCTTTGCCTGGCGGATCCCTGGCCGGGGCTCTCCTTCCTGCCCGTGCCCAGCCACCCAGTGCGCTGGTGAGGAGGCCCCTTTCCCACCCCACCTCACCTGAGCTCATGGCCAGTGGACCTGCCGGCCCTGCAGCGCCCGCCTCCCCTCGCCAAGGACGCGCTTTCCCAGCGGTGTTGTGGCTGCAGACTGGCTGCCCAGACAGTGGCCACAGGTCCCGGGTGAGCCCAGAGGCGGGGTGGGGTTGGCCGTGGACAGCAAGAGCGGGGGGGGGGAGGTAATGTCAACGTATATAAATTTTTTTTGGGGGGGTAAAAGGTAAAAAAGCTCCCTGGCCCTTGCTCTGAGGCTTCCATTAAAAAATCAGGAATTTAATCTGTGCAGCAAGTCTTGTGGGTGTGCAAGGGGCCATATGGATGGGGAGACTGCCTTCTTAGTTGTTGACAGAAGCAGTTCCTTCAGCAGATAAATGTAAATGGACTTTACTCTTAGGCTGACAGTCTGATTGCTCTGAATAGTTATTCACTTTGTATATTTCCCCATCACAGAACAGTATGACGCATTTGTGAAGTTCACGCATGACCAGATCATGCGACGATATGGAGAACAGCCTGCAAGTTGTAAGTACTTGAGCCTCTTCTTGCATAGTATTAGTGTGTCCACTCTGGAACACATTGGTGGGAGGATGCATTGGTGATCAGTGAAAATTGTTTGTCTCCTCTTTGTTGGGTGGAGCATCCTGTGAGTGGCGTAACACTCACCAGAACATACGATTGTTGGTTTCTGTATCCTAAAGCAAGTTGCAGTTCCTTGCTTGTTATTAATGTTCAGTTACGTTATCAGCTGTTATTTCTGACTTCATTTCTCCTTTTCTCTTTTCAGATGTTTCATGAATCATGTTTTCTGCATATGTGGGCAGCCCTGAAACCCAGTTTTATTGTTGCAAGCTGTCCTTTAAAGACTTGCAGCAATGCCATATTTCCCCTCCCTCCTCTGTATACACTGGTTATTTCAAGCTTTTTGTCAGTGGCAACCACTCTTATGCAGCAGCTGATTTTGGAGTGCTCCCTGATGTCAGTACCACCTGGATGTGGACCTTTGCTACCTGTTAATACCAGTGGTCTCATTTGCTGTATCATTACAATTTGGCTTATGTTAATAAGTTTGAAAAGTAAAAGGATTAAAGCTGGTGTACTAGAACTCTGCCCTTCAATGGTCGTGTAAATAAAAGTGTAGAATGACACTTCTGATGGAAGTTAGTGTGGTTTTCATAACTGTGCACTGCAAAGCTGTATTCACAGTTAAATTAGAATGTAACTCCTGGACAACTTTACACAAATAGCCCACAGTACTGCCTGTGAAATAGTGAAGGAGGGCATTTCTGTATTCCATGACTTTTGGGGGGGTGTTAAGAATGGGTTTATATAATTTCTCATTTTTGTAGGTTTTATTTATTCTATCAGTCTTTAACAAATGTTTATTGCTGCAATTTTTCAGTGTATCATTGTTTTACTGCCCTTGTAGTACTGGAATTTAGTTGAACGAATAAAACATTTACTTCTAATTTGACTGTTTGATATGTGGTGGGTTTGCCACCATTTAAAAAAACAAATAGATGTGTTGAGTGAAACTTCTAGTTAACCAGACTCAGGGAATAGGTGTAAAATTGAGTATTAATCATTATGAAGTTCCATTCAGAGATGGTGCAGATAGAAAAAGAGGGAGGCAGGGTATGGAAGGAACTTAAAAGTTTTTCTGGCACACTCCCTCCTCCAGCTCTTCTTTCCAGTGCCCTTTTATGACCAAGGTAAGTAACTAAAGGGGAAGTGTCCAAAGGTGTACAGACTGGAAAGAATAATCAGGAGCTAACAAATAAGAACTGCTACTGAAGAGGTTTGGTGCATGTGGAAATGTGTAGATGTCTTAGAAAAATCATCAGCTCCTGAAGTGGCAGTGATTTCCTCTCTGTATAGTCCAGAATCAGCCTTTGTGTTGTAGGTACCAGACCTATTCTATTACGGCCCAGAGAAAACAGACATAAGCAATCTCATTTTTAGTTGCATCTACCTCTTACCTTTTGTATTACCTAGCAGATACCATCCAGGTATGTAAGATACTGTAAAGGGAGCCCTTGCAAAATTCAGGATGGGATTCTATGACCTTGGCTTTGTAGAGTATGCATTGCAACTTATGTTTAAGTATAAGCTGTGGAACTTGAAGCCAGTGTGGAACTAGAAACATAGCTACTATTTGCCTGAGAGGGCTGTTTGAGGCTGGTTGGAGCTAAGATTCTTCAACTGTTAGTGCCACCAGATCAAAAAAGCTAATTTTGCAATTATTGCTACATCTCTATCCTATCTTTCTATTTAAAAGCACTTCAGGCAGTTTGGCATCATCGCTAAAAGCAAATAAAACGATAAAACTTAGTTTGCGCAAAGGACAAAATCATTGAACAAAGGAAAACATTTGGGGGATATGTTGCCTATGAGCTGCTTACCCACCCCCCTCATTTCTGTGCTTGTTTTTTTTCTTCTGCTGGTGCTGTACATTTTTGCTAAAAATTAATGCTGCTGCACAATCACCATTGATTTCACCCCAACTCTGAAAAAATTTCTTCCAATCTACCTCTAACCTGGCAAAACAATTCTTGTTTAGCTTTTATTTTTCACAAGGCTAGAGAACATGCCGCAGTAGAGGCTGACAATTGACAGTGATTTAGTCAAGATTGGGGTTGGGGACCAAGGTGAGTCCATGATTCTGGAAAGCTGTTTACAGTACAAACTGAAATTGCAAGCAGTCAAGGAAAACCTGCCTTCGTTCTGCGTCTGAAACCCTGACAAGAATCTGCATTTGAAGTAGCATTGCGCAGTAAGCAATCCCAGGATGAACAGATATATTTATTCTACATGGTCCACATTGCTGTTTGCATCAATAGTATCAACGTCTAAAAACACTATATTAGTCAGTAAAAAACATCCATTTATACACATTTAAGGATTTAGTATGATCCAAGCCCTTGTACAGAGCAATCTTAAGGTTGCTGCTTATTTGTCATCTAGTTGCCCCTGCCCCCTGGTTCTTTTCTGGTTGGGTGAACATGATTAGAGACTACAACACTTCCAGATGGTGCAACACTCAGATTTTGTGTCAAGATGAAAAAACACTGTTGCCAAAACAACTGTGTAAACTGCACTCAATCTAGCCTGCAGTTGCATAAGCCTGAGATTGCCCAGCAGGGCTTTCAGCTTGCACAAGGTGTTAAGTGAATTCCTTTTATACAAATATGAAGAAAAGGGAACTGCACAATACAGAACCAATAGGATACTGGCCAGCATATCAGGCAAGAAACAAAAAAATATAAAACTAGACAAAAACATTGTGACACCTTAAAGACGTAACTGCTATATTTTAATGTGAGCTTTTGTGGACAAGTCCACACTAGGCTCTGTTGATACTATGGTTGATACTACTGAAAATGTTAAAATTTTGTGTAAGATAAAAGCATTCTGATTTTATGAATTCTACAGACTTTCCATTAAGCATCTTGCCCTTGTATACCTGTGTTTTACTCACTTCTTCATCCTGAGATAAGATTTTACTGGTTTTTTACCTGTTACATTCTAAAGTGTTTTTTCATCTATAATATGGAGAAGCATTTTATAATTAACGGGCATGGATCAAAAAGTTGTCAGTGAAGAAGAGAGAAACTGCCCTGAGCTCTTCAAAGGAGGAGTGAGGTGCATCAATAAATGTTAATAAAATTGGATGGGTTTGAGGTTCTTTGAAATGAACTAATGCAGTAATTGCTTTTTACAACAGATTTATATACTGGCATATTTTCCTCTTTGTCTGTAATGGAAGCTCCAATGGTAGTCGTAGAAGTGGGAATCTTGTCACTGAAGGACAGGAAATCCTTAATTGTTCACTACATTTACATCTTGTTTGCTTGTCATCTTTCCTGTGGATTTTAGGAGTTTGTGTCCCTTGCATTGAAAATTGTGGTGCTTAATTGCATTGGAGCAAATTCTTGCTTTAAATGGTTAATGAAACAGGAAGAATGATGCTTACATTACTTTCACAGATGAGAATTAAATAATCAGTTTCAATTATCAGTTGCCTAATACACTTGAACTTCCACAAACTGAATGTCTAACATCAGCAGGAGGCCCTATGCATGTGTTGTTTCTCTAATGAGAAAGTGATATGGAATAGAAGGCCATTATTTCCTCAGCTAGGATCCAGTAGAGGTAATATGTTTTATACCACTGTGTCTCCAGCCCTGAAATATTAAATTGAATGAAAAAAGCAATGCTTATAGATTTCCTTTAATGGTAAAAGATATTTTGATCTCAGATCTTGGCAATATTTGAGGAGATATTGACCACACACTCTAACTTGCCTTAGTGTTGTATTATTTAAATTTCTGCTCAAAATCCAGCTCACTTGAAGTTTTACTCATACAAAAAGATCCCTGTAATAGGTGTTATAAATTTCCTAATTTCATTAATTGCACATAATTTTACGAATAAGCAAAATTCTACCTTCATTTAATATACCTTGAATGAAGATAAGGATTAACAGATGTCTAATTACAGTACTGGCAAAAGGGACTGCCGGTGATAAGCAAATCCTGCATAAGACCTTAAGACCTACAGTCTTGTGTAGATGGTACCGGTTAGATGGACAAACGAGGTTATACCAGTTGTTGTCTAATGGGAATGGGCACTGCAGGACCATTTAATTTTATCTTTCCCCTGAATATACTTATGAGGGCTGAGAGACCCATGTGTAGATTTCAGGCAGGGGTAGAGCAGGAGGGAAACTGTTGTGGAATGAATGGAAGTTGCTTAACGTATGACTGCCCCCATCCCGACCTAGTTTAAAGGAAGCTCTGTATGTACAGTACTGCGATAGTTGTTACTGACCAGAAGCAAAATCCTTGGAGACAACTGCAATATCAGAGCTTTAAAAAGTATTGAAAGCCTCCACTGAGGAACAGCTGCTAGGATGTATATTCTATAGTCTTTTTTCCCTACTAGAAAGACAAGTGTGGGTGACGGAGTCATGCCAGAAACGTGTCGTGTTTGATACTGCTCATTGCTGAAACAAACTGAAGGCCTAGGACCTCAAAGGATATTAAGATAAATGTTTCTATCCCACTTTTAAATCAAAGAACATAACTAATAAAGCAAAGTGTGCTGCATACACACCACCCCATAGAGCTTAAAACACTGGTGGCTTACAACAATTGTGCAGGCTACACAATCCCCCCCCCTCCAGTGAGCTGGGTACTCAATTTATAGATCGGAAGTGTGGAAGGCAAAGTCATTTTGAGCCAACTACCTGGATCCACTGGGATCAAACTCTGGTTGTGAGAGTCTTAGCTGCAATATTGCAGTTCAACCACTGCACCATGAAGTTCTTAATAACAAAAAAAACCTTAGTTATGAGAAATGAAATAGTATAGAATCAAATAATAGAATGAGACAATTAAAAAAGGCCTTTACAATCTCAACCTGGCTACGTCTTTTATGTGCGTGCTGTACAACCATTTCGTGTAAGCAATGGAATTATTTACAAAAACAAGGCTATTTTAATCCGATACAGAAATTTTATTTTAAATTTAGTTTTATTTAATCTTCTGATATAAAAAATATGCAGCCTCTTGAATGTGTCCTGCAAAGGGAAAGGTAAGAATTAGAAAAATATACAAAGACTATCTGAAGAGCAGCAGACATACACTTGCCAAAATGAAATGACTGAATATTTAATATGTCAAAGATTAAATAGAAACTAAAAGCTTCAAGATCTGCCCAGCTTCCTGGAAACAATATTGCAGGGCAGGGCAGGAACAGTGCTGTATTGATCTGCCTCAACTGAAGGCAAATTTACTTGTGTAAAAAAACCACCATGACTAGACATGAATACACTTCAAATCAGACCACACCTTCAGGTAGTGTTTCTAATTTTCTTTATAATTCAGGATTACAGCAGATTGCATTACAGTAAGACCTTAACTTTTCTCTCCAAATTTCACTTGACTGAAGGAGTCTGTAGATAATAGTTACTGTATCAATAGGCACCCTACGCACATCCCTCTCATTAGTAATCTTTTCATCTGCGCGGCAATGTAATCTTAGTAACAATCTTAGAACTGCAGAGCTGGAAGGGACCCTATGGATCATCAAGTCCAGCCCCTGTCAAGGAGGCACAGTAGGGAAAGAAATTTCCAACTTCTGGCTCCACAGCCAGATGGCATATCCCCTAATCAGAAGCACTAGCCGTTGTCTGCAGCAGGACAAAGATCTGCAGGCATGTTCCACACAAGAAGCACATGTACTATGTTATCATGTTAGAACTGCAGCTTTTGTTTTAATACAAAACAATGCAATTAATTCAGTAGCTGATACCTTCACTTGTTAACAACTGAAGTCCTGTTTGAGCACTTACTTCTTAGGAGACTGCGTAAGTTAACAGCTACCCCAGGTCAGTCGTGCCACATGATCAGTCTTCTGTTTGGTAGGCTTTATGAATCCCAAGAGTTCCAACTCCGAGACTGCTCTAATGAATCGAGCACTTGGGAACAGCCCGTCAAGGAACACTCTTTACCTCCTTCAGGGGACTATATGCAAACCAACCCAACAGTTTTTAAATCTAAGCAGGGAATGAATTCTGGACCAGTCATTGAAGCACACCTTCACACATTGATACATATTTGGTCTCCCCACAAAAGATCCCAGTGATCCTGCTAGGAAACAATACCACATAGAGAAGACACACCTTATTTCCCTGCAAAAATTCCATACCTTATGGGCTGTCGGGAGCAATGAGTCAGTAAGATTTTTTTGAGGGAGAAGGAAGCCCTGAATGGAGTTCATGGAGGCAAGAGACCTCCCAAACCCAGAAAGTTGCTCACCGCCTGACAAGATCTGGATGTAGCGCTTGCCTCTCTTATCAGTAGCCTCTTCAACAGAGTTCCACTCAGAATGTTCCTGCCAGCAGAGGAAGTGGACAGGTAGCTTTTGCAGTTCCTTCACCTCATGCTTTCCTTGAGGTGTTCCAGCCTTTTCCAGGCCAGCTCTTCAAGGAGTGTAGGCAGCTGGCAAACACACGCTACAAAAGACTGTGAAAGGTTCAGGCAGTCTTCCTAGAAGGTTGCTGGGGTTCATAGCCTCTGAGACGGTCCCTAAAGTGCATGATACTCTTAAAAGGCGTTTTATGTCACAGTCCTCTACAGTGGTGCCTCGCTATACGATTACCTCACAAAACGGTTAATTTGCAAGACGATGGGATTTTGCTGGGTCCACGCTTCGCAAAATGGTTTTTTTAGGGACAGTTTTTCGCAAGACAGCGATTTTGACAGCTTCGCAAAACGGCTTTCCTATGGGCGATTTTCGCAAGATGATGATCCCCCCATTGGAACGCATTAAATAGATTTCAATGCATTCCAATGGGGAATCGCATTTCACAAGACAATGTTTTTGCAAGATAGCGATTTTTGCGAAACAAATTAATATTGTCTTGCGAGGCACCACTGTATTTTTATTCAGAACTCAGTGTGCCCAATAGGACATATTCTAAGGAAAATGTTTAGACAACAGGAGTGTTAAACCACAATCCTCTACCTGTCTACTCAAACTACCAGCAGAATTTTCTCCCAAGTCTGCCTCAGAATCACTTGAAAAAAAGTAGTGACAGAATTTAAGCTGACAAAGCAGTGTTGCTCCGTTAGCTGATCAAATATTCTTGCGAACTAACAGAACATCAAGGGATGTGGCCATTCTGAAAGATACCCTCATCCCCAGTGAAAATAGGAAAATGAGTTCTCATTATCTTTGACAAGTTAGGAGAAATAACCAGCTTCTCTCTTCCTGGTTGGCAGTGAGAAATGTGAAGGCTCTATTAGTCAGCAGTCATCCGCCCCCTGGCATACATGGATCTTCCTAACTTTTTGATAAGGTGGTTTTTCCCCCTTGTATAAAACATGTTTAGTGTTACGGAGTTGCAAGATGTTTTGCTGATCCCTTTTTGATCTAGCCTCAAGTTATATTTAACAAAGAAATACATGTTTTAAAAAAGAATTAGTAAAGATTGGAAAATTGAGGGGGAAAGGATACTGAGTAATATCATCTATCTGGTCCTGTTTCGGGTCTGTCACATCTGAATTTTCAGTGGCTGTTATCACTGTGGAAAAAGCCTAATAGAAAATGCAACATTTTGAATGTACCACATTTTGTTAACATCCCGCAAAACAGACAAAATTCACACACCAGCATGATTGCCATCACTAGACAGCATGCTAAATTGTTTAAATTAGAGAGGAAGACTTCATACATCTACAAAGAGCTGTGGGTGGGCTTTTAATGATTCCTGGGGATTTATTTTCACTTGGCTAATGACAAAGTTTTGAACAAGTTATTTGTTCTGTGGTTTGGTTGCAAATTTCAAATCCAAATACTACTAGGATAAAAATTAGCCTTGAAGTTTAATCAAGCTACAGTACATACATGATTTAATATCAGATAGGAAACTGTGCAGAAAAAAACTGTAGTCCTAACCTCTGATTTGCCTCCACTTAGTATCCAAATTGATGACTTATGCCCATCATAGTTCTCTCCCCTCACCTTAAGATACTGGCTGAGAACTCAGGTAAAGGGGTACCAAATTTCAGCAGAGAAAGCAACTAGCACTTTGCTGCTGCCTCCCAAGCTATTCCCTTCCTTTCCTGCACTGGAACGGCTTGTCTTCTGCAAACTGGGCAGGAGGCAGTGCACTGGGCAAATGTATTTACTTCCTCAGCAAAAGCTCAGAAGAAAGAAAATACAGTAGATGCAGTCTCCCTTTCTACAAGCTTTCCAGAGGTAAAGTTTGTAGAATCGCTTCTTTCCCTTTCTGTTGGTATTTAGCAAGAAGTGGAAGCAGTGGGACACTGCAAAGTCCCACCTAGGAGGATGGGGGGGGGTATCTCCATGTGGACAACAGATGTGCTTTTACTCCCATAACCAGAAATTTTGAATGAAGCACCAGTTGAGTCTATCCATTCTTGTTTGTTTACATCAGACAAAAATGGGGATCAAAGGAAAGTGTTTGCCTTTCTTTTTCTCCCTATTTTATACAAGGTTTTCGCAAAGAAACAGCAGTGGGGGTGCTAGTGCTTTCCACAAAATGTAACTTGTGAGAGCAAATCGTATGTCATTCCCTCTTCAAAGTATGGAAAGATCATTTCTGTCCAACAAACTGGGTTTCTGGAGACAGCACCAGCCATGCCTCACGCCTACTGGATTTAAAGAGAAAGAAACAAAGGGGAACGGTCCCTCTGTTTTTTCCTCCTTCCTATTTTCTTTCCCATCTAAGAAAGATCAGTGAGACATGGCTGGTCTTTTTCTTCCAAAGCTTAGCTTCCATGACTGAAGTCTTTTCTCCACTCCTCCTTCTCCACTCCTTTTCTCCTCCTCCTAAGACGAAAAAGAGAGGCATTTTTCTCCAGACAGTTGAGATCTTTTGGAGAAAGTGCTACCTCCAACCCTACTGATGCTTCCAAAGAAAGAAGCAAAGGAAAGACATTTCTGCTTTCTTCTGTGTAGAAAAAAAAGGTATGTGGCTCATCTCACCTGCTGTCATTTTTTTTAGGGGGGGGAGGGAAGATGCTGCATGTAAGTGGCGGAGAATGGAAGATGAAAGGAGAATCTTATTTCATACAAGCAAGACTTTTTGATAAAAACCGCATAGCAGTGCTCAACAGTGGCAAGCGATGCCCTTGCTGCAGCAGCATGGATTTTCTGAACCCAACTTGCCCAGGACTAACTAGGAAGGGGACAGAGATTGGAATTTTTGTAGCCTGACAGCACAAGATATTGCAATGTTACACAACAAGAATGTAATTGTCAGAACACAAGAGAGGCTTAGCAAGAAAAAATGACAAGCTGAGAAACATTTAGCAAAGTAGTTACCAAATTGATTCATGTTCACATACCTCTAACCAGTCAACAAGGTTAATTAATCTGCCACACTCCAAATGAAGCTTGTATGCTATACAAATATCAGGAGCTGTCTTAGAAATGGACCCTGCACCACTTTTCAAGGATTCGTTCTGACAAACAAAAATTCACAGTGGGGAAAATAGTTACAATGTACTTTTAATTTATATGCTAATGATCCCATCATCTTCACTCCCTTCCCCCTATATTAAGACACAGGCCAAACTTCAGATACTGCTATCATAATATACACCACTCAGTCAGAAGCTGCAGTAATGAACCTTTAGAAATACTAATCTGTAAGCATGATTCCAGCTTTGCTCTTACATCAGTCCAGCAGTTGCAAGTGGGAAAGTGCAACTAATCCAGTACATGTTTTCCTCACGTTAATTTTTCATTTTATCCAGCAGCAAGCACTGCTTTCTTCCTGATCAGTAAATGACAACAATGGATAGGACTTACTCTACACTACAATAAGTCCTATCCATTACTCTGAGTAACCCAAACCACATCTGACACATAATAGATAGCCCTGTTTCACCCAGGGCTAATATCCTCTCTTGCCTGTCAGCTCTGCTGGAACAGGCAGTCTGGGAAGACAAAGAGTTATGATGAAGACAACAGACAGTGGATGCAGCAGTTCAAGTACTGGACCAGAAGTCTGACGATCTGGCCTCAACCACCAATCAGCTGTAAAATGCAGTTGGCAACCTTGGGCACATCACATTGTTCCAGCCTGACCTGTCTTACAGGACTGAGGAGATGAAGTGCCTAGGAAGAAAGCCATCTATACTGTCTTGGATTATTGAATTAAGGCATGATATAAGTCTAACTATGCACATCATCTTGGATGTGTACAGGCAAGCTGAGGAAGTGGTAGTCTGGTGTAGGGGTCTAGTCACTTCCAGCTACTTGTCACAGCCTTGGGTTGAAAGTTGAGATCTCACACTTCCTAGTCACTAACCTGTTGCCCTATAACATGAACACTACAACCCCTGCTACTCTCCTCTTTGAGACATACACAATGATAGCAACAGAGCAGAGTTCTGCCTATGGAGATTAGATCTACCGTATTTTTTCATGTATACGACCTCCCAATGTATAAAACAACCCCCTAATTTTTACCCTTGCCGGAGGAGCAGTCAATGGGCGGCCGCAAGGGATGGCCCAGTGCAGCTGCTCCTCCGTCTCTTGCTGCTTCCGCCACCCGATCGCCTCTTCCAGTGTGACTGCCGAGGCTCACCTGCAGCTCAGGTCGCCGCCTTGTCCCCTGCCCGAAGGAGACAACTGCTGGAGGGGGTGATTGGACGGCGGAGGCAGCAGTCAATGGGCAGCTGCGAGAGGCGGCTGAGTGTGGCTGCTGCTCCTCCGCCCCTCCGTCTCCTGCTGCTGCCTTGCGTATATAAAACATCCCTCAATTTTTCCTCTAATTATTTTAGGAAAAAGTGTAGTTTTATACACAGAAAAATACAGTATATGCCCTATAAGCCAAGACTTAGCACAATCTGTCAAAAAGATGAGAACACTACCCAGAATATGCTACCCAGAAGATGGTGGCAGTAAAGCTGGCGAATCACCTATTTAGATCGGGGGGGGGGCAGTGTTCCATTGCCACAGCTGAGACAGAGGGAAACCTGCTGCTATTGCTGGAATTCTTACAGCATAAACCAAATGATGTAAAGTTGTAGAGAACCAATTGATAACTTTCTTACTATGCAACTTTAACATAAGTAACATCCTTCACCACCAACAACTGTAAGAATTCCAAAATCTTTTTAGTATAGATTGCTTATATCGGGCAGAATCCTGTCCACTCCCTCCACTCATGCTACACTTTATTATGTGACTAGCTGGTCACTTTCTGGCCTTGAGTAACTTGATGTTTCTGGGTGCCCCCCCCAATGGTCGATGTAATTTAAATTCAAATTGATTTAATGAGATTTTTTTATCATTTAGTTTTTTTTAAAAAAAGCTTTTTGATTAAATTGTGATTAAAATATTTTTTAAAAATCACTGATTTTTATTCACACTGATGCCCCCTTACACAGAGCTTGGAAACTGTCCAATAACTTGTGCAGCATGTGTATGAATCAAATGAGCAAAGTTCTGCTTCCAGTCCTTCTGTAAACCGGGAGCAACGTTAGCAGCTATAAATCCAAACCAAAGTGAGAGGCTGATCAAAGTATGAGGGGGAATATTCCCATACAGGGATGTGAATACTGTTCTCAGTAGGAATGAAGCAAGAAAGAATGTGCCCTGCTGTCCAAATGATGCTGGCTCAGCCCCAAGAGATGGTGGGAGAACAAAAGGCAAGGGCCTCACTTTCTCCAAGGACTAGTATATTTTCAGTACCTGTATGTGAGGAGACCTTTGCTAAGAGATGGATTGTGTCTCCAGGAGAAACTGTACCCAAACTGTTACAGTGGTGCCTCGCTTGACAATTACGTTAGATGAGGATATCGCTTGACGATGAAGTTTTTGCGATCGCTTTTGTGACCACAAAACGATGTTTTAATAGGCAAAAATAGCTTAACAATGATCGGTTCCCTGCTTCAGGAACCAATTTTTTGCTTAACGATGATCTTTACAGCTGATCGTCGGGTCTTCAAAATGTCCGCCCGCTGTTTAAAATGGCTCCCCGCTGTGTTTTAGGAAGGATTCCTCACTTTACAGGCACCAGAAATGGCCGCCCTATGGAGGATCTTCGCTGGACACTGAGGTATTTCGCCCATTGGAATGCATTGAACCGGTTTCCAATGCATTTCAGTGGGCTTTTTCATTTCACTTCACGAGGATTTCGCTTAACAGAGATTTGAACGAGGCACCACTGTAGTAGTGTCGGTTCTTTGCTGTCTGCATCTCTTTGTAGTCAGAGACTGATATTTATCATGAGAACTTTCATCCTGGCTTTATAATTCATGAAAGAACAGGTGGTGCTGAACTTATACTATGAAAATTACTTTGTGTACTGGAGCAACAAAGAGTCTGCTTCCCCTTAGATTTCAAATGTTTTCCTAAAGCATGTTCAGATATTTTAATAAAAAAAATGCCAGGCCTCTGACTTGGCTTTCATCATACATGCTGGAAACTGAATTAAGTTTGCTCTCCCAATCTAAGTTCTTAGTCTGTCTAAAATCAAATAAATGTGAAAAGTTCAATTAAATAATTGGGAACATATACATATTACATTCTTTTCCCAACCTTGCTTTGTTGATTTGTATTCCACTATCTGCCTCAATGTGGTAAATATAATTAGATGTATGGTTTTGATAAATTTCTTTTTAAAAAATCTTTCTTTCTACTAAAGTCCCTAACTCTGCCTCCCAGCATGTAGATATTGAGAAATTCATCGAACTGACTTGCTGGAATATTGATTGTGAGGGAAAGACGTGAGATGGGACAGACATTTTAGCAGATATTTTAGGCCTCATATATAGTGCTGCTGTTTTCCAATATCTCAGGAGAGATGGGAAGCATCTCTGCTAACAAGTTAGGATTTAGAGCCTAATAACCCTAAGACTGTAAAGTATAAACTGACATGGTTAACAAGTATTTCAGAACGGCCACTTTGTGACAGACTGCAGGACTCAAAATACCACAGAATCCAACTAGGTTACATATCTAACACATTCCACACCCTTTCACACTGAGAATCACAGAATCCAATGAAAGAAGCCAGTGCAGAAAACATTGCACTGCTCCAGACAACATGCACTGCTTTCCAAACATAAATAACTCCAGAGACAGGAAGTACTTGACAAAAATACACCATGGGTATACTGTGCCTAGATTCTTATTTCTTACCTTCAGGTAGAAATATGGATTATTGAGGGCAGTGTGAAGGGCAACACGTGGGGCAGCATTCAAATGTTCACGAAGTGTATTTGCTGCACTGAAATACATCACTTCATGCAGCGTTTGCATCTCCACAGGCACAAGGTACTTTCTGGAAAAGCATCATGGAATAAACAGTGAGACTGACTGATTGATCTCAATTTCTACAGCAGGAAGAAGCCACAAGAAAGCACATCCATTTCACATTTTGCTCTGGTATCATGTGGCAGTCAGTGTTAGGTGCCTGCTCTGCCTTGGTAGGAAGTTCCCGAGTGGGAGAATGGTTGCATTGAGAAATGTAGCCAACAAAGAACTTGGTGCACCATAAGCATTCACAGTATGAGTTTGATGCTAATTAGAGATCTCAAGCCCATTTGGAGCATACTACAGGAACCCAGCTGAGACATAGCAATACTGTGTGTTACTGAAATGAGGTCTGCTTCCTCTAGATGAGGCTGCATGCGGTGAACCGACTGAAACTGGGGGGGAAAAACCACTCCTGACCACTGGTACTGGGCCTGTGCCATCATGTAGGACTTATTTTTCTCTTGAATTTACCGTATTTTTCGCTCCATAAGACGCACCTTTCCATAAGACGCACCAATTTTTTAGGAGAAGAAAAAAGGAAAATATAATCTGTTTTCTTCGCGCTGTAAGACGCAAAGACTTTCCACCCCCCTGTTTTGTGGGGGGAAAGTGCATCTTATGGTGCAAAAAATACGGTATCTTGTCCTACCTGCTGTCTGGATAGTTTCCTAAGCAATAATGGGCTCTTTTCAGATCCATGTGAAGAAGGCACTGCTTCCTTCTACAAATAGAGATGGATCGCCTGTGGTCCAAGCATCAGCAGTGGCCCTCTGACTAATTCCTATCATTCAGTGGATTAAGGACTACGGAACTCTACCAACAAACTTTTAAAAGATATGTTTTTAGACATTTAGAATCCTTTAATGGAAGCAAATGTGTAGATATTTCCATCCATCCCACGTGAATGCCTTCTATACTTCTAGGGTTGTTTAAATCACGTTGTAGTAACATTGGAAATGTATAAGTAACATATACATATGCATTTGTTCTTTCCACAGCAAACCACAGTGCAGGTGAGCTGTTTGTTACTGAACCAACTTGAATTCACTATGCAAAACTGAGCAACCATGTCAAAAATGCTGTCTCAAGCACTATTTTTAACTAGAAATGTGCCCACAAGTTTCACACACAGATAAGTACCATGTTTCACCCAAAATGAGACAGGGTCTGATATTAATTTTTACACCATAAAAAGCATTAGGGCTTATTTTCAGGGGATGTTTAGAGTAGACCTTTGGTCTAGATGGGCGGGATAGAAATCCACTAAATAAATAAATGTGGGTTTTTTTCATGTACAACAATCTACATTTATTCAAATACAGTCACATCATCTTCTAGTTGCTGCACAATGGTGGGTTTCACTTAACTGGGGCTTATTTTGGGGGTAGGACTTATATTAAGAGCATCCTGAAAAATCATACTAGGGCTTATTTTCAGGTTAGGTCTCATTTTAGGGGAAACAGGGTACAAGAAAGCAGTGCTTACCTCACAAGCCCATCTATGAAGTCAACAATTTCAAAACGGAGCATTTCAAATTTGCTTAATTTCTTAAGCCTTCTTGACTCTTTTATCTCCAACAGAGTCTAAAAAACAACAACACACACATATAAAGGAAAAAAGAATGTTGAAGTCCTATTGAGTAAATCACTGAGCAACATTAATAAGATTATTCCATTTTTCAGATGACGCAACTGATTGTTACAATAGTTTCTAGAGACTATTCACAAAGAGTACTAGCCGTGATGACTAAATAATAATGTGTTTCTTAGCTGGTACTGTTGCTATTTTGCAAGTATTAGCAACAATGCATATGGAAAGATGCATTAGTTGTAGCTTGAAATAATTAATTATAGAAATGCTTGAGCACCTTACACAAAAAGGTTAGGTTATTCTCCTTGCTTTCTGAAATACATCCATTTCTTACATACTTTTACTACAGCACGAGTAAGTATAGAACCTTGACCTGAGCAAATAACCTACTGACTGAAATCCAGTAGTAAGTTACAGCTAAAGGTGCAGAAGAGAGCAACTAAAATGATGACTGGGCTGGGGCACCTCCCTTATGAGGAAAGACTATAGCGTTTTGGACTCTTGTCTAGAGAAAAGGCGCCTGAGGGGGGAAATCCAGTAGTAAGTTACAGCTAAAGGTGCAGAAGAGAGCAACTAAAATGATGACTGGGCTGGGGCACCTCCCTTATGAGGAAAGACTACAACGTTTGGGACTCTTTAGTCTAGAGAAAAGGCGCCTGAGGGGGGACATGACTGAGACGTATACAATTATGAAGGGGATGGATAAAGTGGATAGAGGGAAGCTCTTTTCCCTCTCACACAATACCAGAACCAGAGGACACCCACTCAAATTGAGTGTTGGGAGAGTGAGAACAGACAAAAGAAATTATTTCTTTACCCAGTGTGTTGTTAGTCTGTGGAGCTCGCCACAGGATGTGGTGATGGCATCTGGCCTAGATGCCTTTAAAGGGGGATTGGACAGATTTCTGGAGAAAAAGTCCATCACAGGTGACAAGCCATGACGGGGATGTCTAATCTCCAGGCTTAAAAGGAAGGTACCTCAAAAAGCCAGATGAAGGGGAGGGGTATCAAGAGACAGCTATCTAGTTGCCTCATATGCTCCCAGAGGCATCTGGTGGGGCCACTGTGAGATACAGGAAGCTGGGATAGATGGGCCCTTGGCCTGATCCAGCAGGGCTCTTCTTATGGTCTATGTTCTGGTAAGAAAGGTGCCTGACAAAAAGAGATTACATATGCTGGTGAGCCAGCTGGTAGATTCTCTTGCATTAGTCAATGTGGAAACTAACTAGAGATTATCTATAGCTCAGGTATGAAACAGGTTGCTGGTTGTTGTCATTTTCTTCTGTAAGCTTGGTAAATGTATTTTAACTAAACCTAAACTAACAAGTAGACTCAACATGAAATTTAGTTAGGCCTGGAACATGGGAATAGGAAAGACATGAATGAAACAATTTCAGAATTAATCAGTTAACACAATTATTTGCTTCTCAGCAAATTGCGGCAATGGCATCCTCAGAGAATTCAGGATATTCAGACAAGAATCAGCAAAGAACAAACAGAAAAAGGGAGGCACTGGTGATGAAGTATTCAGCCCCCGCTCTTCACACTGCCTCTGTTGGCATTTCAAGACTACAAGCTTTTTCTCCTTCACTGGTTTTAATTCCAAAGGTGCTAATTAAATATGCCCTTCAATTTGGTCAGTCAATTAACTAGTCAGTCAGTGACCAACCCATTAAGCGGTCTGACCTTTTGAAGGTGATAGAGGTCCGTCTTCTTCTGAAGTTCTTTTAATGAGGATATAGACGTGTCTTGATCATCACTGGCTTCAGCTATCAGAAGAACAGAGGTCAAATTCAACATGAAAAAATGATGGCCAGAAACTGCTCATCCATAGAAGGAAGAGGAAGGTTTGTGGAATAATAGGTGGCAGTCAGTACTTTGCATTCAGTGGAGCCCTGGTGGTTTGGAGGAAGGGGATGGGGTGCTGGTTTTCCTTAATTCTTTCTTCTTCCCTTGCAGGCCTATGCAACTCCCCATGGCTGTTCAGACCCCTCCACAAAACAATGAGTGTTGTGGCACTGTGGGCTGCAGGGAACTAGAGAATATCATTTCCCCACAGACCCCATCCTTTGCCTCTACTGGGATGCAGTTCATTTTCCCAATGGAACTGCATTCTGCTTGCAGAAAGACAAGTCAGGATCCAGCTCATTAGGAACTAAGAAACCTTTCGAGTCTTCTCTGTCTTTCTGTTCCCTGAATTAGCTTTCTATAGTCAAATAGGACAAGATTAAGGACATTAAGAATAAGAGATAAGATGCAGCAAACTGTGAAATCCTTCTGCATCACCTAATCCTGCATTGTCTTCCTGAGCACATTTTCGACAACTAAACAGCTCAGTTCTACTGCCTTCTATGAAACATTGTCTGATTGTTTTAAAAGCATATATACTTACTTTTTGTTCCTTCCATCCCTTCCTCCTCTCCCCATATTAAAAATCTTTATGATAGAAAAGCAGCTTATTTTTACTGCCTCAGGCAGTAAGACATCTGCAGAATTAAAATAAAAACAGCCATACAAACACAACAGACCTCAACTATAGCTTCCTGTTTCATTGTGTTTGGTCCCTACTTTTTCTTGTTGGTGATATAGACAATATGGATCTCCTCAAATTCTGCACATATTCCTATATTTGTAATTCTGTTCGCAATTCTCTGAGCCCTCAACTACTGAGGTTTCAGCATTAAGCGCTTTTATATATTTTAACCTCACATTTGCCCACTGTCTTAATTCAGGAGCGGTATATCTTACAGCTCAAAGTAATCTTCTCATTAGGTTTGTGCATCACTCCCTGATGGGCTACAAGCAGAAAAGAACCATGGGAGAATCTGGGAAACTACTCCTCACGGCAGCGATTCTCTAGCTAGTTTTATTTTTGGTCTGTAAGTTGACTGGGTGAAAAGGAGTGAGGCTTTGTAAAGAGACAAGAGATGAACAAGGGAAGGAACATGCACTCTCTTTCAATGGCACATGATGCACAAACACACACACACACACATACACACACACGCTTCCTCACATATATTAGCGTAACAAAGGCACACGACTTGGAAAGCCCCAGGTCTACTGCACAAGGTGCAATGAGTATTTCACACATTTTCGTCAGATAAGCCAGGAAGCTTCATATGCAATCAGAATTACATTCCCTTTTTCATTTTTTGATCTAACATTCGTAATTTAGTTCTGCATGTAGTTCAAGCTTTCATACTGAACTGACCCCCCCCACAACAAAGAAAGCGTTAACAACTTAATCAAAGACCATTGTCCAACTTACTAAATACCAATTAACAATGCTGCATAAAATTCTCAAAAAGATAGAGAACAGTAAATCTCACTTCCAAAAACAGAGGAAGTGAATTCGACAACCTGCTCCTATTCTTAAATTAAATAGTGCAGGACAGACAAATCCTGAGATATGCTAGTTTAAAAAAAAATCTTGCCAAGATCTGTTTTGGACAAAACTGTCAAACTAATTACATGTCTGTATCCATTGTCTGGCCCAATATTCACATTAAGTTTGTTTTAATGAATTTATTTGACTTTTTTTTCATATCAGCTGACTGATATGAGGCTGGATGTGGAAATGGGCCTATGGAATTAGGCCAGTGGGAAGGAACTTCTGTTTTCCTTCTTCCCCTTGGCATTCCTTCCAGTCCTGGGAAAATGCTGCAGAGAGAGCCAGGCATTCCTGCTGGCTGGAGTGAGCCGAGCCTTGTGTGTGTACGTGCATGCATGAGCGTGTGTGCACACACAGGTGTCCCAGAAAAAGAGATAGAAATTCCTTCCATGAGCAAATTCCATCTGTTGGGAATCTCTACTGTACTGATTAACTGACAATAGCTGTTTTGTAAGTGGCATATAAGACATTTTTGAGATTTTCTGCATTACAGTTCTGGACTGAAGCAGCCAGTAACCAAAATGCAGTTTCTATATTTAAGAATCAGCAGGCAGCAACAATGTACTCAGATCTGGTGGCATCATTTTGAAAAGTACCTGTACAAATATTCTTCCTGAATCAAAGGCTAGGGCACCCTTATAAATGGCCAGTTTAGTTACCCCTCAGTAGGTCAGGTGCTTCCCCCCCCCATTCTGGATACTAAAATGCATGAACATGCAACATAAAGATGCTCACTGCACATCCATTGAGTTAAAAAAACAATCAGCAATTTTATAAGATGTGCTGCTTAGGACTATCACTATCACTGTGGGTGTTGGAGAAACAAAGGCTGAAATCCTGTTGCCAAAAGTTATGCCATGTAAGGCTTATGATATCACCAGCTGCAGCAGTTTTTCAGGGATTAACATTATCTGGCCTCTCCCCACCAACAGATGGTCCAAAGACTCCTATGTGAACTATTGTAGCTATGGGAAAGGGAGTAACAGGGGTATAATTTTAAAAAAACAAACAAACAACAACAAAACTCCACTGCACCAGAGTAATTTCACCGCCTGTAGTTACTGTATTTTTCCGTGTACAAGATGACCCAAAGTATAAGACGATCCCCCCTTTTTCTAACCCCAAATTTTAAAAAGCAGAGATCAAAGGGCTCCCTTTTTGGTAAGCCCCATACCTCGGCAAAAGGTAAGGAAAATGGCTGTCAAAGTGACTGCTGCTTTTCCTCGCCTTTTGAGGAGGAGGATTTTTGCTAAGCCCAGCGCACCCTCGCCTTTTGAAAAGGCACGCCTTTTCCGTGCCTTCTCAAAAAGCGAGGACGCACTGAGTTTAGCAAAAAAAGGAAGGGAAGCCGTTCCTCCCTTTCCTTTCCTAATGAGGCAAGAAGAGGCACTCCAGCGCACGCACTGGCTCCACCAAAGAAGGGACAAGGCAGCTGTGATCAGGCAAGCGGGGAGTGCAGGTGGGAGTGTGTGTAAATGCTCCTTCACCTATGCCTCCTGTAGTCTCCGCCCCTGGAGGGGGCGGAGGGAATAAGGCAGAGACTGAGATGAGCTGCTCAATCTCACTGGAGGTGGTGATCGGGCGGGCGAGCGGGAAGGGGGAGGCAGCGTGTGAATGCTCCTTTGCCTCCTTCTCTGCCTCCTGCTGCTGCTGCCTCAGCCACTGCACTGGAGGGGACAAGCCGTGAGCTCTGGAAGAGGCAATTGGGCGACAGCGGTGGCAGCAAGAGGTACCCGAATGCATGCGTGACTGCTACCTACAGTGTATAAGACGACCCTCAATTTTTCCTCTAATTATTTTAGGAAAAGAGTGTCATCTTATACACGGTAAAATACGGCATTTTCGGAAATTAAAGACCCTGTCTCATTCTGAAGCCCCCAAAGGCTTCCCCAAGAGAAAAGGGAGCCTTAAGACCTTTGAGAAGGTTTGAAGCTGTTTAATTCCCAAAAATCCGCCACAGCTGATAATGTCATGCTGTTTAAGTTCTGCTACTGGGCTTCAGCTAAAATCTCAATCAATGACAAAAACTACATCAGGGAAGCTTTTAGCTAGACCCGCCATTTTAAAGACACAGGATATATGCAGCTGTCTAGGTGCAGTTTTGTGGCCCTCTGTCCCCTAATCCCCCCCATTTTTATATACTGGGCAAATTTTACCACATTTTCAGGCCTACCAGCACCCTTGCACCTTTCCAAAGCCCCCATCTTTTCCCCGGTGTTTACCTCCTTCCCCATTTTTTCTTTTAAACTCAGTTTCAACTACAAAAAACCACGGTATCACCGTTTTACAGGATATAAGCACTACATTAAAATGTAAAATAAAACAAATGTAAAAACCAACCTCTTTGGCCCCACTTCTACCCTTTAGCCTCACCCTTCTGAGAACACAGCTCTTGGCCCTACTGACTTTGCTCACCCATGGAGCAGATAATCAGAGAGATCCTTGGGCACATTTCAACTATGAAGAGCAGGGTGCTTATGAAGAAGCGTAGCAAATAGAAGTCTGTATTGTCTGCTGACCGCAGTATTGTCATAGTATTATCTGAATACGGAATACAGTGCAATGTTTTAGGCTACTCTGTGATGAAAACATCATTAACTGGTACAGAGGTTGTCACAGTGCTGCAAGTCTGCATCCTAATCCCTTGCAACTCATCTTTTCAGTTAAACTGTCTCCCAGCCATTTGTTCCCATTTAGAATATGCTCTCCAAAAAATTCTTAGGTCTGCTGATGACATATTCCAAATTTCGGGTAATGCTGTAGGCTTGGATTTTATTGCATCTCTCCATCGACAGAAGGCTGTCTGATCCTAAGGAAGATTTATGAATGGACAAGAGAGAAAGCTGCAGGGGAGAGAAGATACTCCTTCTTCCACAGCCCATCCACACTGCTCCAAAGAGCACTCAGTCTAGAGAGCAGCAGAGGGGGGTCACGTACCACCTTCCCCCCCCCAATTCATGGCATAGTGTTGATTAGACATGAACACAAACCACTCATTTGGCAGTTCGTGCTGGTTCAGACAATGGCCCAACAGGTTGAGGGCTCCTTCGGCTGGCATCTACTCAGAGGCAGCACAGCAGCTTCCCTGCCCCGCCTCCTTTGGGGCGCCGAACCACAGAACACCCGCTGGACTTGCATCCAAACCTGCATGAACTGCACAAACCACAAAACTAGTAGTTTGTGCCTATCTCTAGTGCTGATGGAACACAGAATTGTCTCTCAGCAGATGACATACAAAGGGTCATAACTCACAGTTTTCCCTACTAACCTACTTCCATTTCACAATTAAAAAAACCTTCAAGAACTATGACCAAATTCCCTAAGAATTATGCCATCTGCCAAAAACCTCTGCTCAAAAAAGTGCTCTGTATATTCAATGTATTCTCCAGGTTGATGATCTCTTTGATAACAATGGTGACTAAATAAAGGTGACATTTAAAATTTTAACACAAGCTGGTAGCTTAGGATATACCTTCAAAATTTTTAAGTTGACCCAGGTATTCTTCTAATTTCTCGGCAGGGGTTCCAAGTTGTTTTGCAGAAGATGATGTAAGAATTTCCAAACACTTTTCCAAAATGACCACCAGTTCATCCTTGGCCAACATCCTGAAATTTTAAAAATCTGACAACATTAAGAGCTTACTAGAGATTCACAAAAATAGACTCTACTAAAGTACTTAACTTAGTATTTCTATTTTCATTTGTGTTTTTTATTTTATGAGTTGCAACCTGCCCAGAGTAGTGCTGTGACACTAATGGAAATGGAATACAAATAGAAATAATTAAATAACTAAACAAATAGGTAGGTAGGTAGGTAGGTAGGTAGGTAGGTAGGTAGGTAGGTAGGTAGGTAGGTAGGTAGGTAGGTAGGTAGGTAGGTAGGTAGGTATTAACTGGACTGGTTTTTACTGTGCATTCGTCTACTCTTTGTAAAGACAGGAAAACCACCCTGATTTTCATGCTATACTTTTTTCCCTTGTGTTTGGAACAGTTATCAGGGAGGGGGTTTAAAACCATTTAAAACTACCTGCACTCTAATGATTTAAACAAAGCCTGGCTGGGCTAAGATCAGTGCTAAAAGTATCCCATGTTGCCTTATGCTCCACAAAGCCAGGAAACTGGAGGCTACGACACCTAGAGCCAGCTCAAGTGAGAGCACTAATGCTTCTAATTACTTGGGAGGTGGGGTGCTTGTATTTTGTCTCCTAGCACCATTGAGACTAACGATGATGGAAATAAAGAGAAACATCAAAAGAAGTTTGGAATATAATTCATATATTCTAAACAGGGCATTTTGAAAGGTGCATCTTAGCAGACTGGAGGTGGGGAATGTACTGATTTTGAAGAGGAATTAAATGTTTAATTATGCTTATTTCACTTCATTTGTAAGGCAGAGCCTCTTTCCTTCTATAATGTACTCAAAGGGCTTAGAATATGAAGACAGACAACTGAGTTAACAAACCTTAGCTGTTGTATCTTTTCTGTTACAAACTGTACTGGGAAAATTCCAACTGAATCAAAGAAGGGAATAGGGAGCTTAGCCATCTCTACTCATCACTCATTTTCAACTCCCATACCATTCCACCCTCCTTATTTAATCTCCACCAGGCATCTCAAGTTTCAGAGCAACCACAGACAGGTTTTGCAGCATGCCTGCTAACGTAGATCTCAGCATGGTGGCAAATTATTTTTCCATCACTCATCACGCCGAAGTTCCAAATCTAGAACAAGGAACTTGAACTTGCACTTAATTCAGTTGCACCATAACGTCACAGCATAATGATGCTGAAGGCTATGAAGGGGCCTCCTCTACCCTGACGAATCTATCCTGCCAGATACTGATGTAAACAACAAAATGGCAAAGGTGAACTCACAGGAGGATTTCATATACAAATGTTAACTGGACTGGCAAAGTGAGCTTTTCTTCCAACATTGACAATGAAACAGCACTTTCCACTAAGCCTAAAGGAAGCAGGCTAGCTTAAGTGATGCAGGATAGGAACCCTGACATGCAGCTGTCTCTGCTAACCTCTCCCTGCCATTTGGATTCTCTGCTCTCTGAAGCAAATGTCTCATTTCCCCTAATTGGAGGACTAGCCCCAGGGATGATCAAGAGTATACTCTTCTAAATGCTCAAACTTCATAGCTTCTTCTCTAAATCCTGACATTTCAAAGGTAAACACCACCCTTCGTATAAGCAGCAGAGTGTTATAGCAAATAAAATGCTAAACCAAGGCAACTGAGCTTCATATCTCTCCCCTATGTTAGTCATCACTTTTTAAAGCCTAACACACTCCACAGCACCATTCAAATCATGGGGTCTGCATGTGTCTGTGTGTGTGAGAGAGGAGGGGGGATATGAATGCCCCCCCAACTTATTCTGAGAAAAGGGTGTTGGGGGAATAAAAGCATAATGCAGCATAGTGAACAGGCCACAGAGCAAAATAGTTTAATCCATGGGCTACTCAGCATGAATGAAAATTTAGAGGTTGGCACTGTTCTGCCTGGCAGCTCCACCATGAAGGATAGAAATGTAAATTAAAAACATTCATTTTATCTACAAGAAACAATGTGGCCAGTTACAAAAAAAGCTTCCTGTTTGGCAATGTTTTTAAGAGCCTCAAGGCCTCTCTGAGTAGCAGAATGGAAGTGTTTTATATAGCTGAGCAGAAGGAAATGAAAAGAAGGCTACCTCACCAGTTGAATGGCTGACTCATATTCTTCTGTTTCCCAAACACTCTTCTCTAAACAAGCACAATACAATTCTCTGATCTGCAAAAAGGAAAAGAATATTTTACAAGCAGGGAAAAGCACATTTCTGGTTTACAACGGAAAAGATGAGACTATCACAAGACTGTGTTCTCGATGTATCTAATAAGTGCTCAGAACCCACTAATGTCAGATTTGGGGATTCAAAATTCACATCATCTAGACCTAAAAAAAATAAAGAGATGGCAAAAATATTTAGTGCTCAGGAGCCAGACAGTCAGGAAACCAGCTAAAGATCACAGCAAAGAAAAGTAAAAAATAATAATAATAATGGATAAGGCCAGGTTTATACAATAAACCTAAACCAGTTTTGCTGACATTTAGCATTTTTTTTTAAAGATTCTACCTGCTTTCCAAATAATCTGCAATTTCTGGTATTTACATCTAGGAGACAATCAGAGTGTTCCAACTCTTCATTTCAAACTCAGGATAGCCACAGGATTGTACATCTAGTAGGGACTACACAAAGTTTGCCTGTCTGTCAGTCTATTTATTCATTTTACGGCACTTCTACACTGTCCTCCCAACAGCGGGACTCAGAGCCTGACTACATAGAGAAAAAATGCAGGTTTGGGGCAGGCTGATTCACATTCCCCCCCATCCCATGATTCAATGGGAAATGCAAATCAGCCCACAGTTCCACATTCCCAATCCGTAGTTTTTCCTCCCCAGCACAGATCCTTCTACTTTTTAAAAGCTGAATCCTTAAAATGTTTAAAAGTTGAAGCCCAATCAAGTGCTTCCTTCTTTGCCTTTTCTCATGATGCATGCATGCACGCTCGCACGCACACACACGTGCACAAGCAGCACACATTTACAGGGAGCAAAGCCTCTGACCCTTTTCTCATGAGATGCACGCACGCACACACAGAACACACATTTACAGGGAGCAAAGCCTCTGACACTTCTTTTCTTTTATAATTTTCTATCGGCAGCACTCCTGGGATTTATTTTTATATAATAGGTTAAGAAACTTAGCTTGTCTCTGAGAGCAAAAGTTTTTTTTAAAGCAAACAAAATCATTATATGAAGAAGCTGAAGTAAGAAGCCTTTTTATTATTTATGAAGCAGTACTTTGTAATGGTGCCATCTACAGAGCTATACACAGAACTGTAAGCAAACAGGGTGGGTGGGTTCTCTCCTGTTTTCGCACATACCTGAATTCTCCAGTGCAACTCCACAGCAAGTGAATGCAAGTGAATTCTCATTTCCCTTGCTGTGTAGTCATATCCTCAGTACGAAATAGTGTTAACAGTTAAACTGAGGGTCAGATTATACTGCTTAATGTACATTTATTTGTTTATAGAGAATGTAACAGACCAGTAGTAGGACACTGAACAGAACTGAAGATGAAAAAACATTATACACACTTGTTTGCCTAATGGATATTTTGGAATAGAAGATGTGGCTGCATGAAGACATCGCAGAATTGGGAAATAATTTTCATGATAAGTATTCAGGTCTTGCAATAAATCTTGCACAGTTTTCTAAGGAGATAAAGGAAAATTCTTGATTAGTCTATTACTCAAAACAATAATCAAGAGGAAATTCTCAGTACTATTATACAGTTAATGTACTTATATATATGCCCAGTCAGAAGTAAGCCCCATTGATTCAACAATTGGTTTTACGTACATAAAGTAAGCTTGTATATGATTCCAATTTTTGGACTCATCTTGAAGTGGCAAGCTTTTAAAAAGAATCTTTTCCTCAAGAGAATAACTTGGAAAATGCATCAATATTGTCAGAAGCAAAAAGACAATGGGAAGTCAATCCCAACTGGCTGAAATCCTTTTTCACACAATTACACATCTCTTCTGAATCTCTTTAATTGTTTGGAAGCCATAGCAATTGTCCAACAGGAGGAGGAAGTCATGAACTAGTGAGAATAACTGCTGCTGGTAATGCTGGTAATTGCAACAGCAATTTTAGGTAATTAAAGACTTCCTCTTCCTATCCCATGGCTCTCCAATGATGGAAGGAAGGGATTACATGAGGCACAAGACAGGAATAGAAAATGATTAATTTCTGAAAATCACCCCCAGGTTGATAATACCACTGTGGGTGCAATTGCCTGAGAAGAATTTCAGCTAATGAGTCCAAATTCCAGTGTTTCTAGTTCCCAAAAGCAAGTATTAACTACCCTAGGGCACATTCCTTTGAAGCTTCCCAGGCCTTGACAGAGTGCTAGAAGTGGAAATATCTTGCCCAATCATTTTAACAGTTTTGACTTTTTAAAAACTTTTTTAAAGTACTAAACTGTATTGTGTGGCTGTTACTAACAGGTGGCACATTCACTTTACTTAACTCTCCTAGAAGCAAGATTGGAGTATTATCATCCACCCATCCATTATATACTGTATTTTTTATTTATTCCAAAAGAGTCTCCAAACATATATAAATTTAAGGCCACATATGAAGGTTTTGGATAGCAAACTTCCTCCTGCAGTCTTTCCAACAATGCTCCATTCCCTTCGGGGAGGGGGGGTTCCTAGCCCTCCAGAAAAAGCTTGTAAGAATGCAGAGAACTACAATGCAGAGGATCAGGAGTCCCCCACTGGATAAGCACATTTCCACTTGTATAAATCCAGATACAGATTCTATGACTTGAATTCAAATGTACTTTCTATAACAGGCATGGTCTTCAGTATACTGGGCTTTTACATTCTTCCCCACTGCAACTTTTCCCATCCCCTGAAAAGCCTCATTTCAAGGTTAGGAGAATCAAGCAAGTAAAATGACTCCCTCATGTACGTGTGGATGTGCCTTTCTATCAAAGATAGAAAATCCTGTGTCCAACTACGAATTAAAGGAAAAACTCCAGTGGATACTCCTGATGGCACAAAATCCTGAACAACTGGGTATCTTATGTTTTGTCCAAGCCACAACTATACTGGACTGCTAATGTGTGATCAATTCCTTTCCTTCAGCTGGTAAAAAATAATAATCAATCTTTAATCACAAAATTTGTCTAGCATTTTCAGCTTACTGAAATTTTTAAAAGCAGGCCTCTTTAGAAAAACTTATGATCATAATTCAAAAAGATGTCCTTTTTATATTGCAAAATGTAGACTCCATAAGTTTGGAAGAGAAGACATGTTGAGTTGCTAGCAAAAAGGACAGGTAAAACACATTCCCACCTAAAATGGTGGTTGGCAAAGAAGGCTTAGAAAGTTGGAGCTATGAACCTGATTATGTTTCTTTACTATGGATTACAACACAAATGAAATATTTTGTATATCCATTTTCAAACAACATTTTGAATTCAAAACAAGTTGCAAATAGTAGTATGTCGCATGGAAAGTTTTTTCACCTATGAGAAAGTTACACAGAAAATATAAGGAACCATTGCTTACGTTGTGCCATTGTTAAGAAGAAAACTGCATACTCCACTTACAGATAACAATTTGCAATGAGGAAAACATAATGCAGAAGATCCTGATGGAGTAAAATCACTCATACAGTGGAGGTAGCATGAACAGTCTGTCTTTTTAATTGTTTGTGCAAAATGGTATCAAGTACTTCCTTGCACAAGTGTAAACCACCATTTCTGAACACACATCTCCCCTTGTATACTGGCTTTACCTATGAAGGTACAAAATCCATTACTGTGTTACTAGGACTTTACTCTCTGCTGCTGCCTAAAGAGATTCTATCTAGCAGATCTATCACAGGCAGGAAAGCTACTGGAGAGGCAATAAAAAGGCAGGCCCTAAAGCAATGATAGACAACTTTTTAGTCCAATACCCCCACATACAACTTTTTTTAAAAACAGAATTTGCCTCCTAATGAATGGAAAGGACATTTTCAATATCTGGACAAGTACAAATACAGCTAAAAGTTTTACCATTCTTCCTCTTTTCTTCTTATTATTTTGATTTGATACAATAGTACATTGTAGTCCCTTACCTAGAGGATGGAGTGAGCAACTGGCGGCTTTCCAAATGTCATTAGATTACATCTCCCACCATCCTTCACCACTGCCTTTGTTGGGCAGGTCTGATGTGAATTCAAACTAACAAAATCCAAGGGGCTACAAGTTGCTAACCCTTCTCTTAGGATGTTCTACTATCTCAAGTAAGGCAGAAAATATCAAATTCTATATAAATAGACCATGCTTGACCTGCGAAGCTCCTGACTATATTAAAAAATCAACTTTAAAATTAGGATTACTGATAGTATGAATTTTAAAGGATAAACACACTATCAACACTGGTTTTTTTTATTAATTTTAAATCTAGAAGCAATAGCTCTGAAGCGAGAAAACATTTGAAATATCTGCAAAATACACTTCTAAATGCCCCTGGAATTTGCAGCAATACTGGTCCATTTTCAAAGCTTGTATAGATAATTTCTGCCACATGATTCCCAAAATGGTTAGAAATAAATTGTATGATTCTACACAAATAAACTCAAAAAGATTTCTGTTAGACTGTATTTCTAGTACAGTTTTACTGATATATGAAATATAAATAGCTTGAACAGATTAATAGCATCAACTGATAACCTCATTTGTTTTCAAGATAATCTTAGCTCAACTCCAGCATGCTATGCCCTGTAGCGTAGCTCACGAATGTAAAGCTAGATTTTATCCTTCTGGCACCGAATACATCTGAAGCTAACTCCTTTCTCCTAGTGAGAACAAGCCTCATTGTTTTTACATAAAGATAAACAAACAGAAAGAATGGACTCAAATAGTTAAACCCTTAATGTCTTCCCCCGTATAGAGAATCACTTAAGGACATAAATCTTTGGCAGAGCCTGAAGACTTTGGTGCCTTAACAAAACCACCCGGCAAAAATGCTTGTAATTCACAGAAGAAAAGGCTAGAGCTTCAAAGAGACAGCCATTTGTTACCATCTAGCAGGACTATCGAATCTGAGTTTATATCCTTCTACCACACAAATGTCACTATGGAGGTCTTCAGATCCTTGCAGATTTAAAGAGAAAGTCAATTTGTAGGCCAGTTCCCCTAAATTTAAGTGGCTACATCTGACAGATAATTCTGTGGTATGTTCTTTTGCTGTTTGATGGGACTCGACTGTTTTTGACAGGACTTTCTATTAAGCTCAACTGCTATCACAACTTTGAAATAAAATGTGACAATTCCCAAAGAAGGAAGATTTAATTCAGCTTCATGAAAGCCTTGTCCTAGAAAAATGTAACACTGGCTCATTGGTGCTTTTGTTGCCATTGTTTGATATACTATCATTGTATGGATGAATGGTTTCTAGCAGATCAAGATGAACTCAAATCTCCCCAGATTTAAGAAGTGGTGGCTGCTTTTTTTTTAAATCCTTCACGTCTATGACAGCAGAGCAGTATTTTAATCACATTAGATTTAAGTCTTTAATTTGGGCATTTTCTCTTTTACTTTGCTTCAAACCTTTTTGGAGGAAAAGCAAAGAAAGCACACACACACACACACACACACACACACACACACACACACACACAAGAAACAGGTACATCAGAAACAGACTTGGTAGAAGGCAAATTTTCTTGATCTCCAATAGCTAGTAATTCAGTATCCCCAATTTATCTTGCTGAAATTCATAAATTATCTCACTACATATCTGAACATCTGCAGCTGCCATTTTATGTTTGTTTGAGGAAGGATATCAGTAAGTTCCACGCAGTTACTTCTGAGTGAGAACAGGCTGTTTACTTGTAACTATGGTTCTTTGGGTGGTCCTCTGTGAACTCACACACATGGGCTTCTGTACATAGCCTTGTCTGGAAATTCCTAGGTAGATTGTGGTTACCCTTGTACCCTTACCTCAGCAACAAGTCCATCATCATCTTAAGAAAGTAGTCAGACAGATCATGAGACAGACAGACAAATAGGTAGGGGTGTGTGTGTGTGTGTGTGTGTGTGTGTGTGTGTGTGTGTGTGAGAGAGAGAGAGAGAGAGAGAGAGAGAGAGAGAGAGAGAGAGAGAGAGAGAGAGAAAATTCACTCATGATTACTGGAAGAACCACAATTACAAGTGAGCAACCTCTTCTATTTCTTCTTGGAGGCCTCTGTCACTCAGAGACGACTGGTCAGTTCACCATGGGAACATCACATCAAAACGGAAGAAAGAAATCTCTCCATCAAACACTGCATCAGGCTTGATGCATGCAGCCAACAACTCAATAATAGTTCACAATTTCTTCCCGAAGAGCTTTTTATGTAAATTTCCTACCAGTAGAAGGGAATGAAATTCCATGGGATACTCCTGGGGTATAATGGTAAACCTCAAAGAGCCATTGCTAATGATGCACCAGATGTTCATATAAGGTGTTAGAGGACCTATGTTAATAACAACTTCTGATGAAACTGGAGGGGTTTAGAGAATGAGACATGTGCCTGCATGCTAATAGGACACATCCTGTCCTTGTGTCCTCAGCATTTCCCAAAGAACGAAGCCATGCACCAACACATCTGAGCACATACCTATAACTTTGGCCCTGTAATCTGTCACATGAAGGCTAGCCAGATTCTGTGCACTTCTCTATGAAAGAGGACTGCCACATTTCTCTTGGCTGTCAGACATTACAGTAAGGGAGACTCTATTTCTTCTCATAAGAGCTGACAAACAGCCACAACAGACTGCTATTGCTTATCCTGATGGTTAACATAGTGCTTAAAAAAAGAGTTTGCAAATGAGGATAAAAGTAGTTTGCCAATGAGATCCTCCTTGTTCACTGTGGTAGAACCATGTAAGTTCCGATTAGAGGGGACCCACTGACTCAATAGGAAATTGACAAGTCAACAAATGTAAATCACATTGGTTCAAAGGTTATACTCTAGCTGAAGCCTCTCTCTGGGAATGCAGATTAGCTCACATAAATTAATTGTATACTTATAGGAAACCCCGAAACATTCTAGACTGAATGATTATACCTAATTATTCATAGGGGTTCCTGGCATTCCCACTCTACATCTGTCACTCTCACTAGTGCATCACACAGACTCTATCTAGTTGTGTGGTACCTTGGTAATGTGAGGGAAGACAACCTCTTATCCTCACTGGGACATAACTGTCTACAAACATACGGTAAATGTTACTGTTTGTAGACAGTTACAATATTCTTACAAATAAGTTATAATTTCTTTATAAGAATACCAACCAATAAATTCAGTTCCTAGAGAGAAATCAGCTCTCTGACAAAAAATTTTATGATGGGAGGTTCCAAGGGCTTTTTAAAGTGATACTTTCTTATTCCTATCTCCATGCAGGGGAGGCAGGAGTGGGGATGGCTTATGTACTTATCTTCCCATTCCTCTTCCTTACAACAATACAAGGCAGAATATGAACTAGAGAGTTCCTATGTGTTATGACAGAAAGGTGGATGAGACCCACCACCGTATTAGGATGGCCAGAGGAAAATGTTATCTCTACAGGATCTGGTAGCACAGTCTTTGCTTTGAGAGCAGTATATCTCTACTATGCTGCTAATTACTATAGTTATCAAAGCTGAGGATGGTATCTAACTATTGAGTTCAGTTCATGCAATACTATAGTCTTGGCCATTGCCCTTATATTCGGTTATGCATGGTTAGGAAACCCCCAGATTGATTATTCAGGGCAGAGTGGGCTTGAGGGGAAAGAGAAGAGAAAGCCCCTTTTTGTGATCAGGTTTCCACCTATCCAATACTTTATTTCATCTGCGTTTCCTATGTTCGTTTACTACAGACTGCAAAACATATAAAAACTTATTGTCATCAATGTGATTTCAAGGAAGGCATTAATGTCTTTTTATGAGAATTGGTTTAAGGTTTTATTTTGTCTCTTTGTACCAATAAAGTATATGCATATTAATTCACTCAAATATTTTAACTTAAAACTGAGCAACCAATGAATAAAAAGCTTTCATAGTCAAGTGTATTCAAGTGCAAAATGAGTGTGGCTGCATTTACAACACTGCAATTAAGAATCTGGTGCAACCAGAGTTAGAACATCATTCTAGTTTCTGTTACCAGGCAGATTCTGTGCAGTCTTTTTACTTGAAAACAAAATGTCCAAAACCATCTTGTATAAATAATGCAATATAGACGTATATCCAATTCCTGAGGTAGGCTGTTATTGAATATGCCATATGACAGACTACAGTGAAATTTAATTCATTTGTAATATTATATTACTCTGCACAGAAATTTTAGAGATATCTGGAACACTTAATATTTTAGATGCTTTAATCCTTTTAGATGTTTTTACCTTCAAACCTTCATCATCTGTCAGCAGTACAGTCTGCTTGTTTGATACTTGACTTTCAACAAACCTGAAGAAAAGAGAAGAGGATATTAGTAACAAAATGTGAAGAGTATATAATATTTTTTTAAAGCAGTGTACTTTAGGAAATCACTTGAATATGATATTTTGGAACTTAATATTCTGGTTTACATAGCAGGCAAGCAGTTTCCCAGAATGATCGGCCTACTTGTTAAGAGTGTAGTTTAATAAGTGCAGGCAAGAAGTACATAAATATCATAAAGATATAAAAAATATTACAGAATATTTTTTTAAAACCACTATTTAGAAGCCCCCTCTGTTCTCTCTCCCATTTCTTCTGCAGTGGTCTCTTCCTCTCTCTCTCCACCGTAGTAATTTAACTTGTACTAGGGGTTTAGAACCCATGACCCCACCTCACCCACACTGCTTTATCCCTCTTCCTTGCTTGCCCCAATGTTATTTTTCACACTACAGTGGTGCCCCGCATGATGACGATAATCCATTCCGGGAAAATCGCTGTTAAGCGAAATTGTCATCATGCGAAAAACAATTCCCCACTGGAACGCATTGAAACCCATTTAATGCACTCCAATGGGGAATTACCTCGTTGTTCAGCAAAGATCGCCCATAAGGGAAGCCATTTTCTGAGCACCAATCAGCTGTTAAAATGGCTGCCATGCGAAGCATAGGTCTGGAAAACACAGGGCAGCCATTTAGTGGAGCCGGAAAAATCGTTGTCTTCCATCCAGTGGAATTTCCCCATAGGAACGACTGTTTTGCAAATTGCTATAGTGATCGCAAAAGTCACCATCCTGCGGATTCGTCGTACAGCGGGGTCGTCATTTAGCGAGGTACCACTGCAGTAATTTTCCTCCCTCCACCTCAGTACAGTGGTACCTCAACCTACGAACATCTCCACTTGCAAACGATTCAGTCACGAATGGCTCTGTTCGCAAAAAGTTGCTTTGACTTGTGAACGGAGCCTCGATTTACAAACAAAAAAACCAAAAAATAAACAAAAAACAAAAACCATATTTCCTGCCCCTTTTTTGACCTAAGTTCATCTTAGGTCCAAAAAAGAAGAAGAAAAATATCTCCCCCTAGTGATAGAGTACAGATTAACCTGCTTTGCATTAGTTCCTATGGGAACTAATGCCTCTACCTACGAACAGCACCTCGACATACGAACGAAAAACAGCCTGAACAGATTAAATGGTTTTAATGCATTCCTATGAGAAATCTCGCCTCGACTTACGGACTTTTTGATATACGAACACCAGTCCAATATGGATTAAGTTCGTAAGTCGAGGTACCACTGTATTCAGCCAAGGAGTCAAAGTAGGAGAAAAAAATGTAAGCTTTTTAGACTCTCACAATCCCCCACTGAACAAGGCCAGTTGAAATCAAACTTATCCAGTTACTTAAGTAGTAAGTAATCAGTAGCCTCTGTGCAAATTTTCATGTTTTAAGTCCTGTTATTCTGGTAAAAGTACTACTGCCGTGGGAAGAGATTCTGCTTTGGACTTAAGCACCTAGAACCTCCAAGTTGGCCGCCTTAAGATACAATGTACAGTGATGCCTCACTTAGCGATGTTAATTCGTGCAGAAAAAATCGCTGCTAAGCGATAACATCGCTACGCGAAAATAAAAAGCGCATAGAAATGCATTAAAATGTGATTAATGCGTTCCTATGGGCTTAAAACTCACCTTTAAGCGACGATCCTCCATAGCGCCGCCATTTTCAGTGCCTCTAAAGCGAGGAATCCGTGCCTGAAAACAGCGGGCGGCCATTTTGTTGGCGGCCATTATGAAACCGCCGATCAGCTGGCCAAAAATGGGGGCTTTGCGATGATCACTTCCCCGTGATCATCGCAAAGCGAAATTTCCCCATAGGGACCATCGCAAAGCGATCGCAAAAACAGCATCGCTAAGCGATTTCAACGCTATACGGAGCGATCGCTATGCGAGGCACCACTGTATGGTTGTTTAACTTGGAAAAATCGTTAGTATCCAGAGAAAAATTCATGTTTCAATCAAAGGACTACAGTTTTCAGCATGCTGCAGCCTCTATGGCCAATGTAGAAATAACTTAGCTAATTATTTTAAGTTGTGAATTTATTAGTATCTGTGAAAATTTTGTGTTTCTACCTCCTATGGCTCAGAAGATTTCATTATGAGATAAAAGAACCACACAGAATCTGGCAGGTAACTTCTTTGTATAGCAAGTTCCAGAATCCTTCAGGAAGCATGAACCATTGAAATCAGTAATGCCATGTGTAACTGTGTTTCATGTTCCAACCATTTTTGTTTTGTAACAGGACAATGGAAACCAAGAATTTTACAGAACACATGGCCTAGCACGATATAATCTTTGAATTTATTTAAACAGTGCCTGTTCAAAGTTCTTATCATTTTGGAGCTTTTTCAAGGCAGGCAAGAGTACAATTTGCAGAATCTCCCATACATCATGGACCATCAGTTTGGTTTGTTAACTCTAGAAAACATTATAGTGGTGCCTCGACTTACGTCCGCCCCGACTTAAAACCATTTCGAGTTACGACCAGCTCCAGCTGCAAAATTTTGCTTCGACTTGCAGCCGGAGCATTAAGTTACAACTAGAAAAAAGGCAGGGAAAAAGGTGGGGAATTCAAATGTACTAACCATTGGTCAGCGAAGAGGCTGCTTCTTTGTAGCTCTTTCACCACAATGGTTAGAGTGTGTGCGTTCAGAGGAGGCTTCGGACTGCCTGGTAAAGTGCTGCTTTCTACTTTTTAAAAGCTGTTGTGGGTGAGTTTTGCAGTGTGGGTTTGGGCTGGGTGGTGGGGTTATGGTTCTATGTTGTGATGGGTCTTGCAGTCTTTGTTTGTTTTTTGGTGGTTTTTTTATTTCCGATGGGTCTTGCAGTCTCTTTACTTTATGCTTTTTTTGCATTTCTGATGGGTCTTGCAATGTTTGTTTGCTTTTCGGGTTTTTTCTCCCCTTCAGCCAGAACGGATTAATTGCATTTCAATGTATTCCTATGCAAAATGGTGCTTCAACTTGTGACCATTTCAAGTTATGACCATCTTCTGGAAACAATTAAGTTCGTATATCAAGGCACCACTGCAGTATGTCCGTGAAAAAAAAAATCTCATTTCTACTTCTGGCCATTTTTGGCCAAAGGTCTCTTAACTCCCAGTATTTACTAGCTAGCCCACTCTACACAGTGCCCATGTAGCCTCAGTCTTCAATGAAATCATGCAGAACTATACAGTTCACATACAGTCTCTCACACACAACTAATATAGAAAGATTTCCACTGAAGGCAAACTTGTGTACAGTAGAATATTTCAGCTTTTTACCTTCTAAAAGATGGCAGTCTTCGAATATTTTCACACTGACTAGCTGATAAATTTTTTACTCTCTTCTTAGCTTCTTGCAGTTCACAGCACAACACACTGAGTGGGTTGGAATAAAAATGCTCCAGAAGAGACAGCTATCAAAAGAAGATAATCGAAATGTATAATAATTCTGGAATCTTACTGGCTGATGATGAGGCTTATGTAAGACACAATGTTTATGTTACTAAGTGCATTTTCAATATTCCACAAGATCAGTTACATATTAAACCAGCCTAATAATATGTATATAACTGTCTACAAACATAAGTTACAAGTCTATGACATATAGAGATTGCATTGTTACTGAAGATAAATACTATACGTATCATCTCATCTCTTGCATAATTGTGTTGAAAGATTGCTCTATAGATCTAGATTTTTAAAGTTTAACAGATTTATCATACCACATAAACGTTTCTCAATATTCTTTCATTCCTTTTTCTATGTAAGCCGTTGTTTAATTTCAGCACTGTAAGACTCATGCATGAATCTCAAACAAATTAGGAATTGTATCCAAGAAACCTGTTCTAGGTGCAAAAACACCATTACTTGTATGAGGCTCTGAAATCTGTAGCAGCTTCTTCATTCATCTAACTCAGTGGTTCCAAACCTTGAGTCCCCAGATGTTCTTGGACTACAACTCCCAGAAATCCTGGACAGCACAGTGATGAATGCTTCTGAGAGTTTTAGTCCAAAAACATCTGGAGACCCAGGTTGACAACCAACTGAAGAGAGCAGGTCACCTGCAAGTGCTGACCAACAGCCTCCGTTTAAGATGAATGAGACATTTTGAATGCATGAGAGACAAACACAAATACTTTCTTCATTTCTGTTTGTTGTCACGGGCCATCAAATAATTATGGCAACCCTCATAGGGTTTTCACAGTATGCTAAATACTTAGGGAGTGGTTTTATCAGTTCCATCCCCACTGTGAGCTTCCATGTGCAAGCAACAATTTGAAGCCAAGTTTGTTTAGGCCTATGGTTAAGCTGTCACTTTATCCACTGGCTCTTTGCTTCATTTTTACTTTCTTTTTTTTAACTTTTTATTATTTAATTCAACTTAGGTGAGATCCAATTAGGGAATGTCTTTCCACAGAAAGCCTCCATCAGGAAAAAGGGCAGAGGGGACAGATCCCTCCCAATATATATTTAGAGTGGCTTATTCATCTTTCATTGTTCCTCATGCCATAGGTGGCATCTGATGATGAACCACCCCAGAAATGGCTATTTGTACAATTCCTCTTATTTTTGTGGGCCTGACATTTGTGCCAAAATTTAGGATTTTTTCCGAAATGTAAGCTTACAGTGCTGTTAACATAATTCATAGCTTTGATCACTGAAGTGATTTGTTAAGCGGTCATGGCATAGTGAAGAGGGAATGTGCCATCTTGCCCTTCCTTTTCGTTATTATAGTACAGTGATGGGGCAGCAGCACCTCCCACTTTGATCTTTTGTTGCAAAAAGACTATGGTGGACACTAGGGTTGCAGCAGCTGGCAGTGGACAAATACACAACTGCTGAATGAAGGATCCCCCCCCCACCGGGAAAGTTGCTGCTGTCATCAAAGATGACCTTTACATATTTCCATCATACTGACTACAGGAACACCCTGCCTATCCACCAAAAGAAAGAAGGGCAGAAAGGCCATTTTCCCTTCTACCTCTGCAGAGTGGCTAATAATAATTTTCCTTACTAAACCACGTCATCCTCTCTTATTCAAGACACCCACTTCAATAACATAAATTTACTCTTCTACCTCCTATTTGTGACTATGGGTAAGGCTTCATAAAACTGAGTGCACAAAAAGTGAATTTGTGGCACACAAACAACAAGATGTCAGAGAAAACACTTCTGTTTATCCTTTTCTTCCCATGCTGTTTTTTTTAAGTGCCAGGAAATCTTTTTTATAAGCAGGAATACTTCAGGTTTGGAATCTCTTACCTGAAATCCCTTGATGAAGTTGTGGACTGAGAAATCGTGGTACAAGAATATGTTTATTAGCACTTGCAGAACTTTCTCACTAAGTTTGAATGGAAACTGGCTTGTCAGAATTAGCTGAAGAAAAGAAAAATAAAGACATTTTTTTTGCTTAGGAAGTAAACCTGCATATCTACCACTTTGGGACAGAATCGGGAGTCCTGGAATATATCCTAGAACTCTTTGCATTGCAAAGAGTAATGCAATGATACACAAATCCATGGAGAAATTATTTATTTAAGACAAACAGTTCTTTAACCAAAAAAAGAAAACCATGAAGAATAGCAAACAAACATTATATAACTTTGAAGACATAAGTATTTTAATGAGAAATGTGTAATTTATTTGACCATCTAGTTTGCCCCATCCTAAGGTCTCAAGATGGTCCACTTAAACCAAAAAGGAAGAATTTTAACTCCCGCTGGGTTCAGAAAAAGTATGTTAAGCAAACAATGATTTCACCCACCCAGTCAAAGCATGCTGTCAAACCATCTCTTCAAAAGGCAGACAAAATATTTATCTAAACACCCTTGCTTTCTATTAAAACAATCAAAAGTACAATAAGTTATTAACACATTATTATAAATTATTACATAATGTCAAAATGCATTTTATACTGCCAGGAGTTAACTGTAATTCCCAAACATCCACCTTATTAGCATTTCATATAAACTGATCCTACAGTAATTTCATGCACTGATCTTGACTGAAATGACTGTCGATGTGCATGCATATTGCCAATTGGACTCTGAAGCCACTGGTGTGCCTTCAGAGATCAAGAAAATGTTCCCAGTCTATAAAAGGCTTATGTAAAGAGGCTGATGTTTCACAAACTAATAGGTGCTGTTTAAATTTTTGCTGTATGGTCTAATAAAATATTTCTTTACCCAATATAAATAAAGTAAATTACCTTGTCAATTACTTTAGTCAAGTGATCTTTGCAAGAAAGAGACTGGAAGAGCTCTATGCAAAGCAAAGAGGAAACTGAATGAGGAAGTAACTTGTGAATGATCATCGGGGAGGTGGCAATTCCAAAAATCAGTACCAGTGGAAATTCATGTATACAGTGACTTAAATAAATAGGAGACAGGGGGGGAAAGGACAAAAAAAATTAGTGTAAAACAGCAACATGCTAACACATTTTCCACCATTTCCCTTAGCCAAAAGAACCTATCAACATAACAGATTAAGACTAATGAGGAAATGTAGCAAGCAACTGCCACAATTCTTTCTTTAGAACCCAAAGAAAGAACATTTTCATAAATTAAACATATTCTAAATCTTCCTGGTCATTGTATTTTAAGACTCATATAACTCAAACCAGATAAAATTAAAAGCAGCACACACTTTATAAGCAGTTTTTGTAGTCGTAAGAACAAGGGCATTATTGAAAACATCTAATCTTTGCTTTAACTGGATGGTTGTACTTATTGAAAAACAAGTCTCTCTCATTTGGATTTCTTTGGATGCACCAGTTCCTTCTGTTGTGGTTGTACCTACTGGTCTGCTATTTTAGTCAAATCACCTTATTTGAACTGCATGAATACATATTTTTAAATGATTAATGGTTGTTGTGGGTTTTTCGGGCTCTTTGGCCGAAAAACCCACAACAAACATTCGATCCCGGCCGTGAAAGCCTTCGCGAATACATTAAATGATTAAGTTTTATTTTGCTTTCTGAAAAAACTCCTGAATTAAAGTTATGATGAAAATGATTGAAAAAGCAATAGTAGCAGGAAACGCTGTGTCCAACAAAGGTTCAATAAGAAAAATTGAATATTCTGATTACTACATAAATCAGGCATATCATGCAAAAGCCGATAACTCTTATACACTTTCTTATCTGCATAATTTATCTGAATTTTGTCATGGCATTGATGATTAAATTTCTTTGAAGGACAATGAACTCCATTAATTTCCTTTCTATTCTAACTTCTAGAAATGCTGATTAGCAACCTTCTGGCTTCTGAAATTTCAGCCAATAACAGTCACACTTCCATTCTCACAGCCTTAGGATGTTAAATTCAGTGCCCAGTATCCATTTTTTATTTGTATGGAATCACAGAGGATATACAACCTAATGGAAGCTCAATATACAGATGGCCTTATATTCTTCCTCTTTACGGAAGCTGCTACCATGTGCATAACTTTGTATAAAATGCATTGACAGCTACATTTAAAACAGATGTATCACCCGCGCCAACATTTTATCCCGCATCAACAAAGCAGAAGAAACTTTAAAACTGTGCAATCATACACAAATCCTTCAGTTATTCCTTGATTTTTACACCACTTCTCAGTCAACTGTCACTTTAAGTCAAGTTAGCAGTTGTTCAGAAATCCAATACTGTATATATTTTTTTCTGTTTCTGTTCATTCTTTAAATATATTTTGGTTGCAGGCCTACAAATACTTACTGTGGACTAAATCTTAGTGAACTACTGAACTCCCAGCATTTATGCAGGTCTGCTTAGAAAAAAGTTTCAGAGTTCAATGACAATTAAACTAAGTATGCACAGGACTGCTTCAGCAGCTTCCTTTTTGAGAAAACATTTTCAGGATTGGAGTGTACATCTGTTTTTGCAACAAGTGTCATCCCTGTTTCCAATTCAACCTTCATAAACAAAACAGAGTAATTCCAGCCTCCATCTGTACTTATTAGGAAACACTGACGAAAATTAAAACATGAATCACGATTATTAATTAATTTCCCAGGAGAGGAACCAAGAAAGAAATCAGCCCCCATCATATTACCTGCTGATAACTATGAAGTCCTGCAGAACCTTGGGTGCAAAACTTTCTATATCCTTGAAAATAACCACAACTGGAGGAGACTCCCAGTGTCGAGATGAGAATATTCTTTTTTTGCATGGACTTCCAGTATCCATCTTCTTCAAATAGTGAATAAGTTGAAACAGATTGGGGAAAGAGAAAAATTAGCATATTGGCTGAAATCCAGTAGAAAATCACAACCAGAATAAGCCAACTGAATCAAGGGGACTTAAGGAGGAGCTGACTCACCAAACTCCCACTGATTCAATGGGCCTACCCTAGCTGCCACTTACCACTGGATATCAGCCACTACTACAGAGCATGGGTGCATCTTGCTGAAGGCAAACAGGGACAAGTGTTTAAACAGGAGACCAAGTTGAGTTCCCTTCATGGATGAAGGACAAGATATAAACATTACAAATGGATAACATGCAAAACTGGTACAACAAACCAAAACCTTTTCTGCAATACCAACTCCAGATTTCGCTAAGCCTGAGAACATAATTTTCATTCTAGAAGACTTCTTGCAGCATAAGAAAGACTTATTTGCAGCCCAAGAAACACAAGAAATCATTCCCTTAGATTTCTATATGGAAACTCATCAGAAGTATGAAAGGAGGGAAGAGCACAGTAAGAGGGAGGGTTTCTGTACCACTAGTAGAGTCAACTAACTTCACAAAAAAGCACCTATATTGATAAAGAAGGGTCAGGGCTCCAAGACAGTGTGGCCCTTTACTATGTTGTCCTGCAATCCACTTTCTACCCTACCAGCCTACAACTAGTAGATTCAATAAAGAAGGCAAAGATCACAGGAAAGTTACTGGTTGACAAAAAACAAAAACAAAAAATAAACACCCTTCTGACCAAATTCCTCTGTCCAACAAATAATTTGGTGCAGGTGGAGAGGTATTTTGGTCTCTCTCTCTCTCTCTCTCTACAGCAACTCTTTCCTGCTGCAATCCTTTGATTCTCCTTTATTCTATAATAAAACTTATTTTTTTTTTAAAATAAGCTATTAGATGTTTATAAGTGAGAACAGTGACTACTATCTACGCATTATTAGCACAAGCACAACTATACTACTATCTGTTAAAATTCTGATTTTATTTATTTATTGTTCTTTCTAAAATGGCAAAAATATATAACGTAAGAGGAGCTTTCCTCTAAACGTACAGTGGTGCTTCGACTTACAAACGTCTCTACTTACGACCATTTCGAGTTACAACCAGCTCTGGCCACAAAATTTTGTTTCTACTTGCGACCGGAGCTTCCACTTACAAACAGAAAAGGGCAGGGGGAAAGGGCGGGAAATTCAAATTTCTAACTGTAGGTGGCGACGAGGCTGCTTCTTTTTAGCTATTTTGCCCCTGCACTTAAGAGAGTGTGTGATCAGAGGAGGCTTGGGACTGCCACCTTCTGCTTCTGAGAGTGTGTCTGCATGTCTGCAGGGAGGCTTCAGGCTGCCTTGTAAGGTAAGGTGCTGTTTTCTGCTTTTTAAAAACTGTTCTGGGTGTTTTTACAGTGTGGTTTTGAGCTGGAAGGGTTATGTTTCTGTGCTGTGATGGGTCTTGAGGGGCTTATTTATTTTTTATTTTTTCCCCTATTTCCGATGGGTCTTACGGGGTTTGTTCATTTTTTGGTTCCCCCCATTCCTGATGGGTCTTGGGTGGTTTGGTTGCTTTGGGGGTTTCCCATTTCTGATGGGTCTTGGGGGGTTTGTTTGGTTTTTGGCTCCCCCCCTTTCCAAAGGGTCTTGGAGAGTTTTGTTGCTTTTTGGAGTGTTTTCCCCCATTTCCAATGGGTCTTGGGGGTTTGTTGCTTTTTGGTTTTTTTCCCATTTCCGATGGGTCCTGCATGCATTTTTCTTTATTTTTTTTCCATTTCCGACCTGTCCTCTTTGTTCTCTGCGCATTTCCGATCTGCTCCGCTTGATTTCTGTGCATATCCAATGGGTCTTGCACACTTGATTGCTCTTCTCTCCCTCCCACCCCTTCGCCTGAAAAGGGTTAATCGCGTTTCCAATGAGTCTTGCAGTGATTTTTTGTGTGTGTGATTTTTTTCCTTCGGCCAGAATGGATTAATGGCATTCCTATGGGAAATGGTGCTTCAACTTACGACCATTTCGAGTTACACCTATCTTCTGGAATGGATTAAGGTCGTAAGTCGAGGCATCACTGTGCTGTCCAAAAAGAACATTACTTGCTTACCAGTTGCATACAAACATAAAAGTGCTATAGATACTTCGACACATCAGTTGCTCTTAAGTTTCTGACCCAAGCAACACTCAGTGTTCTAAATTAATTCTGCTTGCTTCCCGGACTAAACTATGACATCGTTCTCTAAAGAGATGTCAGACACATCTACTTAGGGCAGTGTTTGTCTTTGTGCATCGTAAAAAACCCTACCACAAAGAAAGCTATTTGGTCAGTAAGGGTGGAATAGGGAGAATTTCACAGGTAGTTCTGAATCTAGAAAACAGTTATGCTGTACAGACTGGTAATTCTGAAACTTACCTTTGTTACATTCCTATACCAATCAGTAAGAGATGCCACAGAGTAACGTATTCTGTTTGAAGAAATTTTAGAATGTTCTTCCTCTTCAGATGAATCCATATCTATTTGGCAGCCCATCAGCTGAACCATCAGCTTCTGCAGTAAATATTTTATGCCTTTAAAACACAATGAAAATGGTAGTTTTTTGTGTTTTACCCCACAAGAAAAAAATAAGAACGGCATTTCCCCAAGTTTATGGCTTGTTTACATGTTACCCTTTTACTTGTGAGTTTCTGCCACTACATGTAAAAGGAATTCCAAATTTATACAGAAGGGAAATCAAATTAAGCTAATTTGTTTACATTTGGTTTATCTTCAGTAATTTGAAACACTGTCATTCAGTGTAGAATCCATACGTTGTCTCTGAAAGGCATCAAGTTTAAATCTGTGGCCTTTCCAGTTAGAGAGCTCCACCAGCAAGCTAAGTAAAGTAGATACTCATGCAACCAGAACAGTTGTAGCTGAAAAGGGATTGGAATGGTCTACAAGGTCAGAAAGATTTTAGCATGTTGTCTGGAAACCATTGGAACATTTACAAAAAACACATACTTTGTAAAGAAAACACCAGTTCTCATATGCCTTCTTTCACACATCCACTCCTTTCCAGAGATTAAGAAAGGACCAACTTAAAGCCATTTCTCGTAATGCATATATAAACAGCTGCTTGGTTTTAATAACAAACTGAAATCTAATGGGCAAGGAGTGCCATAGAAAAAATGAAGTTCTTCCTTGGACTAAATAACTTGCACTATTAAAATACACTGATGGAAACAATCCAGGAGTGCGGAAAAGGCTTATATATGCTATTGTCTAGGAATACATCTTATGTGGTTGGTGCCACTTTCTAACTGAAAAAGACTCTTTAAGTTGGTACAATATTTACCTGAGCATTCCTTGGACCTCAGCGATACTACAAAGGGAGTAACATCATTCTGAAGAACTTCAGAGAGACTTTTAAAAGTCAGATCATGGTCTGTAACATTCACGCCTAGGAGACAGATCAGTCAAAATTCTGCTAACTTCTCTAAATACACAAGATATTAATCATGGATAACTTTAACCAGTCTAACACTGATTGGATAAATGAATGTTCTAATCACAACAGAACTTTCCACATATACTGAACAACTATGTCACCAATCAAACTGCCATGGAACTATCTGAGGGGAAGCATCCATAGACTTAATCCTCAATTGCAATGCCCAAGCCTAATAGGAAATATAACTGTGGCTGAACTAACTAGAAACAGCCACCATAATGCTATCAAATTTAATTTACATGTAAGTGTAGAAATACTAAGAAACTCCATAAACAACTTCTTTAAAATGAGATAAACGGTTGAAAAGGAAAATTGGAAGGGCAGTCAAAAGACAGTGTACATTTTGTATGAAATGAACAGTGACACAAATGTGTTCCCAGTCAACTGCAGAAAGCAGCTGCAACTTAAGCTGTCCAACCTTTATTTTCAGAGACAGAATATAAGGAATTCTATTAACATTTCCATGTACTTTTTCTCTTGACTCCAAATTAACTCCTGTTTCAGCAAAGCTGATGCTGAAAAAAAAAATCCCTGTTATCAAATGATTTAGTAGCCTAGTTTATTATGCACTTTTGTTTGAAGTCTGCCAAGAGATCATGTGCATAAAATTCCTAGACGCTGAAGCAGTAGAATCTTTTTTGCTGGAATGACAACAGTATGATCTGGTTTTACTTTCCACAAATCACTGACTGTCACTTGTCTGGAGTATTTAGAGGAAGTGTTCTAGATAGTACCTTGCTTCCAAAGTTATCATGACACTCCTTCACTTTTCATAAACGTGAAGCAGTTACACTGCACTTGACTCTCTTCAATAAAATCTGTACCCTGCTTATTAACGCAAGTTATAATACATTCATTACAATCCTATGCATATTTACTGAGAAGTCAGTCTCTGTACATTCAAATACTTATTGCCAAGACAGTATTTACAAGATTCCACCCTGGATGTGATCAAACAATTCTTTTTAAGTGCAATTTGTCTTTTAACTTAGAAAAAAAGGCTGGTTCTAGATAAAAACTCAAGGACCAATTTGTTTTCCTTAAATGTTATCATTTTTTAAAAAACTGCCAATATGTTTATCCCGTATCTTTCCTTACAAAAAGGAAAGGAACATTTGCAAGTACATCAGAGATAAGAAGAATAAACAAACTGTGGACTGACTGATGAATAAATAAATATTTTTGTCAGAAGACGTGGCTGTAAGTGCTCAATGACAATTTTGCCTTCATGTGCTCCAAAATATTACTTATGGTCAAATAATAAAAAAATCAATATTAATAAGTGAAGGGCACGAGAAATGTTTTGTGAAAAGAACTGTTGCAATATTTTCAGTACATTTATTATACAAAGGAATCAGTTTGTTCACCTATGACACTGGAAGAAGTGGATGTAGGCCTCTGAGATGCTACTTGTAATATATGAGAAACATAAAGGAACTGGGAGAAGTCCAACAGACAGAGACAAATACATAGTGCTAATCATCAGAAAGACAACTGTTTGCATAAAATATTCCTGTGATGTTATTAGCTAAAAAATGTTCAGAGGTTCATTTGCAAATGTCTACAGACAACACTAGCAGCTGACACTGATCTGTTAGTAATGTATAATATGTATTATCTGAACAGAATTTTAATAGCTCCATGTGACACTTTCATTCAACCTTACATGTCCTTCCTGCAAGGAGAAAACAGATGCTGGAGGACAGAATAAGACAATTTTAAGGGTTAGGAGAGGATGTCCTAGAGAAAATGAATATGATGTTGGAAGCATATCTTCTGAGAGGGGTTTTTGACACACGTGATGCCTCAATGCTTATGCATAAACTGGTTTTTAGAACAACAGAAGTCCTCCTCTTAAATCTGGAAACAAATGGAGAACATGGGAAGAACTAACATAGAAGGACCAAAACCCAGCAGAGCACCAATTTATTGGCTTTAATCCAAAAGGCATTTTAAAAGGGTGGCACGCCCAAGAGGGCTCTGAAGATATATTTCACCTCCGCATGGCACATATCACATTATAGTTAAAACTGGGTGGCTTTCAAAAATAGACTGACACAGTACGGGGATCTGCAGCATGAAAGCAAAGAACAACAGAAAACAAATATTGGGTATGCTTCAAGAATCAGCAAAGGCAAATGAAATGCATCAGCCAAAATCCTTAGCACTCCCTGTAAACTGGGGCACAATGGTTTCCCAGCCCTTGAGAGCAGGGTGGGTTTTTTGTGCACATGAGGTGCTGCAATGCAGGATCATACTGGCTCTGCTGATCAGGATCCATGTTCCTGATGTTTGTGGAAGCACCCTACTGGATCCTGGCCATTGCATCAAAGTATATTATACAAACGCCTGAACTGATGGGGGTCTCATAGTGAGGACAACTCTGATAAAATAACTTGTAAATACATAAAATTTAATTTACCAAGATCTCAGAAGTGATGACACTGTTGTATTTAGAACAAGCCAGACCAAAAATGAATGGCAGTGGTGGGAGTACTATATGCAGCACCAGACAGAATACAGAGTTCATGGTACAGAGCCACCTAAGGCCATACTGTGATATCCACCAGATGACACTTCAAGCAGCTGGTGCAAGTTTCCACAAGATCAAGTGCAATTTTTTTGCTTGAAAAAGTCATTTTATCAGTTTCAAGGTTAAAAGGAGGGAAACCAGCCTGCTGTTTTATAAACTTGAAGAAAACATACAATTAATACTGTCATCCCAACATTAAGCAAGGCCCACAAGTCTCGCATGAGATGGCTGAGTTTGCAGAAAAATGTGAGCATTCAAGAACATAGAAATAGACGAACACAAATTCAGTGATAAGGGAAACACCAAGTACGACAATCTAAAGATTTAATTTCATGACCTTTGACTACAATAGGTCTAACAAGGTTTCTAATTTCTTTATCTTAGTATTAAGACTCCATACCCAAGTTACAATTGTTATTACTAAAGAAATGATAAACTCAGATAAAGCCTTACCTAGAACAACGGCTGCAGTAGGAATTTCACTGGCTTTCATCCGACAAACCCATTCTGTTTTCTTCTGTTTGAAGTCTGAATGGGATTGTCTCAAAAATTTTAGGAGGTTATCAAAGAGTTTTTTGTTCAGGTCCTCTTGCAATTGCTTTCGGAGAGTAAAAAAGGCACAGAACGTTTGGTTAGACTAAAATAAAAACACACACACTTGTATTTTAATTTTAGAGGCCCCTCCCATTAGATGAAGTTTAATTATATGCAGTTATGTAGTTTGCCTGATTTAAGTTTACAGAGAAAAGAATTCATTCAGTGGCTCAAATATATCCCTTTCTATGGTTTCCTGAAATGTTCCAATCAAATACTAACTGTTCATGGTTGCTCTTTAAGTGTTCCATTCGAAAAGCAGAGTGCAAGAATTTTTTAAAAAACAAGCAATATTCAGACAGAGACAGAGAAATTCATTTGTAGAAAAATGCATCTGACTTTAGTAGGGCAAACTAACTCAAAAATGGCAATGATTTGATCCCTTTAGAAGTTCTAAGGAAAAAGAAATTTCACAGAGCAGTTTCTTTCATAACAAGGTGGCACGTAGATTAAGCAGCAGGTGACAAGATCTATTTTTAAGCACAAAATGCAGAAACAGAATACATCTTGTTTTTGTCAGGTGTAAGCCAGAGTGAAAATGTACACCAGCAATGAAGATTTTTTTTTTTTGGCTCTCCATGTTTTGGCCCACAACTCTGAGCATTATCCAAACATGATCAATGGCAAAGAACTATGGAAGCTGTTCAAAAACATCTGGAGAGCCAAAGGTTTCCCATCACTGATGTATGCCCAGAGCCTGAAACAATCAAAGATGGGAATTTTCACAATGATAACATGCCCTGCTCACATCAAGCATCATCAGGCAATTACGAATCAGGGCTCCCACAATCCCATACATACAAAGGGATCATTATAATTTCAGATAATAATCAAGGGGTTACAAACTATGCTGGCCTTCCCAGTGCAACCAAATGGACTGAGCTATTCACTTCACTAGAAGTTGTTTAAAGGCCCACAGTTTAGTATGGTCACAATATTAAGCTCCTTGATTTTAAAGAAGGAGCAGTAATTAAAGCTTCCCAACTATTTAAATTATTTTGTACTAAGGGGGAAAATAAATAACATCTGATTATTGTTACTACAAATTAGATTGCCATGTCACAGCACAATAAAAATAACTTTATAGTGCATATTCAATAAATGATTAATAGTGGAACAGATTTTGCCTCTTTTTGCAGAACTTCAATGAGAGTAAATCAGGGGAAACACCTCCCCTGTAAGGTTCTGCCATGGTCCGGAATTGTAACTCAGAATTTTTAATACAGTTATCACTCTTTTAATAAGTAAACAAAATACTTTATGTTTGAGCAGACTGTTCAAACACAGCTTGACACAATTTTACACATACTGTCACTGTGGTTTACATTTTCTCATGGTGCTCCTGCTACAATACTGGCAGCTGCTTTTACTCACATATTTTCTGCCAGCTGAACAAGACATCTGTAGTTCTATAAGATACACTATGTATTAAGTCAAAAGTTACAAGAGAACTAAATAAATGCCTAAAGAGAGGTATATTTTTCCATTAAAATTGCCAACTCACAATCCTCTTTCCCACACCTAGTTATCACAGTAGCAAAGTTAGTATACCTTGAAATAAGTCTCATTAATTCCCTAATGTGGATAATACAGGATCTAATATAAAGATGTTTATTGATAGCAACGGAGCTCAATCTCAAATAATTTGTGCTTCGGACTGCAGTATTGTTAGTTATGCCTTATGAAAGAAATGAAATGGAAGAAAAATACTCTTTCCCTAATCTGGAAGTTGAGTCATGGCAACTGGACTTCTTTCTTACTAGGATGAAATGAGGAGAGTTGATAGGAGACCCCTGATATATCCTCCACCTTGGTTTCACTTTCCCCTGGTCTGAAGAGGCTCGTTAGATGGACAAAGGACAGGGGCATGTGAGTGAAAATCCCTTTAAAATGGGCCTTTAAAAAGGCAATGTCCCGACCCAGCAGGACAATGGAACAGTCAGAGCCCACAAAGAACCTGGCCATTCCTTACATGGTGGGTATGTCGAAAAGCTCAAAAGGCTTGTTGGTATATACCACATTCCCGTGCACTTCAAACTGACAAACATACTAAGGCAGAGACTCGTCCATCCAAAAGACCAGACACCAAACACAACAGGAGCAATAAGTGGTGCCTCGTTTAACGGGTGCCCCATTTAACGAAGAAATTGCATAGCGATTAACTTTTTGAAATCGCTTTTGCGATCGCTTTGCGATGTTCCCTATGGGGAAAAATCGCTTTGCGATGACCGGTACCCTGTTTCACTTACTGATCATTGCAAAGCGATGATTTTTTAACAGCTGATCAGCGGTTCCAAAATGGCTGCCGGGTAAAAAAATGGCCATCCGCTGTTTTCTGGGACGGATTTCTCACTTACCGGGCAGCGAAAATAGCCACCGTATGGAGGACTTTCGCTTAAAGGTGAGTCTGAAGCCCATAGGAACGCATTGAAGGGGTTTCAATGCATTCCTATGGGCTTTTTAATATCGCATAGCGACGAAATCGCTTTGCAGCGATTTTTGCTGCACCGATTATCGTCACTATGCAAGGCACCACTGTATAGTATATGTGGTCCAATGCAAAGAGGAGTGTTCAGAGCTCTACACTGGAGAAACCAAACAGACATTAAACAGGAGAATGGGCCAGCACAGGAGGGGCAGCGGCTCAGGACCACAATCAGCAGTGCTCCTTCATTTGAAGGACAGAGGACACTCATTTGATGACCAAGATGTACTCAATTTGGACCGAGAAGATAGGTGGGTTTGAGAGATGGGTCAGGGGGGCCATGCGTGTGCATACAGAAAATCCCTCACTCAACATGGGTGAAGGCCTTAGATACAATCTGTCTCCCCATTATCATGCTGCCCTTTCATCCATCCCCAGAAAGATCAGGACCAGACCCACCAGAAAGACCACTGTTAACAGCCCATGACAGTGGGTGGAGAAGGACTGTAGAAGGTTGTTTTTCACTCACCCCCAATCCTTTGTTCATCTAAGGAGCCTATTCAGACCAGGGGGAAGTGAAACCAATGTGGAGGATATATCAGGGATCTCGTACCAACTCTTCTCAGACTCATCTGGATGACTGAAAATCTTCACAGACTCTTTCCCTAAGTTTTCTGAAGCTTTCCTACCTCTGGCACACTGCATTGGTATCTAGCAATGGGCTATTTACAAGCTTGAGTCATTCTTTGACAGACAGAGGTTTATGCAAACTGCTATAGGGACCTCTATAGCTTTCTTGTACAAATTTGTTCCTAATAACTCACAGAGCTGATCCATACTTACTCTCTGCAGAGTTCTGCTGGAAGAAAAGGATGTAACTATTATTTTGTCCCTTTGCTACTCTACTGGCAACCTCCCCCCCAAAAAAAAACACAATACTTCCCATGATATTGGATTGGATAAGCTTCAAGAACATCATGAAGACTTTTTTGTGATTAATGAGAAGGTCTAAAGCAGAGACTGTAAGCTCATTTAGCTCAACACACTTGCAGTATTCAAGGGATCTGGAACCCTGATAAGCCAGAAGCCTGGTCACATAAGCAATGCAAGCACACTGAGGCCAACACACTTACATTCTCTACTTCATACCTTTGCATTAATCAAACAAAGGTCTTAGTGATTCTGAGTGCAGAGGGGACATGATGTGCACCTGTGCACACGTGGACACACCCACCTTTAGCTCTGTACATTTTCAGGTTTAATGGGTCAACAATGCTATATAGTAAGCCTACAAAAATCTCTCAAAGAGGTTAAGATATAGTTCTGCCAAAATATTGCTGAAATTCTTTCTTCTACCACCACGTTCTGAGTAAAAGTGAAATCAATCTCATGCTTAAAATTAAAGCTCACCTCTGTTTCACATTTAATTTGTTTCCATAACGATTGGCAAGTGTCAAATCGTAGCCCACTATCCTCGGTGTCGCTATTACCTTGACTAAAGTAGTCAACTAGGAAAACAAGATGATAATCATACTCTGGCATATGTAAAACTTTCTTTCAATGAGAAAACATTTGAAGTGCAGCAAATCAGCAAAAATAAGTTTTTGTTAATTTCTTTCTACAGTAGAGACATGAAAATGGAGTTACACTTGCTACCAAATGAAAGCTGAAGGGAAAATAAATACCCACAAATAATTGCTCCAAATTAGAAGATCTGGGCAGCCTCCTTTCAATATTAAAATGAACTGGCAGCTATCCTTCCCTACTGAAATAACACACATACCCTGAAAACCTTACTTGTGCTTTAACATTCTGTCAAAGTATTCACACACTAATTTCCTAGTTTTTTCACTTAGTCATGGAGAACTGATTCCATAAAGAAGTCACTCAGTTGTTGAAAGCTAATCCCAGGTTTATTTATTTATTTATTTATTTGATATATTTATAGCCTGCCCATCTAGTCGTACCGACTACTCTGGGTGGGTGACAACATATCAAATATAAGTACAATTTAAAATAATAACAACATATTAATAAAAGACGCAATGATCCAGATGGGAGAAGGCACAGAGAACAAAATCAGACGGTGGATGGAGAAAAGTCTTGCTTGAACAGCCGGGTTTTCAGTTGGAGTTTGAAGATGCCCAGGGAAGGGACCACACGGATCTCATCAACTTCATCAACTTCTACAAAAGCTAAATCCTAATACTAAATTTTCTATACCATTCTCACTTTCCTACATAAAACACGAGCTTTTTCACACCTAAGCATTTAAACTAATATATTGAGTTCTACAGACAGTTTATGTAACACTGCATCATCTTTAACTGTACTCTGAAAGCCTTCTTCTGAAGGTAGATTCAAAGAACATGTTTTTCAAATACAAGGTGGTTTTTTGCAGTTGTCTAATTGTCAGGATTTGTGCAAAGTTTTATGAATGGGTTCCAAATTCATACAAAAGCTATAGATCCAGCAGGCTCTATCTTTTAGTACTTTCAGGGAAAGTTGCAAACAGAAGAACATATATAGAACAAACATTAAAGACAATTACCCATGTACATTTCTGTTTATCAGGAGTAAATTTCTAGGCTAGCGTTCCTTTTTTATTAAAACCTAAGAGTCATCAATCTTAAATCTAAGAGTCTTCAATCGCAGACATATAATTAAAGAATGTACATGTGTGAAGGAGCAATAGTAGAGTGTGCTGTCCTCTACTAGTGAAGGACAAAGGGAGAAAAGGGAGGTAGAGAACAGGCAAGGACGAGAGGACCTGAGGGAGAATGCGACCACGGAAACTGAGACACAAAAGAGCGGAAAGTTTGAAGTTAACTTGGTGGAGGAAAAAGAAGGCGCGAAAGGGGTAGAGCAGGAACTGTCGGTTTGGGAAGAAAGTATAAATACCCAAGCAGAGCGCCGTTTTGAGGTGGAAGTAGAGCTGTGGAGGAGAGAGAGGGAGATCAAGAAGCTGGGGGAGTATGTGTGGGTAAAGACCCAAGAGTTGCTGAGGGACTTCCCAAACTTGAAGCCAGGAGGGCTGCTCCCCGACCCGCCCTCGCAGGAAGGGAGCAGGAACTGTCGGTTTGGGAAGAAAGCATAAATACCCAAGGAGAGCGCCGTTTTGAGGTGGAAGTAGAGCTGTGGAGGAGAGAGAGGGAGATCAAGAAGCTGGGGGAGTATGTGTGGGTAAAGACCCAAGAGTTGCTGAGGGACTTCCCAAACTTGAAGCCAGGAGGGCTGCTCCCCGACCCGCCCTCGCAGGAAGGGAAAGAGTTAAGCTACGAGACCCTTGAGTGGTCTGTAGTGGTTTTCTCTAAGAACAAGGGAAGGGGCCGCCAGGTTATCCAACCCGATGCTCGGCACAACACTCCTCCATTAGGAGGTGACTGGGCAAGGCACCCATGTTGCAGCACCATCTGCGCAGTGCGGGGCGCGACACGATGGAAGCCGACGGATGCGGAGAGATTTGGCTCTGCACCCCTCTGAGTTCGGTTGGTGAGAGGACTGAATGTGCTTTGGACAGTTATGGCTTGTTGCCAGAGTTGAGTTTCTTTGATCCCTTTTCTAATAATGTTGAACCATCTGCAATCAATAAAGATGAAGCTGTTAGGGTTAAGAAGACGACTCCTGTGGTACTTCCCACGCAAAATGAGGAAACGTCCCAATTCGAATCTGAACCCATTCACGACATGTAATTAAACATGTAATTAAAGAATTCCAAATCAATAAATTTGTTCCAGGTACCAGATCTGAGTTGAGCTCATGACTCTTTCATATAAAAACTCTCCTTCTGGTTAACATTCTTCTAGCTTTCTTCAGTTCTTAATTTACAACACGGGAAGTCTCAAATTAAATTTGACTTCCTATCTTTTATTGAATACTAACCTGCTGAAGATAACCTTCTCCTCTTAGAATCAGGCTTGAACACAAAGCAGCCCTAAAAAATTAGCAAGGAGAAAGGAAATATTGATAACACTGAACATATTAACTCCACACTGCCAGGAAAAACCACTGAATCAAAGACACATTAAACTGACATTTAGGCACGGTAATCTTAAACATGACAATCATAATATAAGAACTTCAAATGTAGCTGCTTTGTAATGTTACACCTATTCTGCAACCTGATAATAGTAAAAGAATGGTCTCTTTGGCATCTCTTCTTTATCATGCTTCTGTCAAAGGTATCACTTATGTTCCTTGTGATTTGTTTAGTGCTATCCACATACAGGAGAAGCCTAGAAAGAGTGATGAGGTGGCATACATCAAGATGCTTCTCAAATACAATAAGCCAGGGAACCCTGGCTTATCATTACCTCCAAACCAATCCAGAAGGGTGGAACCCCTGCACATAATTTATTGGGAAGAAGAATATAAGGTGCAATGAAGTGAATGGAGAACCTTGCTGTGAGAACAGGCAGGCTGCTATACGCAGTTTCACCTCTCAATCATCATCATCATCATCATCTTAAGACTGCAGGACTGGAAGGGATGCTATGGATCATCAAGTTCAGCCCCTGTCAAGGAGGCACAGTGGGAAATCAAACTCCCAACCTCTGGCTCCACAGCCAGATGCCTAAACGACTGAGCTATCCAGTGTTGTTTCATGCAGGAGATTTAAAACAAAAAGGCACATAAACCATCCTGAACAAGAAAAAGGACAAAAAAGATCTTAAAACTTCTAAAATGAAAATAAATGATTCAGAAAATGATGAGCCATGTTGTATACACAGTTACATGATTTATTTTAAACCACTGCCCTATCTACCTACAGTAAAAATATCTGGAGTAGCATAAAAAGGTAAAGGTGAAGGTTCCCCTTGACAATTTTTGTGCAGTCGTGTTCGACTCTAGGGGGCGGTGCTCATCCCCGTTTCCAAGCCACAGAGCCAGCGTTTGTCCGAAGACAATCTTCCATGGTCACATGACTTAGACACGGAAGCATACATCAATATAATAAAATAAAACATATGAACAACATAATACCACAAATGAACAACAAACATCTCCATCAGAAGCCTTAGGAAACAAGAAAACATTTTAAATAAGGAGAGAACTGATAGCCTTGTTCAGAGAAAGCATGTGTGTACTGATGGGGCTAAGCTGGATTCTTTGTTACTAACAACACAATCCCATACAGCACTACACATATTTTAGTTCCACTAAGAAACAACATTAACAAAGTTTGCTGTTTTGTCAAAACAAGTCACTTCTGAGTAATGGCATCCCTAACAGAGGTTTTGAAGAATGTGAAATGTTCAAGGAATAATTTACTGTTGCCTTCCCCTGGTGAGTTTCCATGGCTGAGTGGGGATGTGAACCCAGCTCTCCTGATCTAACCAATGTACTTTTGTTGTTTAGTCATGTCCGACTCTTCATGACCCCATGGACCAGAGGGCGCCTGGCCCCTGGTCAAATTCATGTTGGTCACTTCGATGACACTGTCGGACCATCTCACCCTCTGTCGCCCCCTTCTCCTCTACACTGGCTTAATTGCAGGTTGAGCAGGTACTGAGTTGTAGCCTAAATCTATAACGCTCTATGTGTTAGAGAGAGTGTTTAATTTGTATTTTACTTGATGGTACAGGAAAACATTAAATGCCATAAGATAAATAAATGTTACCAATCATATTTGAAAGGTGTCAATGATATTTACATTATTACATTCCATAAAGTGGTCATGACAGCAACAAATACTACAGTTAAGGAAAGCTGCATATTCTTCTAAATGCAAAATACTGAGTTTTTAATTCTCAAAAATTGTGCTATTTAAACTCACAGCAGAAGTGCTACCTGGAGGAAAAAGATGATGACTGATTAGCTTCCTTCAGAAGGCAAGCCTCAAAAGGATTCTCTCTAATTTTCCAAGAAAGGGATGGAAGAAAAGGCTAGAACCAGCAGGCATGGAAATACTGGCAGCACCGTCAGAATGTTGCTCCATTTTAAGAATGTATGTACATACCAAATTCTTGTTGGGTAAGCTATGCCTGAGAAGGGGGAGCCTTCTCCTAATTAAGAACTTTCTGTCCCATGGCTTGTCTGGCTCACAAGTAATCTGTTTCTTTGTGTGGAAACTGTGGGAGTCATGAGAAAACAGCAAGAAAACTTTTAACTACAAAAAATCCCCTGCTGATAATATCATCATCTTTCTGGAGGCATAATTTACATGTCAATTATTGTTTTTGAATATATATGGCAGGAAAAAAAATGAAGGGGTTTAAATGGGGAATATCGAAAATATAAAAAGGAGGAAACTAGCATTCAAAATGCTAACGAAGTTACTCCAAGTGGAAGCAATTTATGGCTCAACTAACCCAGCCGATTGGTACCCTAGCAGTTAGATACCCAACGACACTGCTTGTCTACTGGAAAGCTAAGGTTCAAGGCCTCTATGTTTTGACTAAATAAAAACATCATAGAGTCATAGTTGGAAGAGACCACTAAGGCCGTCCAGCCCAAGCCCCCGCCATGCGGGAACATCCATCAAAGTACTCCCAACAGATGGCCATCCAGCCTCTGCTTAAAAACCTCAAAAGAAGGAGACTCCACCTCCCTTCGAGGCAGCCTATTCCACTGCCGGACAGCTCTTCCTAATGTTCAGATGAAATCTTGTTTCCTGTAGTTTGATATCATTGCTCCATGTCCTAGTGTCTGGAGCCGTGGAAAACAAACCTGTCCCTTCCTTGACATGACATCCCTCCAAATATTTAAACATGGCTATCATGTCCTCTCTCAACCTTCTTTTTGTAAGGCTAAACATTCCCAACTCCCTAAGCTGCTCCTCATAGAACATGGCTTCCAGACCTTTAACCATTTTGGTTGCCCTCCTTTGGACACGTTCCAGGTTGTCAATATCCTTTTTGAATTGAGGTGCCCAGAACTGGACACAATACTCCAGGTGAGGTCTGACCAAAGCAGAATAGAGTGGTACTATCACTTCCCTTGATCTAGACACTATTCTCCTATTGATGTAACCAAGAATTGCATTGGCTTTCTTGGCGGCCGCATCACACTGATGACTCATGTTCAGCTTGTGGTTTATCAAGACTCCTAGATCCCTTTCACAGGTGCTGTTGTCTAGCCAGGTGTCTTCCATCCTATATCTGTGCAGTTCATTTTTTCTGCCTGGGTGTAGGACCTTACATTTCTCCCTGTTGAAATTCATGTTGTTAGTTTTGGCCCAGGACTCTAATCTGTCAAGGTCATTTTGAATTTTAATCCTGTCCTCTGGGGAATTAGCAACCCCTGCTGAAAGTATTTAAACAGAGCTTTCTATCATGTTTACAGAACAGCTCCCAAAGGACACAAACACCTGTTTTTGCAAACAGGGGAGAAATCTCCACAGGAAATAGGATGAGAATTATCTAACTATGATGTGAATTATTTAATATGCTTATGTTATGATCAAATTGTTTATAATAATAACAATATGTATTGCAATAGAGATGTTTACGTGCCTGTATGAGAGTTTTATCTACGTAATTGATAGCTTTTTGCTAAGAAAAAAGTTTTTTTCTTAGCAAAAGAAACTGGTAAGTTTTTTTCCTTGTATCCTTTGAATTATTAAGTTTTTACTGTTTAAACAGCTATCTACACATATGGACTAGAAGGTTTTATATTAAGGGATTGTGCTTTTTGCAATATACATTTATATAGTTTTTTATATACATTCCAAGTATATTTTACATTTTTGGCTTATTTACTTAAATGCTTGGTTGTTCAATTAACCTTTTTAAAGAATTAAAGGAGTAATCTTTTAACTCTTAAGTTAAAAAAAAGGATATCCAGAAATGAAGGATTAATTAAGTATAACAAGGTACAATATCTTCTGAGATCCCAATTAAATTCCTTGTCAGATGTGTGAAGGACACACATTTATAAGGTCCTCACAGGGAGTCTATAGATCAGGAGCCCTATTATGAGACATGTGGCTCACTCCATGGTAGTGGCGGCAGCAAAGAACTCCTCTAGCATCACATTTCAAACGAATGAGTTTTTCCCCTGCCAGCTTTCTTTGCTGCCCAGCTTCACATCCATGGGCAGTGATTGAAAATATAAAGTGTGCATGATCTTGGCCTTGGTCTCCAGTGAGGCATCCTTAAATTTGATGCAATGTTTCCTCTAAGGTGCACACCTGCGCACTCACCTCCACACACTCCCTCCGCACAGGGCTCCTCCTCCTTCACACACTCACACCAATCATTTTCAGCCCCACTGGTTCCGGTTCCAAGGGAACTACCTAGGGTGGGAGCAGCACTGCACATGCATGGGGGCAGAGCCGCATCCAGCAGGGCTGGAAATTAGAGGGAATGTTCATTTGATTATCTTTTGCAAGTTCCTTCATAGCTGCCCTTCCAAATCTCAGTCTTTTTCTGATTTCTTGGCTGTACTCTCCCTTTGTATTGATAGCTGAACCAAGGTATACAAAATCTCAAAATGTTTCAATTTCTTCATTGTTAATGTTAAAGTTGTGGATGTTCTGCCATAGTCATTATTTTTGTCTCTTTAATGTTCAACTGCAATCCTACTTTGGCACTTTCAATTTCACTAAAAAAAATTTCAAGCCATTGCTGCCCTCTGGCAGTACGACAGTATTATCATATATTATTGCTGTTTCTTCCACCAACTTTTGCTCCTTCATCTGAATCTAGTGTGGCTTTCCATACAATATGTTCTGTGTACAGACTGAAGAGATAAGGGGATAAAATACACCCTTGTCTAACACCTTTGTCTTTAGGAAACCATTCCGTCTCTCTATATTCTGTCCTAATGGTAGCCTCTTGTCCACAATACAAGTTATGCATCAGAACAATTAATTGCTGAGGCACATTCATTTCTTTCAGAACAAGCATAGTTTCTCATGATCTACACAGTCAAAGGCTTTCCCGCAGTCTATCTTCTGAAATTCTTTGGTGCACTCCAGTGCAGTCTATCAAGCATAGACTAATCTTCTTCTGAAATTCTTTGGTGCACTCCAGTAGCCAGTGGATATTTGCACTACAGTCTTGAGTGCCTCTTCCTTTTTGGAATTCAGCTTGAAAATCATTCCTCCAGATAAGTTAAATGCCCTATTGCAATACCATGAAGATCGTTTTGCTTGCATGAGAAATTAAAGCAATGGTCCTATATTTACTGCACTCCTTGGCATGTCCTTTCTTGGGAATTGGAATGCATATCAAATGTTTCCATTCTGTAGGCCATTGTCTGTTTTTCATATTTGTTGGTACAGTGGTGCCTCACTTAACAAGCGCATCGTAGAACAACGAATCCGCATAGCGAGGGGGTTTTTTCGATCGCAACTGCGATTGCAAAGCAATGGCCCCAATGGGCGAAACTCGCATAGCGAAGGTCGGTAAGCGTTTCACTTACCGACCTTCGCTTTGCGCCCCGCGGATCAGCTGTTCGGCGGCTCCAAAATGGCCACCGGAAGCCCCAAAATGGCCACGCGCAGCATTTTCGCGCCCTTGGTAAGCGAGGGGAGGGCGCGAAAATGGCTGCCGGCCATAGGAAAACATCGCTGAACGGTGAGTTTTCGGCCCATTTGGAACGCATTAAATGCTTAATGCGTTCCAATGGGTTTTCTTGATCCGTTTAGCGATGTTTTCACATAGCGAGGGTTAATCTGGAACGGATTAACCTCGCTATGCGAGGCACCACTGTATTTCTTGTTAGGATTTGACAGATTCAGTCTCTGTGGCTTGAAACAATTCAATTGCTATCCCATCTCCCCATCTGGATTTACTTCTTCCTAATGCTTTTAGTGCACTTTTCACTTCACTTTCAAGAACTGTAGGTTCTTTGTCATAGGATTCCTCTTCAAATGAGTCTGTCATTCTTTTATCTCTTCTATGTAGGTCTTCAATGTACTATTTCCACCTTCTCTTTATTTTCTCCTGGCCAGATAGTGTGCCTCCCTGTTGGTCATTCAACATCCCTAATCTAGGCTTAAATTTTATTTTTCTTAGATTTTTCTGGATGAGATCTCTTTCTTTCCTCTTTTCTTGTTTTGCTCTATTTATCTGCAGTGCCTGCTGTAGTACTGTAGTTCTCTTTGTATCTACGTGTGTGCAGGCATCCTTCAGTCTCGAGAGTGTTTATCTGCAGTGCCTGCTGTAGTAGTTCTCTTTGTCTCTACGTGTGTGTGGGCATCCTTCAGTCTCGAGAGACTATGGTAGCGTGCTCTGAAAAGGTGTCTTAGAACAGCGTCTAGTGTGGCTGAGAAGGTCATGAGGGTGACAATCCCTTCCACACGGAAGACAAATACAATCTATCCCCTGTCCAGCTCCCTGATTTTGCTAGTTTTGGGACTGCCTCTTTGCCTATGCCTGCTGAACAAGTGCCTCTTCAAATTGGGAGAGCTCATACTGCACCACCTGCCTCCAGGTGAACACTCTCTACGTAACAATTGCTGAAAAACTGTATTCAGGATTCTGACCTTATTTCCGTCACTTTTTACTTTTGCTTCTCATCTGTCCTTTACAATTCGAAGTGTTTCTTCTGTCATCCATATACATTTTTATTTTATTTTCACTGAGAATTGTCTTTTACTTTCTTCCCTAATAACATCTCTAGTTCTGATCTATAGTTCTTCTGGTTTGTAGTCAGCTGAGTTCAGTAACACATGATTCTCTTAGTGTTCTTTTTCAGTTTTACTCTAATGTTGGATATTAACAGTTCATGAACGATACCACAATCTGCTCCTCATCTTGTTGTGGCTAAGATAATACAGTTTTCTCCATCGCTGGCTTCCAGTTACACTGTCTATTTTGTTTCTATATTGACTATCTAGAGATGTCCATGTGTGTTTATTTGTTTAAAATATTTTCACCTCACCTTTCCTGTCCATGTGTGTTTATTTGTTCAAAATATTTTCACCCCACCTTTCTCCTTAAGAGGACCCAAGGTGGCTTACATCATTAAAATAACAATATTTAACGCTAAAAACAGTAAGTATACAAATATTTAAAATAACTGAACAAGTATGTTAAAAATGGTAAATAAAATCAATACTAAAAACACATTTAAAAGCAACAAAACACAACAATCCAATTTGAAAAACCCTTCTCGGACTGCCAGTCACTAAGGAAAGGCCTGTCTGAAGAACGACGTATCTGCCTGCTTTTGGAAGGACAGCAAATATGGGGCCAGCTTGACTTCTCATGGGAGGGAATTCCAGAGTTTGAGAGCAGCAATAGAGAAGACCCTCTCCTGTGTCCCCACCAAATATCATTGTGAGGGTGGTGGTCCTGAGAGAAAGGCCTCCCATGATGATTTTAATGCCAGGCTCATAGAGGGATATGCAGTCTTTCAGTGCACAGCTGTCTGTTCAATTGCCATGATTTTAATGCCAGGCTCATAGAGGGAGATGCAATCTTTCAGTGCACAGCTGTCTGTTCAATTGCTTGAAGCATGTATTTGCAATAAACATATTGTTGGCTTTGCCGAACTCTATAAGTCACTCTCCTGCTTCATTTCTGTCCCCTAGGTCAAATTTTCCAGCAGCATTTGGTTCTGATTTGCTCCCTACTTTCGCATTCCAGTCACCTATGATTATAAGCATGTCTTGTTTTGTTGTATAATCAATTTCCTCTTGGATGTTTGTGTAAAACCTTTCCATTTCATCTTCTTCAGCATTGGTGGTTGGAACACAGACTTGAATGATGGTTATGTTGAAAGGGTTTTCCATGGAATGATAGATATTATTTGGTGAGATTTTGCATTATATCCCCTAACTGTCTGTGCTACACCTTGCTTCAGTATTAGAACCACTCAATTTCTTCTGATTGTTCCACTGTTAGGGATGGTCAAACAAATAAATCCACTTTCAGCCAAGCAACCATATTTCACCATGCCCTCTAGTTCAAGATGTTTTCAAAACTCATTTTCTAGACTTAGAAACAGTCAGCTATCTATCCTCATGGGAGATACAAATAAACTTTCCCCAAAGCGGTAACACATTAAAGTAACAATATGTTTATGGTTGGTTGAATAACTGCTTCAACATCAGGGTAAGTAAAGTCACAGATTTTTTTTCTACAGTCCATGTCAGTTTCTCTATGGGAAGGATTTAAAATGAAGTGAATTTTGATTCACTTCTTTTCCTCCTTTATCCAACCCATTTTAAAAAAATCAGAATCATTTATTATAAATCCTGCATTGAAACATATGCCCCAAAATGTGATGATTGATTAGATTACTTAAAGAAGGTGCAGCCAAACTAAGTGTATGGTTTCCCCCGAAGGAAAAGGTGACCTTCCAATCAACCCTGTTGCAGGCCTTTTTAAGCTAACAGCAATACCTTAAGCTAGCAGAGGTGCTAAGGCCACCGAACAGCCACTCTGCACCCCCATGAGAAAAAGCTGCCTTTTTCTAATCATCTTGCCTGTTGCCACTCAGGGTATGAGGTGAAGGACGGGGTGAAGGCAAGCCAGCTGGGGAACGCTGAACCAAACTAAACTTTTTATTCTTTTGTGCAAAGAATCAACCGGAATGCGTATTATAATTCTACCTGCATCCCAAAGGCCGTGTATTATGAGCCACTGTGGCTTTACAATGCATTTACGGGCAAAACAGAAAGACAACGGCTTCAAGAAACGGACATGCGCATGCCTGAGGGAGAAAAACACCTCGCGACCACTGCCCTCGTTCGCGGCGCGCGGCAACTCGAACCACAACTACATCAGCAGGTGTGCGCGTGGGCGGGGATTGTATGGCACGCGGCCTCCTTTTAGGCTTACCTTGGAAACTGAACATGTGGTCATGGCGGCGGCCCGAACCGACTACTGTAAACGTGCCAGACTGCCTACGGACCAAACTTCGGGGATGGACGCAACAAGCCAGCCGAGCAGGCGCGTGCGCAGTTCTACAAGGAACGGCGGATCAGGATGTTTCTTCTCCGCGGCTTGCAAGCTATTCCCGCCCCGTCAGTGGTACGACCCTGGTCCAAGTTTCCAATCACGTGACTCTTTCACTACCTGAGGAGGACTATCCCAGAGTGAACTTGGTACAGTCCGACCTACGGCTGAAAGTGGGTGGCTCCTCCCCGAATGGGCTCGCCCACGACAGATATAGGGGGGGAAGAAGAAGGAAGGAGGGGAAACAGACTGTAGGAGCGCTGCTCCGACAAGCGCCATGGCGGCATGTCGTTTCCGGAAGAGCATTGCGGTTCAGGTATGCCTTCTCTCCGTGTCCAGTTGTGGAACTAGTGATGACTGATTTTCCCCCTACGTCGGTACTGCAGTTGGTCTCGTCCGGGTGCCTGCTTTTCTCCTGTGTTCCGACCTTCTTTTCTGCTCTTTCCGTGGGAAGGGAAGGGCCCTCGTTTGGCTCCAATAGGCGGTGCCGTTGACCTGCTGCAGCTACACAGCCATCGTAGCTCATTTTGCAGGTGGCAGCCGTCTGCGATCAGTAGTGATTGATGCACAAAGGCCGTTTGTCGTCCCTCCCTCTTAATCTCCCGAGTTTTGGGATGGCAAAACGTTGTGCTTCTTGAGCAGAGGATGAGCCCCTTGGCCCTTGAGTGAGGGTAGCTTGAATTCAGATTAAAGGCTCCCGACAGAATCCCTCGATCTGCTTCATGGCTGATAGTCCTGTGCATGTTTCCCCAGGAGTAGGCTCTTGAATTTCTTCCGAGTGCAGACTCACGGGGTCGAGGTTGCTTACCTGCATCCTATCAGTGTTTACTCGAGAGTAAATCAGATGCCTTTGGTAACCAGGAAAGCCAGAAATCTTGCAACAGCTTTAAGACGAACTAGGTTTTTTTTGTCTTTCATAAGCTTTTGTATGTCCAGACATACTTTTTCAACACACTCGAAAGCTTAAGTTACTTTTAAAGATGCTACAAGACTTTTGGTGTCTCTTGTGCTACAGCTGACTAACAGGGCTACTGGCAAGGTCCCAGTTTCCCCAGTGCACTTGGTAGGGCAGAAGTGGGGGTGCTTTAAACTCCTCAGATGTAAGAAGTGTCAAATGTTTTTGTAATGATTTTATTTGTTTGCAGCCCACCTACCTAAAATGTCTGGTAACAGTTTGACAGCGGGAGTTACAATAGTGCACATTCCAAGTCGAATTTGATGTTGCTGTTTGTGAAATGTGCATGACTTGGCACAGTAATTGGTAAGGTGCCAGAGCACATCTGGTTTCTGCAGTTGGGTGCATGACCAGTAGCCATGTGCACATGTGGCCCATGCACACCCTGGCACCTATTCAGCCACAGGGTGTTACACAAAGCTTATGCAAGCATCAACAGGATTGTCATCAATGTGTTCTCTCATATTGTTGCATTAAATCCAGTGGCTTTCTTCTAACTAATTGTGGTCATTTTCTTTTAAATCTAGCTTTCACATGTTCTAGAGATGCCACCAGAAAACTTGATAAAATCAATATGTGCTGTTCCAGTATCCAAAAAAGGGTAGATAAGTTATTGTTACTACTTTTTGGATGTGTTTAAAATTGTCATGCTCAACCAAAATGATGATTGAAATTCAAGATGCGGCTTGTGTTTATTAACCATCCTGAAAAATGTAAAAAACAGTTGTGCAAGCCATCATACAGGGGGGAGGGGGTCAACCCAAAATTAGGTGGAAGTGCATTCTGTGGGCAAAATCATTTCACCCATGGATGGGATTTTCTTTTAAGTCCAGTCCCTCCTTCCTTCCACAGACAATAGCTTGGAACTGTAGGCACACTTCTGGGAGGGAAAAGCTGCTTCCACTCACAGATTTACTGCCTTTGTTTTCTCAGTAAATGTTCCTCCTTTTTGCAGGCCCTCAAACAAGTGTTTGTGTAAGAAGGTGTGCTTTTTAATCCCCATTTATAGTTTAAATATCTTATATATTTCCAGAGCTATACAAAGTGGTTCCCACAGCAGAGAAAATGCTGAAGGCTGGAAACTGAACACCAGCTGTCCCAGACTTCAGAGCTTGCTATGCAAAGGGAAACAGCATCTGCTTGATACACAGATGTGTAGCTGTGTGATTTCTTTGCACACACTGTTGTCGTTCCACTTACTGTACTGTACAGTGGTGTCTTGCAAGACTATTAATCCGCAAGATGATTAGTTTTTGCGATCGCTCTTGCGCTTCACATTTTCTGTGGACGATTTTTGCGAGATGACAATTTTTCCCCATTGGAATGCATTAAGTAGATTTCAGTGCATTCCAATGGGGAATCGCGTTTCGCAAGATGATGTCTTCTACGGATGATTTTCGCAAGATGACGATTTTCCTATTGGAACGTATTAAGTAGATTTCAGTGCATTCCAATGGGGAACCGTGTTTAACAAGACAATGTTTTCGCAAGACAGCAATTTTTGCAGAAGAAATTAACATCGTTTTGTGAGGCACCACTGTACTTTGTTCTGAGAAACAACACAGCAAAGCACAGCATGTTACAGTTTTCTCATGCTTCATTGAAGTCATGCCATTGTGCTGGGCAGAAGCAGACACATTTTCTTACTTGGAAAGCAGCCCCATGAAGGTTGACACAGTTAGGCATCCACTGATGAGCAACTGTCTGTGGTGCAGTTGCTGTTGTTTTTTATGATTGAAGTGGGAGTTACTGTGCTCAACGCATCTATTGCAAGGTGGTCACAGAGGGGACTGAAAACTATTTGCCATTTCAGAAGCTTATGGAAATGAGGGTATCCCAGATACTTCCAGCCGTCATCTTTCATGGGTTCTAGTCTCCTTGGACATCCAAAGGAACTGAAAAGATTCTGAAGCTTTAATGTATTTATTTTTTGTTCTTTTTTCTTTTTAGACGATCTGCTGATTTCCAGCTTTTTGTGAGTTCTGTGTTAAATGTTAACTCTAACAGTCATTCAGGGGCAGACATTCAGCTTCACGCCCAGAAGTTGGCAAAGCAGGTAGGCAAAAAGTACTGATTTTGATGCATTTCATGTGCATGGTAGGTTATAACAACGCAAGGAAGAGAGAGTAACATAGGGATTAGCCTTAAAACCAGAGTCCCCTATTTTTAAAATGCACGTGTGCATTTTGTGTGCCATCAAATCTTTTTCTTACTGATGGTGACTCTAAGAGGGTTTTTGAGATATGTGGAATATTTAAGGATAAATCCTGCCCTTTACTTTCATGGCTGAGCAGAGGTTTGAATCCAGGTCTCCTGGGTCCTAGTGCATCACTCTATCCACTACACCAGTGGTTCTTAACCTTTGTTACTCGGATGCTTTTGAACTGCAACTCCCTGAAACCCCAGCCAGCACAGTTGGTGGTGAAGGCTTCTGGGAGTTGCAGTCCAAAACTGCTGAGTAACCCAAGGTTAAGAACCAGTGCACTACACCACATTGGCTCTTGAAGTGTATGTTGGGAAGGAAATTAGTTGGAGGCTCTCACCTGAAAATAGGCTGCTATAGGATCCCGTGGCCACACTCCCTTGTTGCTGACCAGCATTTAGGCAAATTGTCTCTGGGCAACTTTCTGCAAGGACATTAGGAGCAGTCACATTACTAACACCGCTTCTTCGTTACTTGTGTTGATTCCTGTGTGTTTTGTGTGCATATAGGCAGAGTTTGGAAGAGTTACATTTTTGGCCTACAAAGGTATTTTTCCCATGCTTTCCAAATAGCGGTGATTAGAGTGGGAACAATTAAGTAGTCTGTTGATTGGCAATCATGACAGCATGCTGTCAGAGATGCCATCTTTGTTTGATAGCACAATTATTGTCATTGCATGAAAATTCAGTGATAGTGAAATGCAGTGTAAAATACTTTTGAATGCTCTCAAAATGCAGTGAGAACCTACTTGTATTGGAGAAACAACTCAGTATAGTTCATAAATATTTGTTTTTACAAACATGAACAGTGGTGTTACAGCACCAGTAGTTGTACATTATATAGGATGTGCTGCTCATTTGTGGAATAATCCACTGTTTTCTCTGTGTGTTTTTTTAATTTTAGCTAAAATGTGATACAGTAATTAGTGAAATCAGCACAGGTAAAGAAACTGTGGACTTCACAATAGACAGAGAATTATTAACAAAGGTAAGAGCTGGTGTTTCATGTGTATCAAAATTTCGTGTGTATCAAAACATTGACAACTGTGGTTATTATGGTAGTTTTTAATGGCTTTGGCTAAGGATTCACAAAAATGCTCAAATTATACTTTTCTAGCTGTAGACTGGGCATGTCACCTAGCACATTCAGATGTTCTTTTCTAAGTACCACCCTGATAAGTTTTATTAATTTCTTTACCAGCATATAGGTTCTAGCATGGGTTCCTAACCTGGGACCCATGAAGTGTTTGCTGGAGGATCACCACAGTTATTTTCAGTTGCAATTATTTTTATATTATATTAAATATGGCATGCACAGGGTTGTTCTATTTTAATCCTCTTGGCATACAGAGAGGTACATGCTTTTTTGGGTGCGGTGACAGTGGCACAATGACGTGAGAGGGAACCTGGGCAAGGAGAAGTTTCCAGGTACTGCCTGAGTTGTGGAGGAGGAAGCCAAAAAAGAGAAGGAGAAGGGAATGTGGGGGCTGTGGGGAAGGTATTTGGGCTTGAGTGGCGGGGCTCTCTTGTGGGGGGGGGGAGATGAAAGGAAGGTTGTTTCCACACCCCAAATAATAAATTAAACTAAGAAGTGTGTTGACATATTTTCCTTTTCAAATTTTATCTGTTAGAGGCAGATTTATGCCCCCCTATAATTATGTGTTGTTACATTAATTATGTGTTGTTACATTGGGGGACGTGGTGGCGCTGTGGGCTAAACCGCAGAAGCCTTTGTGTGCTGCAGGGTCAGAAGACCAGCAGTCGTAAGATTGAATCCATGTGATGGAGTGAGCTCCCGTCACTTTGTCCCAGCTCCTCGCCAACCTAGCAGTTCGAAAGCATGTAAATGCAAGTAGATAAATAGGTACCACCTCAGTGGGAAGGTAAACAGCATTCTGTGTATAGCCGCACTGGCCACGTGACAACGGAAACTGTCTTCGGACAAATGCTGGTTCTACAGCTTGGAAACGGGGATGAGCACCGCCCCTAGAGTCGTACAGGACTGACTAAAATGTCAAGGGGAACCTTTACCTTTACATTAATATTAATATATTAGGTTAAAATTACATTCTGAAAAGATCTATTTTAACATGTTTTCTTTACCGCATTAAAATGCCTTTTTATGCAAATATGGTGGAGTCTCAGGTTACTTGGCTGTTATAAAAGGGGTTGTGACTCAAAAATGTTGGGAAACATTGCTCTAAAGTAATATAAAAAATCTGAGATAGTCAATAGGTAGATTGATCCCTGAAACTGGATATAAATTCATTCCTTTGTCATGAAATAACTTGTGAAGTAAAACTAATTCAAAACATTTGGAAAACTGACATATCAAAAATAAAATGTAAGCATGTTCAAAACTTTACATTTTTCCAGATCTGTAATGCAAGACTTTTGTAAGGTGTCCATGAGACTACCTCTGTCGCCTTCATCATATTGGTGCTTGTATACCATTTGCATAGCACAGGGGCATAATCCTTAGACAACTTCGCATCTGCTGTCCTCCAATTTTATGTAACAGATCTTCAACGTTACAAATTAATGGTTTAGTATTTAAACTGTAGTTCTTGTATCCTGATGACAGGGAGAGTAAAGACTGAGGATTATGGTAGTACAATTTTTCAAGGAGGGAAACTTATTAGTCTGTCACAGTGAAAAAAAAAGGTCTTGCAGAGCCTTTAAATGAACAAGTTTTATTGGGACTAAGCTTTTGTGAACTGCAGCCTATTTCTTCAGTTGCATGGAATGTAGCTTCTGTAGATGTGTATTTATACAGTAATGGGAAGATAGGATTTTGAAATATAGTGGAATGCAAGAGTTCCAGCATGATGATGGTTAATTAGTAGGCATTAAAGGTTGTTGACAGTCCTTGAGGATGGCAGACAGAAATGTTAATGATAGATGTAAAAAAGTAATTGATGAGTGACAAGTATATTCAAGCATAGATAAGCAGATTAACATACCTGTGATGGCAAAAACTTTTGAAGTCCAGTATAATGAAAGAGTATGGCTTGCAGTTCAGTGGCATTACTTGCTCACGGATTCAGGTCATGGGGGTAAGGCAGAATGAAGCAAGATATGGAAAATTACAATTGTGTTTGTGGAGTTTGCCCACATTGTCATGAATATTCATATGCTATTTGCATAGACCAATGGGAGTTCTGGAGGGGCGGAGTTACGAGGTATAAGACACTCAGCAGCAGGAGGAGGAGTTTAGATAGACATAGATAAGGTTTAGAGAGGGTTTTGAGATGGAGAATTAGAGTGTTAGAGAGTTGATGGAGTTTCAGCAGGAGAATGGTGGTTGAGGGTGGAAAAAGAAGAATGGTAGAGAGTTAACAACATTGCTTGTTCTATCAACACCTGTATCAATAAACAATTTCTATTGGATTCTTTTAAAATGACATATGGTCTGGACATCTATTATTAATAATAGATATTGTTGATTAAATGAACTGTTTGCAGCTGAGGGGCACGTGGCATGAGCTCCTAGTTTGGTGAAACGATCAGGAGCCACGTGGAATCGTGACAGTGTTCATAATATTTTTCATAAATTTTTGGAGATTGGTTAACCTAAACATCCTGCCAATGTGTCATGATCAGTTACCCCTTAAAATGTAAAGCAGTAGTTTCTGCTTTAGCAAAGAGTGACTGTTCTAGTTGAAATCAGAAATGACCTGCTTTATCCTGCTTGGAAAATCATTATGCTGAACACAGTGGGATAGTAAATTTGTATAGATGAGCTGATTAATTTCTATAATAAGATAAGATGCCTTTTGGGTCTGTTTAAATTGGGAAATACAGAATTTATATTATCTTGGGCAAGGTACAAGGGATTTTGGTATCTTGGTCCTCAGTATCCGTGATGGGCTAAATTGTGTCATCTGCCTATGGACTACAGTTTCCTCAGGAAGCTTACGACCTCTCCTACCTAAGATGGAGGCATATGGTCTGAGTACTGGGCGCAACCTACAAGGAATGTTGCTTGATATATGGAGCTTTGGTAGAAGACAGAAGATGCCTGGTTAAGGCTAATGGGTGAAGTGTATCCATGTAGACCAGGGTTTCCACACCTGTAGGAAGTTCTTTCAACAGGCTGTGCAGTCCTTTATAGTACTTCTCACTGGAATCTGAGGGGGGAAAGGACTGTAGAATATGCTATTGAAAAGCTGTCTTTCAGTCTCCTGAGAGTAGTGCAGGTTGTTCGTGGTCGCAGCCACTTATCCTTTGTATCAGATGTCCCAAACTGGGATATAGAACAATGGTTAAAGTAATGTCCCTCTGTCCCTTGAATGAGGCCAGAATCCTATCAGTTAGCTACACAGTTGTGAGCACAAGTGTGTAAACTGCTGGGGAGAGTTGCAGCTGGTTAATGAATTATCATTTGTGTCCCTCATTTTGCATCCACCCATGTGACTGGCACAGAATGAAGGATACAAGCAGCAACTTCTTGACTAGTGGTACTTTGCTCTCCTGCAGTTGACCCCATTTCATTTACACGAGTGTAAAGCTGAGCGTGCTGCTTATATACCGCCCCATAGTGCTTCAAGCACTCTCTGGGCGGTTTACAAGTTAATTATGCGGGCTACACATTGAATCCTCTAAGTTACCAATAGGATTGCTTTCACTGTTTCTACACATCTATGCAATTTAATTTTCTTATGTCAGAAAAGTTACTGAACTTCATGCAGCCTTTGAGACTGAGGGTACCTGCCTTCACATACTGGGAAGAGTTGAGAGCGGCGCTTGAGTTTTCTGTTGTGAGCCTCTGGATAGTTTTCAGTAGATTTTTCATACAAAAACTTATATGGGTTTGAAATAAATAAGGCCCTAGTCACACAAGAGAAATGTTCTCTAGTTATTCCCCCAGTTAGTTTGTTGCTTCTCCCCCCCCCGATCACATGTCACACAGTCAAGATCAAGACATTTTCCCAGCCAGCAGTGTAACTACGGAACATTTCTCCATTGCCAGGAGGGTTGTGTTATTTTCTACCTTTGTTATACCCGGTGCATTCCTTACCAGGATAGCCTGTGTGCACGATCTGACCCCACTTTTCAGAATCGAAGCCAGGAAAGTGGTTGCCATTACTGTGACATGCATATTTATTTTTATTTTTCGTGCCTGATACATCTTTGTGGGTACCACTGTACAGCATTTAATTATTGTATTTATTTACATAATGTATACTCAGCACTCTTAGCCTACGCATCAAGTTAGTTAATAAACTAGTAAGAAGTGATGTAAATGTAATTGTAAAAGGTAATAAAACAAAGCATATAAATTAATACCACAAAGAAAAACAGTACCAGTCTGCTAAAACAGACAGTAAAACTGAATCTGCTCTAAGAGTAAAAACTATCAGTTTTTAAGAGCTTGAGGAAATGTTAATGTTATTTTATGAAAATGGAGTATCAGATTTAGAGAGCATATGGATATGTTGGAAAATAAAAGCTTTCCCAGTTCAAGACAGATCATGAAAAAGGGCAGAAAAAACCAATAGGTTGACGGTTAGTCTACAAGCTCTTGAAGGATATTTTGTAACTTGAAATAGTGTCACTTTGTTTCTTTCTTTGTATAAGTTATAACCGGTATGAGCATTTAAACAGAAATGTATTCACTTGTTTCTTTGTTGCTCTCTTAATAATCAAGGCTTTTACAGTGTATTTATATTTTGCTTCCAAAGACAGTGTTGCAGCAGGTGTTTGAAGATGGACCTAAGTATGGCTTAAAAAGTGAACTTCTCTCAGAATTGCCGAAAGGAAGGGTGCTAGTTGACTTTAGGTGAGTGCATAGGCTTGATAATTTTGAATCATGTTGTTATAATGCCTTGGATGTCACAGGCATCTGCAAGCTGATTATGCAGATATCCTTGTCCATCAGCTCAGATTCATGGTCTTGGTGTGGTTTGTCTCAACCATTCACTGCAGTGTTTTTTCCCCATTTTTATTGCTTTTTAAAATAAAATTAACTTGGGCATGTAAAACATTCACACTCATAATCCTGTATGTATATGGGATGCATATTCCCTTTCTTCTACTTTAATTATTTAAAAAAATCTTCATATTGCCTGTCAATAATACTGAGAAGAGAACCAGAACTTGCAAGTAATTAGGTACTTGTGAGCAGTGTGCAATATGACTAGGAGATACAAGCCTCTTGTTTGTTTTTAGTGTAAAGACTAGAGTAATGGGCTTACAATGAATAAAACTTAGTTATTTCTAAGAGCATTTTCATACATTTTTGAGGCAATTTTCCAGATACCTTGCCACTCAATCCTAAATGTTAAAGGAAGTATTCTTTGGTTTTTTTCTTTTTTCACTTTTGTAAGTGTTTCTGAGGTAAACTCTTAGAGTCATCCATAAGAAGCAGCTTGACGGTATTCACCACATGCAACACAATGAAGCACTTAAGCAATCAAAGCAACTGTGATAAGGGCAACCTGGCTGTCAAGAAGTAATGAGCAACACGACAAGTGCTTTTTAAAATTCAACAATCCAAGCTCTGGAAAGAACATATGTGCAAAAAGTGTAGCTTTTCAATTTGCAATCCCAATTAAAGTAAGTCAGGAAATGAAAGTTCCATTGATTCAATGGGACTAGAAATTGGATATAGGCCATAAGTATGAACACCTTGGCTGAAATTTTGATGGTCAGGATCTGCCTGTGTAATGAGAATTACATCATTGGCAGGGGTGGATTGCCACTGAGTAAGAACTCCTTTTGTGATATGTATGAGCCACGTACACCACAAAATCACAAAAGGAAGCCTTTAATCAGTGGCAGGCTGCTGCTAATGATGTCATTCCCATTGTGCAGGCGTAGATGTGCAACAGAATTTCAGCCATTGTCTTGAGTGAATTATGGACCAGCATGTAAACCTTTGAAGTGTGGCTTGTAAACTGTTTTTGTGCTGAGATATATTAACACAACAGCCAAGTATTTGTCAAGGAAATTACCAATTCTTTTGTTTCAGAATAGAGATTCTATACAAGAATCCAAATTGTGGGGCTCTATTGTTTTCATGGTTTAGCCTGACAGTCATATTTTCTTTCTCACTTTTCATTACATGTGAGGAGCACAGAGTCTCTTGTTTGGAGACAGGGGTTTGACAATTTTATGATTAGGTGCCCACATGCCTGTGTACCTTGTTTGGATATGGGGGAAAGAACATGGAACCTCAAATCATAATGTTTACTATTTCTTGCAGTTCGCCCAACATTGCAAAGAAGTTTCATGTAGGTCATTTGCGTTCTACAATAATAGGTAAGGTATACAGAATTGTCACCTGAATAGGAAGGCTGTCTCCTGTGCTGAGGGTCTAAGAGGCAATTCGTGGGACCATCCTGTTTGCGAGTGCTTATCACTCCTGTTTGTTCAGTATATAGATATTTGGCTTTGGGTGCCAAAAGTTTGCTCCAAGGGGGTCTCTGTATTTATGGTGATCCCAGCTTTTGACAGCTCGAAAAAGGAATTTGGCAAAAAAAGACTGTCGGTAACCACCAGGCATAAGGAGGAGGGGAACAAAGAGAGGGAGAAGAGATTTCTAAAGTTTCCAAACAGTAGTGCAGATAAGTTTGGTCTGGATCTCAGAAGGAAACAGTATTAGAATGACTAACAAAGCAGGAACAGTTTGATATCATGATAGGATATTTTACCTCCTGCTTTCTTCAGGTTTTTTTCAGACAGAAATTTATTGCATCCAGGGTAGCAATTGTAAAATGTAGACTGCAGAATATGCCAGAGTGGATGGATGATGTCAGGTGTTGTCCTGTAGGTTCAAGCCACAAAGTATTGGAGTGTTTCATTTATAAATCTGGAAGTTCTTCCTTTTTTCTTTTTTCTTTTTCTCTCTCTAATGTTTCAGGATCTAATGGTGTTTTGTGTCCCAATCACTGGCAAATCAGATAGGCCATAATTTAAGTACTTAGTCCCTGGTTTTGTTTCCTTGTCCAGATTGCTGGTCTCTCATAACTGGAGTGCATACATGTAGTTTTGCTATTGTTTCGACCACATACTGTAGATGGCATCCAAGTCCTTTGTGATTGCAACTGATGTTTCATTTAATATAGTAGGTGTTGCTTGTCACAGTGGTCTTAAAGGAACCTTCCTTCCTAAGATCCACACAGGTGATGGGAGTGGTTGCATTCACAAGGATGTGGTCCAGGATTTCTGACTGGTAGTTTGAGGACTACTTTTGCAGATAATCTGCCATAGATTTAAAGAGTTGTGGAAAGCTATCAAAGCAGGCTTGCTGGTGGCTTTTGCAAGACATTCTTAGTTTACTCTTTTCTTAGTTTAAAATTGTCCTTAGAAGATGTTGGATGGAAATTTAGCACAATTGGAATGTGTTTTAACAGCGACTTCACTCAGCCTAGTGGTACCATTGGCCATACGCGTAGAGTGGTGTGCAGCTTGGCGATACGTATCCCTATTTTGTCCATGCCTGTTTTAGCCTAGGTTAAATTCCAAGTATATTGCACTGAAATTGCAAGTTATTCAGAAATTATTGCTGCTCAGGAATGGAACTCTGAAGATCTTGGTCCAGCTGGCATCCTGGCTGCCTACATGTGTTTTGTTTATTTTTTAATTGTGACTATTTGAAAACAGAAATAATACAATTTATGTAGATTTTAGGCATTAAGGTGCTGTGTTTCCTGGACAAATAAAATACACACAGAAAGTGCAATTGCTTCCATGTTGACCTATTGTACAGCCTCCTTTTTTTCTTAGTAGCAGAAAAGGCAAGAAATTATATTTCGTGAAAACCATACTCAGACTCGTACTTTAGGTATCTCTTGAGAAATGCTTTTTATGGAGACGTTGCATTTCTTGGAAGCAGTATAGGGGGAAAGGGAGTTGATGTTCTATAAAAATAAGCATCTGGGGAAGAACTCTACAGCTGAGATCAATAGTAATTTTGATTTATGCTTAGGAAATTTCATAGGAAATCTCAAAGAAGCACTTGGACACCATGTTACAAGAATAAATTACCTAGGAGACTGGGGCATGCAGTTTGGTAAGTAATTTTTTAACATTTCTGTCTGATGGTTGGTATTGCATAGTGGAGCCCTGGGCTTTGTCAAACTTTTTCATAGTGAACCTCTTGGAGAGGAAAAAGAAAAAAATGTTTTGAATATCAGTGACTTGCTCTTACAGTGGGCATAGCTTGTTACTTTTGTTGTGCTACTGTCCCCAGAATCTGCCAATAGCCATATTGGTTGGGAACTGTAGTTTTGAAAAGCAGATTTGTCGTATTCTACTTATGGTGGGCTAAAGTATGTCTTGCATAATCATGCCTCTCATTTGTATTGTGTATGTGCTAATTATGAACATTTATGTTGGTTAAGACCCAGTAAACTGTGCAAGCATTTCTGGAAACCTGAGGAAGTCTTAGTGGTCCGTCTCTGGCACTATCTTCCCATGTTCCATGCTAAATCATTTTTGAGTATCTTTTAAGAGTGGTTTGGAACATATTGTTCAAAGAAAATTGCTAAAATCCTGTTTGTGCAACTGTGCCTGTAAAAGGGTGATGATGTCCCCAGGAAGTGTTGATTTTTGATAACTAAAATATATACTGTATATCCGTCCTGTTGCTTTTCCAGCTACCGTACTGTATAATGCCTTTCTTGTCCTGCAAACTATGGGGACTGAAATGGGAGGTGGAAGTGTTTAATTACTAAAACTTGCCACTGCTGAATGACATTATTGGCAGGTGATAATACTTCATTAACTAAAGACTTCCCCCTACTGTCCTGTGGTTCTCATTGCTTCTGTATGATGCCAGAGATTAGCCAGGGTCAGAAAAGCCAAGGAACAGAAGTAGGAAGTTTTTAATTACTGAAAATCATCTCCTGCTGGTGAAATTATTTTTCTTCAGGTTACATGACATGATTTCAGCCTATATATATTTTTAAATCACATTGTGCTTGATTGTTTGTCTTACGTCTGCCTGAAGTTTGCTGTCAGTCAGTATGCCTGTACTTAAATCTTGTGGATATTTCATAATTCCAAAAATGACTTTTTCTGTGAGTCTGTGGCATTTTGTGTGTCTAGCCATTTCAAGTAGCAGCTTTGTGCATCTTGTTTATTTCAAACAACCAAAGATTACATGGACTGTTTTCCCGTACATAGTGTTAATGTTAAGTACACTAAAAGAGGAATGTGCTAATGAGTGGACTATGTTAGAGCTTGGAACATTGCCTTTTTTAAAATGGCATGCTGAAGTCACCTACGATGAAGTAGTGGTAGGATGATGCTCTGGAATCCAGTGCATCATCTTACCAATGCTATGAGTGAATGACTTGAGCATGTTCTTATCTTCAGTTGTCTTCAAAACAACTTTCAAAGTTCTGGGCTAAAGACTATAAAAGAAGGCAAATAAGTTTTGGGTTGTGCCAAAACCAAAGCAATAAGATATGGCTCCTTCCTCAGCTGTCCTTCGTATACCTTTGGCTTCCTTTCCTTCCACACAGCGCCAACATTCTGCCATGATTTTAAAAAACTACTTTAGGCAAAAGGGTGCACAGAAGTGGTCCCAGTTCTCCTTTTTCAATTTAGTCCCACCCACATTGCAGCCGTTCTGGCAACTCTTTCCAAAACTGGCTCATGTGACTTCTGGGTGCCACTTAAAAACTCTACCTGTCAAACTCTGCCTATCCTCTTTGCTTCAGCTGATTCAGTAAGCATCAGGATTTGTAGAAGGCATCAGAGGTCTTTTGGTTATTCTAGCCTTGATATCTGTTTTATTCATTTGTAGAATATCATTACCCTGCAAAACTAAACATACAGGGAAGTGCTGCTGCTGTTCTATATACCCTGCTCTATTCTTTAACAGTGAGAGGTATCAACTATTATATGGTTACCTAACGGCTACCTATTCCAGGTCTGTTGGGAGCTGGCTTCCAGCGGTTTGGCTCTGAAGAAAAACTGAAATCTAATCCTTTACAGCATCTTTTCGAGGTATGATTATGTACAGTTAAATAGTTTGAAAGAACTTCACTGAGCAAACTTTAAGAGACTGTCAAGATGAAAACCCTTATTAGTTTTGTTTTTTACTTTATTTCTTTTTTTAATCTTTGTATCACCAGTCCTTTGGCTCAAAGGGTACACTTTTTTGCGCATTATGAAAGAAAAGCATCGTTAAGACGGAGAACTGTGGCTTGGTGGTGTGGTTGTTCAAATGTGTCCTATGTCTAAAGCATTTTCTCGAAATGGGGATTTAATAAATGTGCCTTTCATCTTTGTTGAAAGGTGGGGAATCCCTGACCTTCTAGTTGACTTGGACCAACCCCAAGAAGCTCCAGCCAATAGGGCCAGTGGTAAGGGATTGCAGGAGTTGTCCAAAAAGATCTGGCTGAGCAAAGCTTCCCTGTACCAGAGCACTTCTTTGAACTGTTCACTCGAGGTGCATGCCAAATTTGGGCTTTGGTTCTCAGTTGTGCTTAGAAGGCTGATGGAAAATTCCATTTGTGGCTTTGCTCAATAGGTACCACAGACACAGCAGGTAAGGCATCTGGTTAGCAAATTCTTCTGTCAGTGAGATGGCCAAGAGCAGCCCACCGGAGGTGGTTGAACAGCACCTTCCAACCTTTCTTGTCATTTGCACTGCTGCCTAGAGCTAATGAGAATTGCAGTCCCACTAATATGTTGAAGGCCACACTTTGCCTGCCCTGCCTTTAGATACCCACACTTTAAAGGAACAAACATTACAAGAAGAAGAAATTAATAAACATCAAGTTATTCTCTGCTTATTACAATTGATTGGTGGTTGTTCCTGGTTTTCTGGCAGGTGGAAAAAGATTCTATTCTGGTCTTCTTCCATACATTGGAACAAGTGGTTACTGCTTGGCCTCTATTCATATATGTCCAGTTTTCCTAAACAAGGCATCCTAGGTATGTTTTGAATGGCAGTTCCCATCAGCCGCAGCCCACCTGACCTGAGATGATGGGAGTTGTCATCAGAAACATCTGGAGATGGTCACATTGAGGACGGCTAATGTACTTCCTGGGAAAGGCAGTATTGGGCAAGGACAGCTGGTTTTTTTCCCCTACCCCCCCCCCAAAAAAACACCCTGTAGCATATTTTAATTTGTTTTAAAGCAATAAGCTTCTGTAAAAATTTGTAATTTATGTAAGCATTTTGCTATTTATTTCTAGTTTCAACAGTCAGCTGTTTGGTGGTTGTGGGTTTTTCGGGCTCTTTGGCCGTGTTCTGAAGGTTGTTCTTCCTAATGTTTCGCCAGTCGGAACTCTGTGCTCCCAAACAAACTGCAGCAGTGTACAGAGTGCTACTCCTGTCCTCTGAAGATGCCAGCCACAGAGACTGGTGAAACATTAGGAAGAACAACCTTCAGAACATGGCCAAAGAGCCCTAAAAACCCACAACAGCCATTAAATCCCGGCCATGAAAACCTTCATGAATACAAGTCAGCTGTTTGTTTTAAAAAAACTAATTTTAGAATATATTTGTGCTACCAACGTACATGCACTTTCTAATATTTTATTAAGCTTGGCTTTCCCTTGAGAACGGTAGTCTGAAGTGCTGAGAATTTTTTTGCTGTTGGCTATGCTTCTACACCACCTCTTTCCCAACTTTGTAGGGCTATAATTTCCAGGGTTTCTGGAAAGACAGCATAACTGCTTTTAAATGGTTAGTTATGGACACACCCTTTGTCAGTAGAGCAGGAGTGTGGAATGCTCATTTTTGGTAACTTTACTTGTACTTTTAACCTGAGAGCATTTTAGAAATCATTGTTACAGTTTTTCCCAGTATGAAATAGTTAGTCTAAAGTTTGTTTACAGTAGTTTGTATTTTGAATACAAGCAAATATTCCTCATAGCATGTGAGTTCATGCTTATGCATTTAGGGAAACACAGTCGTGAAAAGCCATTTCCTGTTTCACTCTACTTTCAAAATTGAAAACAATTTCCTTGTGTTGTGGAACACATAAGATTCTCTGACTCTTCGACTTCAATTGCTTCCGTACATTTGAACAAGTGGTAACTGCTTGGCCTCTACAGTGGACCCTCTACTTACGGAATTAATCCGTATTGGAACAGTGGCTGCAGGTCGAAAAGTCTGTAAGTCGAGTCTCCATTGACCTACAATGCATTGAAAACTGATTAATCCGTAACCGGCTGTTTTTGTTCCATTTTTGTTCCATTTTGGTTTTTTTCTGGTCTGTAGCTCGATTCTCCGGCTGCAAGTCGAACCTAAATTTTGCAGCCAGAGAAGTCTGTAACTCGAAAAGTCTGTAAGTCGAGCCGTCTGTAAGTCGAGGGTCCACTGTATTCATGTATGTCCATCTTTCCTAAACAAGGCATCCTAGGTATGTTTTGAATGGCAGTTCCCATCAGCCACAGTTGATACCTTCATAACATTGGTCTTTGGTTCAGTCAAATGTGAAAAGCCATTTCATGTTTGGCTCTACTCTCAAAAGTGAAAAGAATTTACTTGTGTTGTGGAACACATAAGGTTCTCTGGCTCTTCGACTTCAATTTCCATAAACATCAATCATCCTGACTAGTCACAATGAATTGTAGGGCCACAGTTTTCACACCAGTATGCCTGTTTATATTGGCATCTCACCAGTGTCTCATGCCATTAGGCTCTCCCACTTTTATTAACTTTCATCTGTAAAAAATGTACTTGTTTGGGCTACAGTTCTCAGAGTACCACAGCCAATATGGCTGTTGTCCATGTTGAGTGGAGGATTCTGAGGTAGCTCAGTTGTTTAGTCATCTGTCTGTGGAGCCAGAGGTTGGGAGTTCAGTTCCCCACTCTGTCTCCTTGACAGGGCTGGACTCGATGATCCATAGGGTCCCTTCCACCCCTTCAGTTCTAAAATTATTGTTGTTTTGTTGTCCAAAAAAGCAACTCTTTCATACTCTGGACGCTTCTTACTAAGCTTGAAGGGATGGCCTGTGTGTAAAGCATGTGCTCATCATCAAACAATTTATTTTCTTTTCCTCTTTTTTTATTTTATTTTATTTCATTTCATTCTCCCCCCCCCCCTTTCATTTAATGAAAAGAATTAATCAATTTACACTGACTTGTACTTTTTCTGCTGGTCTTGCATAGGTCTACACACAGGTCAACAAGGCATCAGAAGGACAGGAAAGCATTAGAAACCAGGCCCAAGATTTTTTCAGAAAACTGGAAGCTCATGAAGAAGAAGCAATGTCATTGTGGAGGCATTTTAGAGATATTAGCATTGAAGAATATACCAAAATGTATAAGGTGCTGAGCTGGACTTTTTCTTTTGATTTATATAAATGTGACTGCTGATCACATCCAGGAGGCAGTTACGTTCTTGCAAGAATTACTTTCATTATATTGTGTATTCATCTATCTACCATATTTTCTTGGTGGCATCCAGATAGTCAGAGGTCGTTACTGGGGTTGATTTCCTTCTATTCTACTATCCCCCTCCCTTCCTCCTCAACATCTATTCTAGAGGAGTGGAGGGAGGCTCTAGAAAAGGTAGGGAGGTGGTTTACAAGGTAGAAGGAAGGAAGGAAGAAAAGTCCTCTTGCATCAGCAGAAATCCACACTTACAGTGCTCCATTTCTTTCCCTGAGTCCTGTGATGTCAACAGTTGGGAATACTGTTGAAAAATCAGCCTTTCATAATGTAGGTGGAAGACGTATTGGGTTGATCTAGAGTATCCCTTCCATTTTTAGGTGGGATTGCAATCCAGCAGGAGCACTTAGAGAAACAGAGTTTCACTGATTCTTCTAATAGCCTCCACATCATATGCCATGCTGTTTTGGAGGGATCTCACACCCCTCCAAAACTGATTTTCAAGGGGCTTGAAGTTGGAAGGGGGAGTTGGCAAAAATTCCCTTTTTCAGTAGGTGTGGACTTCTTCTTGTGGGAACTTTGCATCCAAACCAGTGAGGTTACTTTGTTGTTGGAAAAGCCTTAATTCTGATAAAATGGCAAAACAGAAAGTCAGGCCTTGGTAAAGTCTTACATTCATTGGTTTAAGTACAAGATATATTACTAAGTACAGTATATTAGCCCATTCTGTTCTTGCTACTTGCAAGACGAAGCAATGAGTAACAAAGCAGATATGTATCCATACCTTATGGTTCTAGCCAAAGACAGTCACTTCTAGGAAGAAGGAGCCTGGTCTGAGGGCATGTGACAGATCCATACTCAGTTGATGGGAGATTATCTGGTAGTCTATGTGTGTTGCTTTGACTTCACAATACAAGAGGAATAAGATAGAGACATATTGCATAATCACCAGTGTTTTAGTTTGTAACCAAGGTTCCCTTTGAGGTGCGTGACGGTACATGTGTGCAGTACTTTCTCTCCGGGCCCCTCTCGGCGTTAGGCCAGAAGATGGGCCTCTCCTGCCCATAGTATCATGATTTCTTGGAGAAGGGTGGCATAGTTAAATAACATGCCTTGTGTTACACAGCACTTGCAACTAAGCTGTACAATTGCTTGACTACCTTTTTGTTTTGTTTATTGATAACGGAAAAATATCATCAAATGGAATTCTGTGGTAACATAGTGGGTTTTAGTACCTTTTCAATATGCAAATATTTGATGCATATTTTTCAAAATTACGAGTTTTCCCTTTTTGGACAGATCTTTACTTTGTTTTGTCCTGTGAAGCACAATGCAAACTCAGAAACATAGATTTCCAGTGGTAAATTTTGCTTGTGTTTGTGCTTTATATGAATTGGGGAAGCTCACATTAACTGTGAGGACAGTGAATTCCTCATCCATTCATAGGCTGGAGTTTCCTCTGTTTCTGTGCACAGCCTCTGTACTGCATTGTTTGGCAAATTTACAGTTGCAAGTTACCGAAAGAGACCAGTGAAAACATGATTAGATGGAAATGCACATTAACTGGAACATAATGCAGTACGGAAAGACATCCAGACTCTTCATATGACTTCTGGTTTATTGTTGGGTGTTTTTTTGTCTAGCTGATGCAAGAGTTTGCACATTCATATACCAGTTTTTTTTTTGTGGAAATTAGGGTAAAACTGAACATAAGGGGGGCTGGGTAACTGGCCAAAACAGTGGAGCAGAGCAAATTAAATGTGACTACCTCAACATTCATAAATGACATACTGAAATTCTCCATAATATAAATTATATTAGTTCTGCCAGATATCTCCTCTTTTAATAATCTCTTTTAAGTATTTGTTTATTGCCGAAGAACTGTTTGCATATTTGCCCAGTCTAACTAGATTCATTTAAGGTCTCATGTGTATCATCAGAGTTTTAGAGAAACAGAGGTAGCTACTGCCTTATAACATTGATTTTCTGTTATTTTTATGGGACCATGCAGCGTCTTGGAGTCAGGTTTGATGAACATTCAGGAGAATCATTCTATCACGAGAAAAGTCAAGAAGTTCTAAAGTTATTGGACACCAAAGGACTCCTAAGGAAAACAAAGTAGGAACAAGTTGTTTTATTTGCAATTTCTGAAACCGTACACTGGCTCAAATTTCCGTTGCTTACTTACATCTGAAGAGGGAAACAACATAATCAAAGTCCCTGCTTTGGTGCCTCATAGGAGGTGATCCTGCACCACCGCAGTTGTACATAACTTTCATTCTAGAGGTTTTTGGAAGCTAAAGCAATTTATTTTACTGGGAAATGAATGTAGCTGTAGAAATAGATACCAAGATATGAGACACTGAATTGCTTGTTGCATGCAGTTTCCTCTGTACTTTTTTTGAAACTTTTGTTTTTAGGGAAGGAAAAGGAGTAGTCTGCCTTTCAGAAAAAGAAGATCCAGTTCTTGTGATGCGTAGCGATGGAACCTCACTCTACCTAACAAGGCAGGTACCTTGTCTGATGGTTTGGCGGAAATTTAAATAACTATACCCAACTGTTGTTTTACAAAAAAGAAGAAAAGAGTGACAGTTAAAGAAGTTGATAGAAATGCATGATGCTAAGAGAAGTTGAGATTTCTAAAATGTTACTTAAAACCCAACAGCCTTTTCCTTGTTCTTTCTGTTAAAGAAAGAAACCAACCCAGCATCTATGATGAGAAAGGTCTTTAGCCTGGGTGCCGCAATGCAAAAAGCCTTGTTTTCACAACGTAGCTTTGCTCCATGTAACTATCTAATTTTGACCGGAAAATCAGTTACAGAACAATTTGCAGTAGCAGTCTGTTGTGGGAGAAGTACATTTTGTTTTTTTGAAATGTTTATTTATTTTTTTCCAAATATTTTTTTTCAGGGACCTTGCCGCTGCCATCGATAGAATGGATAAATATAATCCCAACGCTATGATCTATGTGGTAAGTAATTCTGGGTTCCTTGCAGACTGTTTTATTTAGAGCAGGGATGGGGCACCGATCACCTTCTGGAAGTTGTTGGGCTACAGTTTTCATCCTCTGCCACCTTTGGTTGTGCTTAGCTAAGACAGATGGGAAGGGCAGTTCAGCATGGGGAAGGCTATGCTTTCTCCACCCTGGTTTAGAGTGAATGCTGTTGCAGATATCAGAAGTGCTCCCAGGAGCTTTAAAAAAAACTGAGCTGTTATGGGAGATGTATATATATCTACCATCACAGCAGCAGCCCTGTTTCTCCTTAGTCTTTCTCTTGCTGCACGGCTGTCTGGCAAAACAGGCATAACAACAGCGACATCATTTCCCATACTTTGCTTTGTTCACCATTACAGGAAGATCCAAGCCCTGTACAACTTAGATCCAGGCTTAGCTGGGCATGGTATGTCTCTGTATGACCCTTTCTGGGTGCTAGGATTTTCAGGCAAGGTCTTTCTCTGGATCAAACGCTCATCGCTCATAGAGGCACATTTGCTAAGACCTTAAGGGCCTTTTTGGTGGTTGCACCTGGACTGTGGAACTTCTACCCAAGAGAGCCTAAGACCTAGGCTGCCCCCTTCCTGTTCTTAATGGAAGATCTTTTAAGGATGGATTTTATTTTTAAGAATAATGCATTAGCAGTGGTCATTTTAAAATAAAGTTGTCTGTCCTCCACCCCCAGTGTAAGATCTATCCAGTTTCATGGCATTCCCCTCCTCTTGGATACTAAGTAGGACCACTGGGTTTGTGTGTTTGACTATAGCATGCTTAATCATTGAAATACATTGAATCATTTTCCCCCTCCTCCAAGACAGATAAAAGCCAGGCTTCTCATTTTCAACAAGTGTTCCAAATACTGAAGTTACTGGGTTATGAATGGACTGAAAGGTAAATGTGGACATGCCTTAATTTTATATATATATACCCTAATCATTTAAAGCTATGTTCTGGAAAAGTATGGGTAGTCACGGCAAAGGCTGCTTGGGGAATGTACTGTAAGTCCAAGGATTGCAACTCGTTTTCATAGATGGGTCATTTGTTCTATATACAGAACAGTATTTGCATTCAATTGAAATGAATCTATCTACCACACTAGGCTGTCATATTCTTCCAGTGTAGGGCTATGAAAGGCTTCTTTTAAGATGTTATCGGGCAGGATGGGTCTGAATGGGGCTGAAGGGAATTGAAATCCAATGTTTCCCCAGCAGTGGTTTGGAAATTTAGGCTGAAATCCTATTGCACGGCTCTGCAAGTGCGACACGGAGAGCAGCAGCTGCATAATTGCTGCTCGTGAAGGGCTTCTTTTCAGGGTGCATGCGACTTCACTGCATCGTGTGTGAGCCCCCTGTACCCCAAAACCACCAGAGAAAGCTTTTCATCCCTGGCAGTTTGCTGTTGAACCTGTTGCTGCTGCACGTGTCGAACTGCAGAACAGGATTTCAGCCACTGTGTTAAATTATGGTCCATATTCAACAGTGAAAGGCCAAAGTACCTGTGATGTGGGAGATCTGCTCTTGGTTTTCCCTGTTGCTTTAATTTTTGTTTAAAAGCAAGCATGTGTGGTCTGTGCTGGGTCCAGATAGCTGGGCTTTCATGGTGAGAGTTTACATGTAGGGTGGTGGTGAAATGAATCCTTGCTGTGCGGACGTGTTAAACCTTCCTAATCTAAAATGCCCCACTAGAAGTGACAATTGGTGGGTGGACAAGCTTATGCATTTGCCTACAATTAGTTAGCGTAATGTGGAATACTTGCATTCATAAGCCAACGTGTTAAAAAAAAGTAAAGCACTAGATTTCAGTCATTAAAGTAAAATGAAATTAAACCAGTTGAACTTAAAAGGCACACAGTATATGTAGGGGGAAATCAAGAAAGGTTCTTGTTGTCTTCTGTGTTCCTTGAGGATACATTGCCATTGGCTTGCTTAAGCCTCTTTTATACTCACTGAGGTTAGAGAGATATCCATTATTATTATTAGAGCTCATATAAGAATCTTTAGACTCAGATAGTTTTAAAGAAGGGGTAGGTGGAGAGGTAGCCCGGGATCTATTGGCTGAGCCTTGAGCAATTTGTATAGCTCACCAAAGATGCCTGAGTCCTAGTTGTTTAACAATAGCAACAACATTCTCAGAACATTGAGACTTTAGAAGTCAAGAAAACACAGAAGACGAGCAGGAATGGATTTTTGTGTAAAGCAAATTGTGTGTTGTTCTGGAAGTGAAAACAAATTTGTGGGCTGGGATGCACTCGAAGATGCCCTGTGCCTTTTCACTTCTTTCTGAGCCATTGTTTGTGTATAGCTGTACGTAACTGGTGGATCTCAGCTTTTGGGAAACACTGGAGTGGATATCCCATAACATGCTGCCTTATCCTGAGTCAGATTACTGCTCTAGCTGGACCATTATTAACAACTCTGGCTGACAGCGGCTCTCCAGGGTTTCAAGCAGGATTCTTGGAGAGATCTATAGTGTTTCCTAGCACTCCCCCACCCAAATGATAATCAGTGTAGTGTACTGGATAGAGTGATAGACTAGAACTCAGGAGACCTGGGTTCAAATCCCCACTTAGCCACGGAAGCTCACTGCCGATGTGGAACTGGTAAAATGAGGTATCTCATTTAGCTTGAAAGCCCTACTAGGATCGCTGTAAATTATTTCCAGCCTGAGGGCACATAACAACTCCTGTCTTAGTACTAATTAAGCCTGGCCCTGCTTTGTATCTAGAAGTAGAAGAGATTGACAGTTTCTGGGTAGTATGCTGGGGCACTCCTGCTTTAGGGAGCTTTATCTATCCTGCCTAGATCCAAGGTAGGGTTTTGTTATATCTCGTCCTTCTTTTAAAGTCCAGAAACCTGGAAAAGTGAAGCATCCCCCAGTTTGGCTTGAACTCTTAAAACTAGGGTACCATGAATGGTTCTCATGCCTGAATTTTATGAAGAGGGTGTTGTACATTTCATTCTCAAATTTTAGTAACTGAGAAGTAACTTATTTTCAGAGTAGAAATTCAGTTCCAGAAGGGCGCTAGTGGCATTTGTACATAAAGAGGTTAGTCTTAGTTATTACCTTTCAGAAATATTTTCGGAAATATTAGCTTTCACAAATACCACTTTTGTCTGTAAAGGGAATCAGGTCTTGTATATCCTTCAGCTGCCATTTGTCAGGTGCGGGTGATGCAAATACTGTATGGTGATTTCTGAGTTTGATGCAGATGCCAGCACATGCCCTTTGGGAAAATCCAAGGGATGAAGACTCGAAAAGGAGAGGTGGTTTTCCTGGAAGATGTGTTGGATGAAGCTTGTTCCATGGTGCTGGAAAAAAGTGCTTCTACAAAAGGTTAGGTGTTGCTTCCTGTCCCACGTATAGGTTTCTCAGGAGAAAGATAAGGTGGTCAGGAACTCCCATTTCTTTAAGGACTTGCCATAGTTTGCTGTGGTCCACACAGTCAAAGGCTTTTGCATAGTCAATGAAACAGAAGGAGATGTTTTTCTGGAACTCTCTAGCTTTCTCCATAATCCAGTGCATGTTAGCAATTTGGTCTCAAGTTCCTCTGCCCTTTCGAAATCCAGCGTGTACTTCTGGGAGTTCTCAGTCCACATACTGCTGAAGCCTACCTTGGAGGATTTTGAGCATAACCTTGCTAGCGTGTGAAATGAGTGCAATTGTACGGTAGTTGGAGCATTCTTTGGCACTGCCCTTCTTTGGGATTGGGATGTAGACTGATCTTTTCCAGTCCTCTGGCCACTGTTGAGTTTTCCAAACTAACCTGAGTGTTCACTGGAAGGACAGATCCTGAAGCTGAGGCTCCAATACTTTGGCCATCTCATGAGAAGAGAAGACTCCCTGGAAAAGACCCTGTTGTTAGGAAAGTGTGAAGGCAAGAGGAGAGGACGAGATGGCTGGACAGTGTCATCGAAGCTACCAACATGAATTTGACCCAACTCCGTGAGGCAATGGAAGACAGGAGGGCCTGGCATGCTCTGGTCCATGCGGTCACGAAGAGTCGGACACGGCTAAATGACTAAACAACAACAATTAACCTTATGATTATGCTGGTAGCAGTGCAAGGTCTTAGCAGTTTGTTTCCAAGCCGTGGTAGTGTACTCTTTAAGTTTTGTTTCCCCACTCCCTTTGGAACCTTGTCAAAGCAACACTGACTTCTGCTTCTTAAGATCTCCCAATTCAAGATCAACCTGCCTGAAACCTGTATGTTTTTTTTTACTATGAACTGGGGTACCTAAGAGGCAGAAGTCAGTGTGGCTTTGACAAGATTCCAAAGGGAGTGGGGAAAGAAAAACTAAGAGTACATTCCACCATGGTTGGAAACAAGTGCTGAAACCTTGCAGCAAATATTGAAGGAATTATTTTCTTGTCAAAGATCTGGCCTGTGTTGTTTGGATTACTGTCTTTTTTTAATTAGTGGGGGTGAGATATTCATTGCTGGTCAGATATTTCTCTTTTCATTTATTTTTATCACTGCTGTATCTGCTTTTATTGCTGCTTTTATTATCCAATTTTGATTGGGTTTTTCATTTCATGCTTTTATCCAACTGGGAAGGTTTTGTGCTGATAGGTTGTGTGTGCATCTTTTGCATGTGTGCATGTCTATCTGTATGTCTGCCTGCCTACCTATCACATACATTCATGACTAAACTATCGTAGAAGTAAATGATTTTTCAAGAAATTATGCAAAACATGGGAGTAAAGGGGCATGTCTAAAGCCTTCGTAGAGTTGTTTCAGATTTATTCCCAGATCAACTTAGAAAAATTACTTTATTTTACACCACACTTTTCAGACCTTCCCTACCCAGCATAGCCAGGTGTCAAGGAATCAAATGTTAATGATAGTTGTTATGTGAACCATCTGCAGTGTTCTACAGCTTGATATTTGAGGCATTCCTAAAATGGGGTTACAATCATCCTATTTTAACTTTTGCAAGGGTGGTGCAGATATATTGGCTGAAATCCTGTTGCGTAGCTGAGTATAACCACCAGAAATAATGTTGTCATCATCGGCAAATCACTCCTGATTAAACACAAACTGCTGCTGATTAAAGGTAATTTGGGGGTGCACACAATTTTTACACAACATGGCAAAGGAACCCTGAAATCACCCAAAGAAAGCCTTTAATCAGCAGCAATGTGCCACTGATGGTGACATCATTAACATTGTGCATATGGAGCTGTGCAACAGGATTTCAGCCACTGTTTACTTATTTCTTAACCCTGGTTAAAAATTAGGAATACCATAACATTTACGAGTTTAGATTCACCACTTTAGAAACAAGGACTAGAAAGCTAGCTCTGAGAGCAGCATCTTGTTGCCTTTAAACTGAGACCATGGTTTTTCCTCTCTGTAATCTGCTCAGTAATCAAAGAAGTGGACAATCGTCTTGAGACTGCTGAAAGGATTGGACTCGCAGCCCTTATTATTCAGGTCTGTTCATGCTCTCATCCATTTGCCATACCTTTTTTCTGAGAAAATTCAGTGATGTTGCTGGAGGGTCTCTGTAATTTTTCCGTAACTTATCATTTCAGGACTTCAAGGGGCATTTATCATCTGATTATCAGTTTAGCTGGGATCGTGTTCTCCAAAGCCAGGGTGACACTGGCGTCTTCCTACAATACACACACGCTAGGCTGTACAGGTAAAAAGCACAGTTAAGAGCTGATTTCCATAACTCGCTTTAGATTGGGTCAACATTGAAGGTGATTGCAAAGAGAGTGAATTTCTGCAAAGCTATTTCAAATGGAACTTTCTTTGGGAAGCAAGTACATTCAAATTAGGTGAAATGCACCAAATAAGTAAATGGGAATATTTGCATAGTGTTCTAGCCATTCTGATACAGATGGAAATGCTTTCATGCAAAAGCACATGTCTCCTTCCTCTGCTTCCTCCTGCACATTTTCATATACCATATCTGTCTCGGAAGTGTGCATCCCACCCTTCCAGAGCAGGTTTGGAGTTTGTGTGGTGGTAGGGAGTCTGATTCACCAGCGGTGTCTACAGTTGGATGCAACTTTTAGTTTGTAGGATTTCCAAAATACAGCATGGAAATCCCTGGAAAGACTTTACTTGGAAAACTTTTTTTTTAAGTGCTAAATATGGAGGCACTCTCACACTTTTTGAACACAGGCTTGTATACGGGCAAGGTAAACATAGTTTAGTGAGTCATTAATATTGCTATTCTGCCACGTTTCCCAAACTGTGGCTGACTTCCTGTTGCTTAGTGTAAGCCAAAATATAACTTCTGTTCTGTGCCTCCCCAGTAAATAAACAGTCTCTGCTGTGACTTTTGGGGACAAATGCGCGCAGTGGCTTAGTGCACACATGCCTCAAGAATCGTGGCAGGGACACTTTGTTTACCAGGGAGGAACAGATCAAAAATGTATTTATGATTTATATTTATATTTATTTATATTTAATCTATTCAGCTTCTGTATTGCCAGATGATTTAGTTTATGCTAAGCAACAGGATTTCAGCTTGCATGTCTCCATAACTATACCTTTTGAATTCATCATCGAATTCAGTGCATCTAACTGCAGCAGACAGTCCAACAAGAAAAATTAACAGGTTTAGAATTGACACAAAGGCAGTCATTATTTATTATACCCCATTCATGCAGACCAAGGCTTAAGACAGAATCAGAATGCTGTGTTTAAAGGCTGGCAGATCTTGTGGTATTAACTTCTTGTTAAACATGAGGTAAATGGACATTTTGTTGCCTAGGTGAAGGACAAGATGGCGGCCTTCCTCCATTCCACATACAGAAATTAACCAGAAAAGCTGTAGAGCTTTTATTCACTAGGGGAAACAGCATGATGGAATATCAGGCTCCACTATGTGGCGCTGTCCATAGAGAGAGTCAAGAAACTTCAGTGGGTCCAAAATGCAGCACCTAGATTGCTAACTGGGGCTAGTCACAGGGATCCCATGGAGAGAGTCAAGAAACTTCAGTGGGTCCAGATTGCTTACTGGCGCTAGTCACAGGAATGGGATCACATTATTCCCCTCATTTCAGCAGCTTCACTGGCTGATGGTCCATTTCCAGGAACAATTCAGAGTGCTTGTTCTAACTTATAAAGCCTTAAACAACTTGAGTCCAAGCTATCTCAAACACCATATCTCCCTCTATGAGCCTGCCTGGGTGTTAAGATCATCAGGGAGGCCTTTCTCTTGGTCCTGCCACTTTCACAGGTGCATTTGGTGGAGACATGGGAATGGGCCTTCTCTGTTGCTGCTCTGAAACGTTGGAACTCTCTCCCACAGGAGGCCAGACTGGCCCCATCTTTACTGTCCTTCTGCAAGCAGGCAAAGATCTTTCTTTACAGGCAAGCTTTTCTCTAAATGACTGGTTGGCTGAGTGGGGTTTTTCAAATGGATTGTTGTATCTTACTACTTTGAATGTGTTTTGGTATTGCTTATGTTTTCTAGTATTGTATTCATCTGATCCTTTGTTTTAGCATTTGTACACTCACTGTTCTTAGCTTTGTATACTGTCTTTAAATGATGAACACCTACTCAGGTTCTTTTTAAGGAGAAAAGTGGGATAATATTTTAAATAATATTTTTTATAAATACACTATAGAGCAGTAGGCCAAATGCAGTGCTAAGACAAGCTGTGTAGCATTTATGCTTGTGCATACACTCTGGGACAAACCCAGGAGGAACCAATGAGGACGACTATTGCTGCCTGCGAGTGTGTGCCATCTGAGGCCATTGCCAGCCTGGCATCCCTGGATTTGCTTAGGAATGTGGAGTGACAGTTTGCCTCTTGGAAAGCAAACGCTTTCAAGACTCTAGGAAAAAGGGTTCTGTGTAGGTATCTCTGCTGATACCTAAAAATGTCTGTCAGTGCAGTTCATAGTACTTGCTCACAAGCCTGAATGCACAGCTGATTTTACTCTTGGCAAAACTGTTTTCTGAATTCCAATGGGTCAGAATCCTATTGGATTTGTGCACTGCAAGCCCCAGACCGTCGAAGTGGCATGCCCATTGGTTTCAGCTGTCTGCCACATGCACGGACAGGCCCAGGCTGTACACCCTTTGAATTCTCAAAGGTGCCACTTTTGGAACTCAAGTTCTCGATCTTCAACCAGAAGTCAGGGAACCCTGCAAGTAGCTCTGTGTGGCAAAGACTAAGAGCCTTCCCTGTTCTTTCTTGTGGCACACTGAAAGTCATAGAGAAGGGTTTTGAAAAGCACCTCCGTGCTGTTCTAGTGAAGAAAGGTGTATTTTTAAAAAATTAGCATGCTATCTTAAGTCATTTATCCCACCTAAAGTAGTTCTTTGGATCACAACCACTCTTTTTAAATCTTAGAATTCCCTGTGGTTAAAACACCAATTTGCAATGCAGTGTGACATTCTTTCTTACATGGGGAACTTTACTGGTTTCATTTTAATGTTTCTTCTCCTCCTTCCCTGTCCCCAGCTTAGAAGAGCAGTATGGAGCAGTCGACAAAGTGACTCACATTAACGCCGCATGCTTACAAGATCCACAAGCCATTTCCTTAATTCAGCATCTTCTCAGGTATTTGAGTTTTTATGTCACAACCTTTGCTTGCTTGCATTGAAGACTGTGGAGTTTATGTCTAATAAATCTGGGCAGGATGGGACTGACTTGCTAGTAATTTTGCAGTATGATTCCCTATGCAGTAGGCCCATGAGCTACTCCACAGCCCCTTTGGCCCTGGAGGATTTCCCCACCCATGGGGGGCTGCCGTGGGAAGGGAGGGTTGCTTGCCAGAGGTTTCTGTTCTTCTGGTAGACTGACAGCATTAGATACGGTCCAGAAATCAGAAGCAAGAACCAGAATGCTACAGCTCATTTGCTGATGTTTTACATAGTCTGTATGTAGCATTCATCTGCATGACAGATGCCAGACAATATTTAGTTTATACTGGACAGTCGCTTAGCGGTATTTTTCTCTGCAGTTTCCTTGCATGGAAAGCTTTGAGTCCACACCCAAACTACATATGGCAAATGTGCATAGCAGTTTGTGAGGAATAGTTAAGCCGAAGTGGCACTTTACCCTGAAAAATGCTTGGTATGTGATAAAAGTCTTAGCTGAAAGAATGAAGCATCACCCTCCCTTTCTTTCTCTTTTCAGATATGATGAGATTCTTTACCACTCTTCACAAGATCTTCAGCCGAAGCATATTGTTAACTATCTCTTGAAACTCAGGTGAGAGAAGGAAAAATGTCTTACTTTTAATAGAATTCAGCTCTTCAAGTGTTCAGCCTCAATATGAGTTGTTTGTATAATTGGTTCCCTTTCAAGCTGAAGCAAGCAGTGGATTTTGATTAGAGCATTTTCCCCCATATCCACCATCAGAATCCTAAATCTTTAATTGATTGAAGGAGCTTTAGATCCTACTACTGCAGACCCATTTTGAAAAGAAGCATTGTGGCAGATCAAAGAACAGCACATTCTCAAAATTAATCTTGAAAAACTTGACTGTGCTTTCAAACTTGAATCGATTCCCTTGCTTTAATGAACTGACACGTTTATTCAGAATGTGAACCTGCGTCAACAAGGAAAAAAAATCAATTTTCACAGTCTGTTAAGTCAGTCATCTGATTCTGACACAGACATTTTGCCCAGAGGCGTCTTGTAAACTCATTTTACTCCAGTGACCAAAGCCAACAGCAGAGTGCATTAATGTAACGAACTGTTCAGAATCTTTTGAGCTATTTGGATTTATTCAGAATATTAGCCTGCAGAAACCATATTCCCTTGGATTCTGATTAGAGATGGGGACGAGCTGCCAACATCTGTCATCCTTGCATCTCTTCTGTATAGTTCTTCAATATCTTGTTTCCATATTTTCTTATTTTATTCTCCTAAGACAACATATCCTGCTGAACATTAAAGAGTCCTGTGACATTTTTAAGACTACCAAGTTTTTTTGTGGCATAAGCTTTCGTCGACTGTAGTCCATTTCTGCCAAATAAAATATCTTAAAGATGCCATAGAACTGTTTGCTCTCTTTGCCCGTTGTTACAACTCTAGCCCCCTGACAGTATTGCTCTCTATTTTGCTGATACTCTCAGCCCCCCTCAGCACATTAAGGTGTGCATGCAAGAGCCAGACATTTTAGTGACTGGTTTTGGACCATCACCAAGGAACAGTTTGACAGGTGAGATCTGCAACAAAATATGTTAGTGTCACACCCTAGTTGTCAACAACACCCACTGTCAGGGCTTCCCAACATGTCTTTTTTTTCAACACTCAACAGTTATTCCATGACTACTCTTTTGTTACGTTTATTTCCCCATCTGCCCAGTCTTAATCTTATTAAATGTTTGGCAGGTAAGTTGCCTCCCATGTCAGTGCACGCTGGCTTGCAATCCTTTAAAGAGTGGTTTTCGGACTCATTGTTTCTGACTCTGTGTTCCTTTTTCAGCCATTTAGCAGGTGCGGCTCATAAAAAGCTCCTTGTGAGAGACAGTCTTCCGGAACTAGCAGAGGTAATGTAAATAGTCACTCTTTAAATACAGGTTTTTAATAGATAAACCAGTTCTGCGAGGTACATTGGAAAACTGTTGAAGCGTAAGATATAAATCCAGTAAACAAATGAAAATACTGTTTTAAATTTTTATGACATAGGAAAGCAGGAGTTCTTCTGGATGGAAAATCTCCTGCAGAACTTTGGAATATCCCCTGCAGAACTGTCAACACCAGTTAGCATTAAATTGCCATGGAACAAAGCCAAGATTTTCCCCATAAATCCTTTCCTATCTTTTTTTTTTAATGCACATGATAACTACTCTTTCTCCTTGTGGCTAGACTTTGTCTTTCTTAACCTGCTACTACTTAGTAGAGTCTCCCACTCTTTCATTTATAAAACATGAAGTCACAATGGCTGTAATAGTAAGTCACAACTGGAGTAGGCTCCTTGAATCATCGGGGGTTTGGTGAGTGAATTCGTCTGTATGTTCCATGAATTCTAATGGGCCTACTCTAGTTGGGATTTATTACTGGATTTCAGCCACTGACATGAACAGATGCAATTCCATTCTGCTCCTGTCTTGCCATTGTAAAAGCAGAGATTGACAGTTTTGATTAACAGGTGTCAATTTATATAAGATGATACTGGATGCCTCCTTTTATGGTGTCCTGGAATGCTGAGCTGCTCATGTCATGTGCAGTGGTTCAATTCAACAGTAGCCTGAATGGTATCCAATACATTTTGCTGAAGTGTGTCTATAATTTCTTTGACATTATCCATTAAATTTTACTGTCATCATTGGAGGTCTGGGTATAGAAATTCTTTGTAGATGGAAACTATTATGGACTCAACAAGCATCACTTGTCCGGAAATAGGCACTGAGGTAGAGAACACCTGAGGGCTACACAAGCTGAAAAAATGGTGCAGCTGCTTCAGATACTTTAATTTTTAATAAAGTAAGTGCTAATACCCTAGGTGATGTGGTGGCACTGTGGGTTAAACCGCTGAAGCCTCTGTGCTGCAAGGTCAGAAGACCTATAGTCGTAAGATTGAATCCATGCGACAGAGTGAGCTCCTGTTGCTTGTCCCAGCTCCTGCCAACCTAGCAGTTCGAAAGCATCTAGTCACGCTGGCCACGTGACCATGGAAACTATCTTCGGACAAATGCTTGTCCTACTGCTTGGGAACGGGGATGAGCACTGCCCCCTAGAGTTGGACATGACTGGACTAAATGTCAAGGGGAACCTTTACCTAACACCCTTGGTAAAATGCAGTATAAGCATGTCTTGAGAAGACAGGGATACACACGTATGCACACCTATCATACAATACAACTAAAAGTCTATTTTCCAGAAGAGATTCAGAAAATACAATGGGGCAAGTGGGAGACTTGCATAAAAATTTCAGACTGTATAGTCCAGTACGCCACTTCCCACCATGGACAGCCAGATTCCTATGGGAAGTTTCTGAATTCTAGCTTCTTCCAGTGATGCAGGAGGAATGAGGCTGCTCAGCATTAGAACAGAAATTTCCCTAAGCAATATGGATAGTTTAAGTGAATGGTACCCAATTAGCACTTTCCATTGATGACGTTCTTTTTGTCAGTGGAGCAAATTCTCCCTTGCAGCCCCATCCACCCTGGTGTGCTTTCAAAATCTGGTTACGTTGAAATGGCTCCCCCCCCCCCCAGTTTTCAGGACAGAAGAGTTGTCTTGTGGACACATCATGCAACATAAGCTTCCACACACAATTCTTTTAAGACTGAACTTAGAAGAAACTACTCTTAGTACAAAATGGGCAGGTTAACATTTGGCCTTCTTCATCAGGAGTTTATTCCACCATTTTTTATATACACAGACAAAATTCAGCATCTCTTGGGATGGTTTTTAAAATCTGTTTTGGCATGTAGATAATTAGGATTTGAAAAATTGATTGGGATCACCTTTTTGACATCGTATTTTGTTTCTGCAGGCAAGGCTTTGCCTGTTCCAGGCTGCTCGCTCCGTTCTGGCCAGTGGAATGAAGCTTCTTGGAATCATACCTGTGAATAAAATGTAATGGGAAGCAATTCTTCCATGCCTTCTCAAAAATACATTTGCTTTGGTGAACAGAGGTTGTCCTTGTTTTCTCTACATGGCTTAGTCTTTCTGTGCCCTTAAGGATTACTTCAAAAGTAAGAGAGAGAGAGAGAGAGAGAGAGAGTCCTAGATAAGTTAGGAATAATTTGCATCAGAAAATTACAACTCGTCTTCTCTGCTTCCTGAGAAAATCAATTCATTGAAGCACTAGGGAAAAATAGTAAACGCAACATCTGTTTATTTCATCCAAATTCTCTCTACAGATTTTATGTTGGCAGGCTTCTTTTTGTGACAGACTGGTACTTCTTGTTGCTCTTCTCCCATCTGCCCCCATAACTAGGAGGTCACTGCAGGAAGTGGTAACAATTTGCACACATCTGTTTCCCAATTTGCTCTTTTGTCTGTATCATTCTCGGGAGAGGGATCTACCTTCTGTTCAGTCCCCTTCCCTGCAAGAAAGTCCTGGAGAGAACATGACAGCTTTTAATAATTAAAAAAAAATCAAAGCATTCTGTAGTATTACGGCAAGGAAGAAGACTCTCACGTTCTATAAAAGACTTGGCTCGGCTTAGTCGATGGTCAGACAGACCAGGGGGGCAGGGAGGTGTGTGGCAGCCTCCAGGCCCATTTTTGCAGCCCTGATACTCCCAGTTCAAAAATATGGGGAAAATGTTGTTTTCACTTCCTGGCACTGTCATGGAGTGGTGGCTTTTCAATAAAATGGGTTTCACCACCCCATAACACCCTATTTTTTTTAAAAAAAAAAAATGACACCAGGAGTGGGTATCTGGGAACATTTCATTCTAATTCCTTCCATATTTTTCCCTCATTTTCAGGACTAATATGGCCCCTGGTGAGTCTTGAAACAGAAAACTGCCCCTAAAGCTCTCTAAAGCTACCCATCCATTTTAGACCCTGGATATAATGGTCCAGCCGGGTAGCTAAGCGCATCAGCTCAGCCTACATCATTCTATGTTTCGCAAGCACTTCAATGTTATTGATATTTCAGAGTGAGCAATACCTGTGAGTCAGTCTGCTAGCCCTGATTTTTTGTTTGTCTGTTTAAAGGAATATGCTGAGATACACTGTTTCATATTTTAAATTCACATAATTATAGCAACTATAGGAATAAAATGGAGCTTGCTTCTGCTGCTAAATACATTTAATTTGGAATAAACACCCATTTTGTTACAAAAAGGACAAGATCTTCTTATGACACGTGTAACTACATACATGGCTAGATGGTTGTCCCCAGATAGCACCTTTAAATAAGAAAGGATATTGAAGCCACCCACACCTGCTCCTTCCTGGGTCTTGGCCTTCCTGTATCTATGATGCCAAGCTTATTGGATGCTGTCCCCCTCGCCTTCTGCTCTCATCTTATGATCTTGGCCTTTGTCCTTGAGATGCCAGTGCTTTTGATACTATCAGGAATGGGACCAGGTAATCTGCCTTGTCCCCTTTCACCGTTCACTGTCTTATGGCTATTTGTCACCATGCTAAAAGGTTTTCTGGCATAACTTCAGGAAATGCAAATGCTTGCTATAAATGTCAAGGTTAGAGCCTTGAGCCTCAGTTTAATCAGATTACTGTGCTCAGAATCCAGGGCATCTTTCCCAATCTTATTTTTTAATTGGTTCACTCTCTCATTCAAAGGCCAACCAACAGAATTACACACTTCTAATTAAAGGCATATATAATTAGTTACTGAAACAAAAACCTCATGTTTTTAAAAGCTGCAAAAGAAGAAAATGAAACATTGTTCCTTCTCTTAAAATGAGAAACTGGAAAAAATGTATACCGATGCTATATTTAATAAAACAGTCCTCCTTTCTTGCCTAAAGTTATATTTGATCCAAGTTCAAAAGACTCAAATCAAAACAGGACAGAGTGCTAACTTGCACGAAATGTATTTTTACTGCTGAGATGTGCCACAAAAGAGTAGTTATATAAAAACAGTATATAAAACCCCTTATCACAATAGAAAATTTCTCTTAAAAGTAGCAGCAGCTAAATTTATCTTCTGGCTGTTGCAAAAAGATGTGACCATGGATTCAACCTATCAAAGTAATAAGGACACAGGCCTTTCAGCTACAACTGTCATCATTTGGACACTATGGCATTCTCTCCCCTTCCCTCCACACACACACACACACACACCTTGGTTTCACTCCAGTGGCAACAACTACTTTACCACAATAGCAGCTCAGCAAAACACTGGATCTTAAAGCTAGAAAAATGCAGAGAAGAATGTGTGGTTCTTTCAGTACAACTATGCAATCAAAATATTTATGATGTGAAGATCCATTCTATAACTATTATTTCAGGTGCAATGATCAATTTGCAACAGCATATCAAACAGCAGGCATTGCTGGTTTTATGGTCCATCAAAGTGAGTTCCAATGATGTCTTTCTCTTCATTATATATACAATAGAGGCATGTTACTGCACATTCCATTCCTTCATTTTGTTTGGGTAAGCGGGGTCTTCATAGTCCAACACAATGAAAAAAAGACATTACTTTACATGAAGCATTTTGCTTCAGTTCCATGAAATATTCATTTTCCAGTGTAAAGCTTCATTCCATTAAATGACTAATTTCATTTTTTAGTCCAAACAGAATAGTCTGCTCAATACAGTTTTGAGACTTTTCTAAAGGGTACAGAGAACTCATGTCAAGTCTTCTTAACTTTGATCTCGCTTTTTTAAAATTCTTCATTTTGGCAAATGTCACACATTAATAAGGTTCTCTTTTGACCCTTTTGTTTCTGCTGGCTGAAGCTTTGTCGTGTCTTGTCGAGGCAATCCATACAAATATATTGAAACACATACAAAGAGTGCACCAAGAGAGAAAGTTATGGCTAGAAGGGAAAAAACAAAGTACATGATTTAAAATTCAAACATGACCCATGTTCTAAAGAATTGTAGGCTGAGTTCCTATCTGAAGATTCATTGCTTAGTGACTGCAAGATCAAGCTATGACTTGCAAGTATGAAACAGCTATTGGTATTTTGTGATGTCATCTCAAACAAAATACCTTTAATTGGACAGAGTTTAATATTCAGCTAAGAATCTAAATACCATAGGATACTAAAGAACATATATGCCTGCATGCAAGAGTTTTTCGGTTTTATTTCTGCTTTAAATAGGAAAAATTACCTGGAACTGCCCATTTTTTTCTTATGAGACAAGATATCCATTTATCCTAGATTCTGAAACTCTACAGCCATTCTAATTTGCACCTGCTGTGGAGGCCTTTCTAAAACTACGCTGGCCTTAGCATTCTTAGTGCATTTAAGACAGAATAAGCAGTAGAAATGGCTCACCCAGATTTATTAGTCACTTCCCTCAAAAAGGACAGTGCTGCCCATTTTAATATATTCTGCTTCATATGTTTTAACATTTAGGTTTCAGAATGTAATAAAGAATCCACAGCTTTCTCTCAATTATCACTATTCCACAGAGCATCATATTTTACTGTTATTGGCTATGTGTCCACCTTCCTTCTCTTATGCAGAACTCTTCAATACAAAACAATAAACAGATGTATCTGTACTGCAGAATCAATAAAATGTTGTTTTTCATTACTTCCCCGCACAGAGCAGTGTGAAAGAAAATAAAACATGTGAAGATCAGGTGGTAGTGAAGGTGGAAATTAATTTTTAAAAAAAGCCCTGTTCGCTTAGAGATTCAGTAACATACCTCTGTGAGGAATTAATTTTTAAATTGAACTAGGGTAGTAGAGAAGGAAAAACATTGTTTTGAGCAGCAGTAACTGAAAAATCTAGATTAAGTGTGAAAATAAATACTGTCTTACCTTTCTCAGTAAGAAACCCATTTATTATATCATTCTTCTAAAATCTGTACAGTACTTAGCATCAAATTCCTTTGCCGGATCTGGCAAAATTGGGTGTTGCCAGACTAACCATGTTGATGTTAGTCAGTGAGCTGTTCTAACTAAATTGTAGTGTCATCATAGGGCCAAACCACATTGCAATATAGTGACAATCATTGTTTGAGTTATATACAATGAACAAGTCAACATAACTCCTCTCAAGCCCAGGCATTTCCTTGGGATAGCAAGGCGACTTAAATATGCCCCAAAGCAACTTACTTATCTGTAAGCCAAAAAGAACAACGGATGCAACTGTAGAAAGAACAATCGCCGCTGCAGCAGAAAAACCTTTCATAATGTTGTCTGTATATTTAACAACAACAGAAGTGTAAAGGCCTCCGACGCTGGAAAGAACTAGGAAGCAAAAGAATCCTTATTAATGAAATGCTAAACATTTTCTGTCCTGTCATAATAAAGAGCAGTTACAATTCTAAACAACAGTTAAGAAAACACCTTTCATTACATAACTATTTACTGCTGCAGTGTGGGTTACACCAAGCATAAGATCACTGGGCCAAAACTGTACTGCCTTTTGACGCTGCCCACCCAAACTTCCAACAGCACACTGGTCACTATTCCTTTCTAGCAAGCCTATTCTCTTCCTTTTCCTTTCTCTACACAGTCCTGGTTTGCTAAGCAGGATTTAACATACTGCATTTAAGTTCATATCTGTTGCGACTAGTCCCAGGAACAGGCAAGACAAATGTCTGAATGCAATTCTTTTTTTTTAATGTGGGGGGGCCTGGAAGGAGCTTCTCCCCCCCCCCAAAAAAATGTGAGGATTGTGAACTCATTCAGGCATCTCCTGGGCAGTGATAGCCTTCTGCCAGACAATCCTTCAGAAGCTTCTAACAAAAAGATGTAGAAGAAATTCTTATATGATGAAATTTAACATTGGAATTGGAATTTGACCCCTGAGCTAAGGAAGCACCACCCCTGAAATTATGGGTTTAATATGAATTGATCAATGCTTCCAGTCTCATATCGAACCAAGTCATATGCCCATGGTCCTAGATTAGTCACTCCAAACCTTCGGTAACCCAGGAGCTCTTGGACTACAACTCCCAGAAGCCTTCATCATTAGATTTATTTATTTATTTGATTTATACCCCGCCCATCTGGTCTAAAAGACCACTCTAGGCAGCTGTTATATTATATTAGGCAAGATATTCCCATAGGTTTGCTTTCAAGGCCATTTGTTTTATCTTCTTAAATGTTCAGTAGACTCAGTGCTGGAGTTGCAGTCATAAAATATCTGCATTACCCAGCGTTGAGAACCACCATCCTAGACAAAAAAGGGGGGGAGGCATTGTTTCAATCGTTAAGTTACCCAGAAGTTACGGCAAAAGACTTACAGATGACAAACCAGACGTAATGGGTATAGCCATAAAAAAAGCCCTTCTCCATTACTTGAACTCCATCAGACATGTAGACACCAGCCAACGTCACCACAATCCCAGAAAGGTACATCTGAATGTTTCTGACCCATAAAGATGTATCTGAACTTTTGAGCACTTTCTCAAAGTATACCCCTGAAAAGAAACAGAAATTAACCTGGTCAAGAGACCAGTCAATCAGGTCAACAATGAAAGAGAGAAAGTTCTTCACATCGGATCTGGTGTTCATGTTTTTAAAAAATGTGAACACCACCATTTCTAAGTCTCAGCTCTCCAGGGTGCTGGAGTTGCAGTCATAAAACATCTGCATTACCCAGTGTTGAGAACCACCATCCTAGACAAAAAGGGGGGGGCGTTGTTTCAATCGTTAAGTTACCCAGAAGTTACGGCAAAAGACTTACAGATGACAAACCAGACGTAATGGGTATAGCCATAAAAAAAGCCCTTCTCCATTACTTGAACTCCATCAGACATGTAGACACCAGCCAACGTCACCACAATCCCAGAAAGGTACATCTGAATGTTTCTGACCCATAAAGATGTATCTGAACTTTTGAGCACTTTCTCAAAGTATACCCCTGAAAAGAAACAGAAATTAACCTGGTCAAGAGACCAGTCAATCAGGTCAACAATGAAAGAGAGAAAGTTCTTCACATCGGATCTTTCGTGCCTGGACTGTTGAAGACCATGGTGCTGCCATAACTGTTGTTGTATTTTTAGTCAGTGGATAAACCAAGCTAATGCACGTAATGGAAAGCAACCTTCCCAACGATTTCAAAGCTAAGAACATGCCCTCTCCTTTAACCTCCCACCACCATTATTCATTAGCCTCTCCTGTAATATATACATTTTTAAAATGAGTAAAAACTGGCATGAACATTTGGGTGCTGAAAGGTTAAGGTAGTAAATACCCCCCCCTCTTTTTTTTAAACAAAAGGGTAATAAATAAAAATAACAATGATCTCATGCCATACAAAAAGAAAGTGTTGAGAAGAGTATTCACAAATATATGTTGCAGAATGTATGGTCAGTACCAGGTTTACTATTTCAAAATGTTTTAAGATAAAACTCAGGTTGTTTTTCTAAACCCGTGTTTTTTCTGTTTTAGTAAATTAAACCAGGATTCCTCAACATCTGGTCCTCCAAACCTTTTATTTATTTATTTATTTATTTTATATCCTGCCTATCTGGTCGTGTCAGGACCACTTAGATTTCACCTCCTAGAATCCTTGAGCCCTGGCTGGAGCTTTGGGAAGATGAAGTTCAAAACATCAGGAGACCCTAATGCTGAGAGCCACCAAGTGAAACAACGATTCATTGCACACTCTTTTTGTGTTACACGCAGAGCCTACCAGTGCAACCCTGGAGACCACACCACTGTGGCCCTCTTCAGGGGAGGTCCTCCTTCCCCTTTTCCCTCCCTCATCTTGAAAACACGCTGTCAGTCATGAGTACAAGAACTATACTTTGAAGGTGAATGAGAGCACCATCATTTCAGCTGAGCACAAGAGCTGAAGAATAAGTGGCTTGCCAAATACTAAGAACTGCAATTACCATTACCATTAGCTAGCTAGCATAACCAGTGATGAGGGCAGTTCAATAATGTCTGGAAAACTATACATTCTATGTCTCTGTTCTATAGACCAAAAGGCTCCGATGAACAGGAGAAAGCCTTCTTACTTTAATTTTGCTGCATGGAAGGCTTGAGGCAACCATCACAAGCGTAATGTGAGAGACAAGGGTTATACAGAAGCTGCACTGCGATCGTTTGTGGGAAGTGACAGGAGAAATGAACTCCACAAATTCTTCCTAGAGATGGCCATGAAGTGCTGAACTGGTGGTTCCCAGCCCTGCCTCGTCTGTCAGATGCCTACTCAGAAGTAGCACCCTGGCTTCCCTGCCCCACCTCCTCCAGGTGCTGCCTCTGAGTGGGGGCCCATCAGAAACACTGAAAAACTGTCCAAACAGATGGTTCATGCCCATCTCTAATTCTTCCCACAAAATCCAGAGTGTCTCATGTGACATAGGCAGTGAAGTAAGGAACTGTGCTACAGTACTTCCTAAGCTGCAAATGTAGCCTATGAAAATACCCTGGATCATCAGGACAGCAACAGTCATAGCTAGGTTGTTGCTGTTTGACGATAACTGTATTAACAACGCTTACCAGCAAATCCTGAACACAAGACAGCAACAGCAATTGCACAAAAGCCGATCAAAGGACTCTGCTCCATCTAAAGAATCAACGAAAAGGAGAGTTTTTAACAGCAGTGGCTGCTACAATTTCGTAAGCCAAGTAAACACACTAATTTAATTTAAAGAAAAACAAGTTTGGGACACTATTGTATCATCTGCCTAAAACTTGGCTTCAGGATGGATTTGATTTAAATCAAATTGATCTAAACCACAATTCAAATCATGACTCAAATTTTAAAAATGCATTTTTAAATTATTTAAATAAATTGACTTTTGAAATTTAAATCATGATTTATATCAATTTGATTTTTTAAAAAAAAAATCATCTGAAATTTGAATCATGATTTATATCAATTTGATTTTAAAAAAAAATCATTGATTTTTATCCACTTTGCTTGGTTTGCTATGTATTCATTTCTTTGGGAAAGGAGGACAGCAGTCAAATGCATAATTATTCTGGATATAACTGAAATATTAAAAGAATCGTCTGGTTGTTGTGGGTTTTTCGGGCTCTGTCAAATGCATAATTATTCTGGATATAACTGAAATATCAAAAGAATTATCATTATATGATTTTCTTCACTTGTGCGATTCCTCTTTTAACAAAAACGTCTTTTTACATTGTACGTACTTGTCACTAAACATGCATCTTTCAAAACAACCAACCAACGAAGGACTGTTTATGATTTACAGAAGAGGTGAAAAAAATTGGTAAGTAACACATGACAACACTCCAAATGAAAGCTACATTAGGATAAAGCTTCATGAAAAGCTTCGTTAGCAGGAACAGTTGGCAGAGAAGCAATTATAGTCACCATATTTGATCAGAATGTCCTGTATCAGTGATAACACATCAAAGCTCCCAAGGATTTTCGAACTATTCACAACCCACCTTTAAGATCCCTCAGTATTTGTAGACAACTCAATTTTATATGGATTGAAAAATCTAACTGAAACTGTCATCTTCGGTCAGACAGGACTAGGCAACTCTGCACCTTCCATCAATCCTCACCACTGGTTATTCCAAGCAGGGCTGATGTTCTAATAGCACCTCCTCCCCTTTACAAAAACATTTGTTTTAGAGGGAAGGTTCAAGGCGAATTTTGGATAACCCCTGGAAAGACAGGGGTTGCCCAAATAAAATAAGAAACAAGGCCAATTAAGTTCCGAAAACTTCATTCTCAAGTTCACAATTTCAGCCTAAATTTAGCAAATCTGGTTTAGAATGAGACAGAGAAGGCTTATGTGTGAAATCCACAGAAGCTGACCCACCAGTTTAGGGATTTCTGGCTCTTATTTTCATTTTTTTCCAGCTTTGAACTGTATAGCAGATGTACTTCTCTTTTATCAGAGAACAAGGTCATGGATGGGTTGAAACCAATGACATCATTGTCACCATCATCAGGCTCTTAATTTGTTTAAAGTTGCTCTCATATATAACCTGAGAAATCCTTACAGAATTGTATTAAATAACGCAGCTGCCTAAGGCCCTCCAGCTAACCTGATATGAAAATAAGAACTGAACTAGAAACAGCCTGGTTCATCGCTCAGTCAGTTGCGGTCTGGCTGGGAGAAGACAGATCAGTATTGACTGATATTAGAGTTTCTAACTGTTTAACAATTGCAATTAAAACAAGAATCAGCACTACAACCCCTCTTCCCTTAGAATACACAGCTTAACTGGGGGAGGGGGGGAGGAAGAGGGTTGTTTATCTGACCAGGCATGGCCTTTGATGTAGCACAACAATGAGGTCAGTTAAGTTTGGGATAATAAAATCAAAATAAAAGCAAAATAAAATTCCTGGATTTGGAATATATATATTGTTTCCATAATCTCTATACAGTAAGAATATATATCTTTACACCCAAGTAACATTTTGGATTCTGGAAAATATGAATCGAGAAAGGTTCTCTCAACAGTAAGTCTTACCTGGACTTTTGTGGCCTGAGCAGGCTTCCACTGAACAAGTGTGACCCCACCACACAACATGAAGACTGAGAACCACTGCAGTTTACTGAGGGAGCGGTTGAGCATCAAGACTGTACATAAGGCTGTGCATGGGATCTTCAACTGATAGGTCACCTGGAAAGCCAGATAAGAAGGACAAGATTCACTGCAAAAGGCGACAATGCAGGGGAAAGAAGAAAGTAGTAAGAGAACAGGAAGACTGAATCTGAGATGGATTGACTTACCATCACTTTCTGTTTATAAGACAACCCAATGTATAAGACGACACCCCCCCTTTTCTAACCCCAAATTAGAAAATTTGATCCCTGCTTTTCCCTTCCTTTCACCAAGCCACAGAGCTTAACAAAAGGAGGGAAAAGCCAGGATCAAAGGGCTCCCTTTGACCCCCGCTCAGGAAGACTGAATCTGAGATGGATTGACTTACCATCACTTTCTGTTTATAAGACAACCCAATGTATAAGACGACACCCCCCCTTTTCTAACCCCAAATTAGAAAATTTGATCCCTGCTTTTCCCTTCCTTTCACCAAGCCACAGAGCTTAACAAAAGGAGGGAAAAGCCAGGATCAAAGGGCTCCCTTTGACCCCCGCTTTTCCTTGCCCGGGATCAAAGGGCTCCCTTTGACCCCCGCTTTTCCTTGCCTTTTGCCAAGTGACGAGGCTTAGCAAAAAAGAAGGGAAGGCTCCCCTCAGGTAGAGGCTGCACAATTGCAGCCCTTTGATCCTGAAGCCCTTCATGGGGCTTACAAACTTCTTAAAACAGTTTTTTAAAAAAAGTCAGAGAGAGAGAGAGAGAGAGAGCTACAGTCAGCTTTTAAAAAGCTCCTATAACAAACCCCACTGTAAAGTCACTAAAATGAAGTAAATATATTAAAAACCAACATAATTAAAACAACATAGGGCATATTAGACATCACAAACCAGTCTAAAATATGTGTTTTATCAGCAGAGTGGAAACAGATCAGAAGGGAGTGTATTCCATAGTCTGGGAGCCACCCAGGTCATGGCCTGCCCCTGCGTGCCTGTTAGGTAGACCGCAGAAACTCTTGATATTTTTAAGATGGCCTCTCCTGAAGAGCTTAAAAGTCTGGACCGTCTCAGAACAAGACCAGAGGTGCCTTGGACAGCCCAAGTCCCAAGCCATGTACGGCTTTAAAGGTCAAGATCAAAACCTTGAATTGGGCCTGGTAAGAAACTTGCAAGTGCAGGTCTTTCGGGATCAAAATCATACAATCATGATATCTTGTAATCATTAGCAAACTAGATACTGGTTGTTGTGGGTTTTTCGGGCTAAGATCCAGGATCCTCTTCAAAAGATAGACCACATGGTGGTAGTCAGAGGACAGTGTAACTAAGGTATGGGTGACTGTTGCTAAGTCACAAGGGAATTTGTGAAAGTTTGTTGCTGGTGCACTAAGTGGAATTGTGCAAAAGCATCACCCACTCCTACTCAGATGGGTGCAGAGTCAACAAGCCAGGGTGGATAAAAATCAAAGTTTTTTTTAAAAAAAAACACATTGATTTACATCAGTGGTTCTTAACCTTTTTCAGGTGCTACAGTGCAGAGTCAACAAACCAGGGTGGATAAAAATCAAAGATTTTTTTAAAAAAAACACATTGATTTACATCATGATTAAATTAAAATTTTGATTTTAAAAAAATTCAAGTCATGAAAAAAATCCCATTGTACATTCAAGCAGTTCCATATGTGTTATACGTGATACTGCAGTTTGATATCGGATGATGAGCATACATCTAGTATCTAACATGTAAACAAATAGTTTTTTGATATCAGCAATTACCTGGTAAACAGCTGCATCCAAATTGCTAAGAGCCAGGAAGGCCATGTTATTCTGAATGGCATACACAAGGGATGGGACACTTAATTTGAGTAGTTCTTTAGGACTGCCCAAAACATTTTCTCTCAAAGATGTCAATAATCTTCCTAGACTTCCAGTCTCTCTGAGGGGTGGGAAGGAATAAAATACAAAAGAAACGTTTAAGGACAAATATTAATACAGCTAATTAATAACAAGCAACATACTGAATTATTCAGAAATAGTGACACGGTGGGGGGGGGGCAAAAACTCATAACATTCCAAGAGTTGACCGACCCAAGCTGCAAGGCAACACAGTCGGTGTGCTAACACACACTCCATGCCTTTCTTGATACTCAGGCAGGAATGGCGAAGCTCAGACTCTGCATCCAAGACCTCCTAGGATTCATCACATGGCACCACCCTCCTTCCTCAGGACACCATCTTTTTTGGGGGGGGGCTTAATTCGTGGCATTAAGAGTTTCAAGCTGAAACACACCAGCATTTTTGGTCTAGCAGCCCCTCCCCTCAATTATGGTCCCTGGGAAATTCTCTGAGACTGAATTTGGCCCTTGGACTGAAATAAGTTTCTCCCCCCAACCCACCCACTTTGAGCTGAAGGGAAAACAGAACCCACAGAGGAAAGGAAGCATTAGTTTTGCTGAGTCAGGCTTTAATTCCCATTCTTCCCTCAGCAACAGGCCATTCCACTGCCCCCTCAGGGGCTGTTTGGGTCACCCGGAGGGTGATGGAAGACAGTCATTCCAAGGGACAGGACTGGAACAAAGATCAAGCCGTTGTGTCAGATTTCAACTCTCTGTAAACACTACAGCAAGAAATAACTTTCTGTAAAGTGATATACTGGTGGAGTAGGGCAACTTTGGCAGTGTAAATGATGTACTTCACTGTATCTATTCATTTTTGGTAGCTCTGCCTACCAAACTGACTCTGTACAGTGGGGTCTTGACTTAAGAACTTATTCATTTTTGGTAGCTCTGCCTACCAAGCTGACTCTATACAGAGTTGGTGGTGCCATAAAGCCAACTGAAAAATGCGGAGGATTAAGAACCGCTCTCATAGGAAAATATTGACTTGACTTACATACTTAGATTTGAGTTAAGAACTGAAAAAAAACCACGTGGGAGGCAGGGAAAGTGCAAAATGTGAACTTTCAGTTAACTGTTGGCCAGTGAAAAGGGTGCCTGTCTGCTTCCTCACTCCTCCCAGCGTTTAGAGAGTGGATTGGGAGACAGTCTTCGGACTGCCTTGTACTGTACTGCCTGGACTGTATTTTCCCTGCCTTCCCTGAACCTTTCTTGACCTAAGAAAAAAAGAAACAAAATACCCTCCTCTAGTGGTCGAAGGCGGAATAGCAGCTTCCCATTAGTTTCTATGGACGGAAAAGAGCAGATACGGATCAAATGGTTTTCAATGCATTCCTATGGGAAATGCAGATTTGACCTGAGAACTTTTTGACTTGAGAACTGCCTTCCAATACGGATTAAGTTCTCAAGTCAAGACCCCACTGTACAGAGTTGGTGGTGCCATAAAGCCAACTGAAAAATGTGGAGGAGTAAGGGAGTTGTAAAAGCAACTTAGAAAAATATTCTAAGACTTAGAAACTGTACACTATTCCCAGAACTTTATCAGCCTTGCAGTTAAAAGCCTTGGAAACGGAGTGAAGAAAGAATAACTGTTTTTTTGGGTTTTGTTTGTTTCTTGAGGTGGTGGTGGCAAGAGCCAACCTGCTGATAGGTCAAAAAATGAAATAAATCAAAGCCACAATTAACCCATGACTGTGGTAGGGCTGATAATTGTTACATAACTGTTTGACAAGTATGACAAAATCACACATAATCTTAAAAGCATGGAAGTGTCTTGAGTTCACTATTACTTCTTTTATGATACATTGGCAAAACTCTGGATACAAATCTATCACTGTTACATAACATGTTATTTCAGAAGCACTGACTTATCATCCATTTGTTCCCCCTTGTATTTGGAAATTAGTTGGTCATTCCAAGTGTTTTTAGTTGTCCTTCATGTTAATTTTCTATAGTTTTTTTTTTAAGACAAGGTTGATGCCACATAACAGGTACATGGGAGACCTCTTAACCAACCAATCAAATTCCAGAGACAGAAGGAAGCAATTCTAAATCTAATAAGAAATGTTCTTCCTACTACTGAAACATCAAACTTTAGGACATGCAGGAATCGGAAAGGCCAGCAATGTGTACATTTTTCAAAAGATAGAATTCAGGTATTGCTATCAGAAACCTATGGACATGTTGCTAATAACAGATATGCAACAGGAACAAAAGAAGATGGTATTTCAATCACAGTAATTCCTAAATTTGGAAACTAGCCACTCATTAATTTTACACTGTGCTTGGCAGCCTGTCTTTAACCATTTTAAGTGAAACAACCCAAAGGTTAGCCAGAGAACTGCTGGATAGCTGGGTAGCTCAATATGTCTGGGCAGAACTAAAATGCTGTAGCTCAGCAGCTTAGGTCTCTGGCTGAGGATTCTGATGTTGGGAGTTCTCCTCACCACCATGTCTCCTTGAGAGAGGCTGGACACAATGACCCATAGCGTCCCTTCCAGCTTAACAATTCAAAGATTATTATGGTAATTTGATTCACATAAACAGCTACGTTCTAGGACTGTTTCTTTGTCCAAGCATTCCGACATATGCAACTTCAACAAGTGTGCAAAGCTCTCCTAAAAACTGGGTTCAATGAGGAACTCTAATTCACTTGAAGGAAGTGAACTTCATGCCAGAATCAAAATTTAAGTGATCTTTAGAATCAGGCATCCAAAGCCTGAAATGTAAGCTTGACAGAATGTATACACTGAAATGTATACACCAACAGGTCAGTGGACTGGTGATGCATCTCCATGATTTCCCCAAAAGGTTGACTGCCATTCTGAACACTGGCATTATGACAGCCGACTGTATTTCTGTCTTTGGACAAAATGGGCCCTGTCAACAAGGAAAATAAAAAACAAGGAACTACTGCTATTTCTGAGACCTGTGCAAGCTGTTTCAGCAGAAAGCACGAGAAAAGATATTTGGCCTCAAACCTGCTGGGTATTTTGAAAGGACTTCAGTTCTAATTGTGAAAGCCTTGTGCTCTATACTCACTCAAGGTTTCTAGAGGTCAGCCTAATGTCAGGTATAACACCAGAAAGGTTAATGAAAAGATAAATAAATAAAGACTGCAGCTGTTATAGAGACAGTCTCAATCCTTCATGCGTTCACCACTAGAGCAAGCCATGTGCAAAATAATTCATTTAAATCGTTATCTACCCCAATTCAAAGCACAAAATGGATCTTGTAAAGGAAGCACACCATAACATGCCATCGGTTCATGGTTTATCCCACTGTTTCTTAACGTTTGTTACTCAGGTGTTTTTGGACTGCAGCTCCCAGAAGCCTTCACCATCAGCTCTGCTGGCTGGGGTTTCTGGGAGTTGCAGTTCAAAAACACCTGAGTAACAAAGGTTAAGAACCACTGGTTTATCCTACCATTAATTAGGATGGAATAAAAGATTTGGAATACCATTAAAAAGGCAAAACAAGCAAACAGCCAATTGATATATTATACCAACTTGAAACCACTTGAGTCGTTTTTATGTGGGGTATTTTAAGGGAGCCATAGGTGCCCTCTAATTCAAAAAAAGGATAAGGTATACTATGAATGTGGTGAGCACAACAATTCTACATTGGCTCCTTTTAATCCTTACATGGCACCTCAGTGAGAACTCAAAGCCAACAAAATCAATTTAAAAATAAAACAAAAATGCCACTTTTAGTCATTATTCTTCAACCACACCCATGCCAACCCAAATAATGTCATGCCAAGATTCTCCTCGTAATTTATATTGACATTTCTGAACTCGATCCAAAGCAATGAAAATGAACTTGCTAACTGGCACCTACATTTTTGAGTTGCGCAAAGGAGAGACCTGGAAAAGGAAGTAAAACATGCATGTTTTCACTTGCTCTGAAACTAATCTTTCAGAGAAGGAGCAGCCATTGGAAAAAAATCTAATAAATACCATCTAGGCAAGAACCACATAAGACAACCAAAACCTTTGTTTTAAAAAATAGAACAAAATGAAACAAAAAAAAGACCCCGAGGAAAATATGCTATTCCAGTATACTCACCAACACTCACACTTACTTTGCTAAAATGCCCAAGCTTAGGAATAATTTGATAACTTCTGTAACGCAAACAGCTGTTGTTGAAAAGTACAGAACTGTTTCTGTTGTTCTTGTGTATCGCAAGGCTACTGTGTACGTTGCTGCCACCAAGGTCATCACTGTCAAGCAGTACAACTTAAAAAGTAAACTGACATTTTCTGAAAAACAGAAGCATTGCTCCATGAGAGAGATCAGAGGCAAACCACTGGGCATCACAGACAGAAGTAACACCAACACAGGCCCATCTTATTTTAGAAATCCAAGGTGCTGAAGCAGGAGACTTCAACTTGCATGGCAAACTTGCTATAGAGACACCCACTGACAGTTGTTATTTTAAAAAAATTTCTGAAATAGCCACAATGGGAAGCATGTGGTAGTAAATCTATGAAACTATGTAACATCTACTTGGTTTGCCACTGTGGTCTTGCTGAGCCATCTTTGCATTAATGCTGTGTCAACAGCTTCTCTAATTGGTGTTAAGATGCCATCTGGGGGACTCAGCATATTCTCTTTACTTAAAAAAAAATCAGGGCATTTCATAGAATCATAGAGAAGTGAACTTGGAAGGGGCCTACAAGGCTATCAAGTCCAACCCCCTGTTCAATGCAGGAATACAATGAAAGCATATCTGCCAGGTGATTATCTAAGTTCTTCTTGCATGCCTCCAGTGTTGGAGCACTCACCAACTCCCGAGGTAACTGGTTCCACTGTCGTAGTGCTCTTTAACTTGAGCCCATTGTTGCATGTTCTGTACTCTGGGATGATCGAGAAAAGATGCTGCCCCTCCTCCATATGACAGCCTTTCAAGTATTTGAAAAGTGCTATCATATCACCCCTCAGTCTTTTTTCTATAGCTTATTGGTACATCTACCCTGTACATAGGTAGCATTGCTGATCCTTTAGCACTCCAACCTTGGGTGACCCAGGTGTTCTTAGACTGCAATTCCCAAAAGCCTTCACCAACAGCTGTGCTGGTTGGGGTTTCTGGGAATCGCAGTCCAAGAACACTTGGGTTGTCAAGGTTGGGAACCACTGCTTTAGCAGAACAGTGTAGAGTCAGGGGTCAAAAGGACCTTTGTATGGGTGGATGAAACTCAGCATCTAAGCTTTGGTGCTTTTAGACAGATAGCTGTGAGCATAACCAGTAAACAAGCCACTATGCAACTATTCCATCTTTCCATCCTTAACCGGGAGGGGAGAAAAACATAAGTACCACCATAAAACCAAAGAAGGGTAACCAGTGGAAGATGGTATCCTCTAATCATATGACACTCATAACATTCTGTGAATGAGGCAGAGCAATTGCATGCTGAGGGCATCATCTGAAAACACCAATAGTCTCCACTGTCCTGTTAGACACAGAATTTTTTTCAGAACATATTTGCACCCACAATTTCACTTGAAAAGAAAAACCAGCAGAAATCTGTGGAATTATTTGCATTTTCTGCTATTCAGATCAATGTGCAATAAGCTACTAAGCAAAAAACAAGATGGCAGTATCATCTAATTTTAATAACAATGTCTAGCAGGGTAGCTGTGTTAGTCTATTACAGTGGCACTCTAAAGACTAGCAAGTCTTATTTGCATAAATGTTCATGGATTGCATATGTGAAAGATTGTGCGAAATAACATGCATTATTCTTTAAGAATCATTGGCTTAAATCCAAGTAGTAAGTCAAATTAGAATAGGCCCATGGAATCAATGGAATTTACATTTAAGTGTTGACTCCACCAAATTCTCACTGATACAATGGATATGTTCTAGTTGTAACTTACTACTGGATTTCAGTCTTTGTTGCTTTAAATAAGAATGTGTATCAAAAGAGAAGTTATGAAATCTCTAGCCATGAAGAAAGATGTCATTATATCTGATTGCTTGACTGCATTATTTATAAATAGCTATATATTCCTATATTTACTCAACACAGTATGCCCAAGAGACTAGTCAAGATGGAATCATTATACCAGCCGCCTGATATAACTTGCCAAATCCTATTGTTCATATCTTTATTCTTTTATGAATGAGAGTTACACCTTTGAGTAAACACTGCTGTAAGGTACTACACCAAACTGTTGTAATCACATAAACTAAACACACGCTTGTAGCAAAATTTCATTCACTCCAGTATAATCAGACTAAATGAAAGCAACTGAAAGATCTACAAAAGACACAAGGATCTTCGGGTACTTCCAGACAGATCACCTGGAGCTCTTGAAAATCATTGCTCTTGCATTGTGAATTACAAGTGGAATGGCCATTCTGCATGTACTGTATCTTCACGTTACAATTTTCCATGTGTTCAAATTGTGACACTATTTTCCATATGCAACGGTACCCTTATCAGTACTCCTCCACCACTTTTGAAAGGCATGGTTCTACTTTGGACATCTGAAATGCTCAGCATGCATTAACTATGCCCCTTTCACTAGATGCTTTTATCACCTCTTAATTTTTAAAGCTCTTTTAAAAGTAATACCAAAAAACCCTTTAGGCATTTTTAAAAATGTAAACTATAGTAAAATACTGACTAAACAAAAATGTTCTATAATGATATACTCATACAGTTTTGAAAATGATGCCACAAAACTAGTAAAAGCAAAACTAGGGGGGGCTCTTTCCATTTCTGTCATTTTAGGAAGGAAGTATTAAGAGAAGTCTTTCACTGAATATTCTTTTCTTTTAAAAAGAGAAGCATTATAGAGTTATGTTATATTACACCAAAATATTTTTCTACAGAAGTAGCATTGTAGGTACAATTCTATTTCTAAACTTCAAAATTTCCAAAACTCATATTAAAACTACTTTCCCAGTCACTGGCAGTACAAGATTGAAAGATATATACAACAATATTTAAACGCAAACAGATCACCTTATTAAGACAACTGTATTAAAAGCAATTTAACAATCACATCATTTATAAAAGGGCAGCACACACTCCTCCATCAAAAATCCTTTCCTCAGAAGCCAATTGGTTGCTAGAAGCTGGCGTGAATAAAATGGTATTTGCTTGCCAGCAGAAGCACAGCACTGAAGTCTAGCCATTGAAGTCCACAGTATGCAATCAGCTCTCAAGGCAACTTTTGGTGGCATCCATACATGGTATAGGTCACTGTTCCCATCAAAAATACACCCCTAGCCACAGGAGGTCAGTAAAGGAATCTATACTTATGAATTACCTTCTTTCTTTAAAAATTCTAGACACATAGCAAGAAAAAAGACAGCACCAGAAATAGGACTGCAAGTGGATGACAGTATTTTATGGACATCCCCATGCCAGATATGAATGAATATTCCACGGTGATTGATAATTGTAGCCCTTTAAAATACAAAGACAAAGTGCTGAGGTGAAGTTTTGTATAGTCCAAATCTGCCACCACAGCAGATTGGCCTCAACAATCTATATGTTCATATAAGTATTCCATAAGCAAAAGAATGTGTTTGTTGCTCAAAACAAAAATACAAATTTATACCAGACATATGGAGTCAGATACATTCGTCAGATTTTAGATTATCAAAATACTTGAAATGGCCATACACATGTTGTAAAACATCTCTCTCACACATGCAATGTTTACATGAGAAGATAACACACTGCCTTCATGTGAATATACAGTATTTTGTTACAACTTAATCAATATTTCTGTCTGATACGGGCAATTCCAAAAAGACAGGGTTTTTTAACACAGGACTTAACAGCCTGAAAGAAAGAAATGCTGGCCACAACTGAGGTGGGTGAAAGAAATCAGCCTTCTTCAATGTGGTGCCTTTCAGATGTACTGGACTACAACTACAGTCAACCCTAGTGGATGGGAGTTGTAGCCCAGTGCATGTGAAAGCTAAACAGTCTCAGCAATCCTAGTTGTGGTGCCCAAGTCTCCCTAAAGAAAGCTTAGCACTCGGTCAGAGAGTTTGACAGGCCACTTACCTACACCTTTGCACTGGGGCAAGTCCCAAGACCTCAGCAGTATGTAGCATAAGCTCTTTGAACAAGTCTGACCTTAAAAGAACACTTTACTTTTACCCAGTACTTTGCAAGTACAGACACATGGGCTTTGTGATTCCTTAGAACTCACAACAGCTCAGTTAGATAGAGAGTTTATGGCCCTCTCCACTCCCTGGATTTAGCCAGACCCTGCTGTTCAAGAGACCAGTCCTTTTGTAAGAATTTTTATAATTTATTTTTATTAGAAAAATAGAGTTTCTTAGAATCAGTTTATATTGCACAAAATTTAGCATAAAGAACATATTCAAAGATCACTACAGTTAAATAAAACAACTAATCCCTATTAAAATAATAAACACTACTAAGCTGAGCTAAGGTGGGCTAACCCCACCTCCTTCTTTCTCTACTTATATCCTCTCTCAATTAAGTTCCTTTCTCTCCCATCATCATGGAATCGAATCTCAGAACAAAACTGGATCTCCTTCCTCTTTCACATAACCCATCGTCCATTTTCTACATTCTTTAACTCCTCCCTTCTTGACACTTCATGGCTGTTAACCCATTAGCCTCAAGAGGCTGTAAAACCTTCCTCCTCCCTTAATTCCCTTTAAATTCCAATTGGCTTGGAATGTTGAGTCTTCCAGGGCCCCTTAATTTGACCTTCAGCTCTATTTCGAACCATGCTGTACCGATCTTTAGAAAAACACTCTCAAAGCACTTAGAAAAACACATTCCAATGTCTCTCAAATCATCTTCACACAGAACCTGTCTGACTCCAGCTTACATTTCTCTGACTACATATCCATACTACTTCAACTCAATGACACTAGTAAATGCACAGCAACACCAAAACAAACATTCAAAGCAGTTAAGGCACAACCAACCATTTAAAAACTCCACTAAGGCAGCCAGTCACTAAGGAGAAGCTTGCCTGAAGGGAAAAGTCTTTGCCTGCTTGCCCAAGGACAGCAAAGGTGGGGCCAACCTGGCCTCCTGTGGGAGGGGGTTCCAGAGCTTGGGAGCAACAACAGAGAACACCCTCTTGCATGTCCCCACCAAGTGTACCTGCGAGGGTGGTGGGACTGAGAGAAAGGCCTCTCCTGGTGATCTTAACATCCAGGCAGGCTCATAGAGAGAGATGCAGTCCTTGAGATAGCTTGGCTTTCTAGGCTGGGAGCAACACTTTGAATTGTACAGGGAAATCAGCAACCGGTGGCCTTGTAACGGGGGGGGGGGGGGGGGGCACGCCTGGGCCAGGGCGCGGAGTGAGCAATGTGCATACTGCCTTTTGCACCCACTGACGTTTCCAGAGGAGGCTGCCCCAGGTAGAGTTCATTACAGTAGTCCAACCAGGATGTAAGGAAGGGATGTGCCACCGTGGCCAGATCAGATCTCTCCAGGGCACTCGTTTCAGTTGTGCAAATTGCACCCTCTATCCTACCTGACAAAAGAAGATACTGTACAGGGGACAGATGACCTGTCCACATCGCTGCCACAGGCCGGCAGCGGCTGCCCAGAAGCTGCCCCATCTCAGTCAGCCCCGTGAGGCTTGTGTGCCCCATCGGGGCTTCCTAATCGGGAAGCCCACCACCTCCTGATTGTCCCCAAGAGTGCCAGGCAGGGCTCAATAGCAGACGGAGGAGCTCTGCAGAATTCCCCCTTTACTCCCTCCACCCCCTCCCCAACACGGAGCAACGTGGGGGCGCCCAGCAATAGCCCTCCATGAAGCCGACTGTTCCATTTTCACACGGCAGGCAATTCGGGCGGGAGGTGAGCGGGTCCCTTCCACCTTGCAGCCCGGCGAGCGGCGGGTGGACATGAGGCAGGGACGGGGATGAGCCCCCCCCCGGGTCTCTCCCGCTTACCTTTCGGGGGCGCCATGGCTCCCGGAGAGGAAAGAATCAGCTGGAGGACGTGGAAGCCCCGCCCTCCTCGGGAACCCTCCCCTTGCAATACCGAGAGCGGCACTGGGCGGCTAGAACGGCCACCACCCGGGATGCCGCCACGCTCTCCGGAATTACTCCATTCCGTCTGCCGGAAGCAAAATACTGTTGAAGGTGCCCCTAGATTTACGAAAAATAGAACACGATGTACCTCACCTGGAGAATAATGCTCCCGTCCTGTGCTCTTCCATACTAATCGGACAGAATGTATAACGTTCGCATGTTTCAGAACTCTGCGAAATCATGTCTTCAACACAAAATAAGGCCCAAATAAGAAACAGTGAGACCCTTTGCTTCTCCCCTAAAAGGCACTCATTTTAATGAACATTTTTTTAAGGGAAGCCTTCAGTCCTATCCCAAGGAGGAGGGAAAAACCTGAAAGAACCAGGAAGTGCCGGATCACCGTGAAACAAAGAGTCGATCTTCATTGTTAATCTCTATGGAACCCTCGTGCAAAAGAGGCGGGAAATGGATTTGGTATTTCGGAATGGAAAGGAACAAAGGGGAAAAAATTGTATCTATTAGTCATTCCATTTTTTTGACGGGAGATGTTTCAATTGTTTTGACATTATGGCAGTTTCATAGAGTGAGGGAGAAGGAATCTGCCCTGTAAGGCAATCATTTTGTCGCTTACCTTGATTTGGGATTTTCCCCCGCCGCACTCACCCACATCCATGGACTAGCACAGCTAATTATGCTTTTTCTCACTCAGATGGTAATAAATGAGCACTTTCATTGGTGAAGTTCAGGATTCTGAATTACGAACATCAAGAACAGAAAATAGGAGACAGACTAGTACATGGTCATTCTAAAATATGCCGTCCCCATTTTTCAAAATATAAATAATTAAAAACCCATAATTAAAAACTGGCCACAGTCCCCTCCTTCCATATTGCAACTGAGATAAGGAGTAAAGGTATGTGGTTTAGGTTGCAGTATGGAGAGATGTGAAAGCTGGACAATGAAGAAAGCTAACAAAAAATTATTTGAAATGTAGTGTAGGAAATTTTGTTTATGGTGCCAGTGGGTACGACATCAAATCAAGCCTGAGTTTTTTGAACAAGTGGCCAAACTGAGGCTATAGTACTTTGGGCACATCGTAAACCTCCCCCCGCCGCCACTTGGGTTTTTGATGGATTTCAAGTACTTGGAAATGTTTTACTGGTCCCTATCTTGGGTAGTACTCTGGGATATGTAGCTTGTCCAAGGAAGGCAGCATGGGTAGTAGAGCACTTTACCCTATCACACTCCAGACCAGCCCCTCTGCTGGGCAGCATAATGGAGATTGCCCTGGTACTCCAGCCCAGTGAGCAATACTCAGAAATGAATCTTGTTGAGCCAGACCAGCCCCTCTGCTGGGCAGCATAATGGAGATTTGAATTCCTGGACCCTGGTACTCCAGCCCAGCGAGCAATACTCAGAAATGAATCTTGTTGAGTTCGGATGGTTTTTATTCCCAAGGAAATGGGCATAGGATTGAAACACTCATACTCCTCTTGCAGGGGATGGGAGGCAAAAATTCAGGGACTGAATCTGAATGTTAGTGCTCATGCACTTCAATTGTATGTAGTCATATTGGTGCTTTAAAGCAGTAGTCCCCAACCTTGCACCTCTAGATGTTGTCAGACTACAACTCCCAGAAGCCTTCACCACCTCTGCTGGCCAGGATTCCTGGGAGCTGAAGTCCAAGAACATCTGGAGGCCCAAGGTTGGGGATCCCTGCTTTGAGGTACTCTGTCTGAGTTATCTAGCATCCTGTACTCTTGTTCCTTTCCCCTGCCGACTGCTGTGGCTTCAGGGTTCCCAGTCCCTCTCATGGTCAGTCAGTCCATTCTTGGGCTCTGGGTGGAAGTGCCATGGCCTACCCACAGGGGTATCCTGACCTCTGGCCCCTCCACAGACAACCATAATTACCCCTGTAGACTGCATCTTGGATAAGCTATTTACCCACCTCCTGCCAGTTGTGCACATGAATTCACACAAGCACAATCTGTGCTTTCCCTTTGAGACAGGAAGAATGAAAAAAGAATTGCAATACCTGCAAGTCACCTCAGGTAGTCTAAAACCTCCATGCAGGATAAGTGTGTGTGTATATATATATAAAGGAAGCAGGCAGTCCAAGCAAATACAAAAAAGCTCATTTTCCATTGCTGCTTGTGAACAAATACTGGGATGATACTCCCAACCTTATTCTAGATGGTGTGGAAAATGCTGTCAGAGCATGCTGCAATTGTCTTCAATGCATCCCACAATTCATTATATGGAATAATTGTTACATACAGCACTGATGTTACCTGTCTGTCATGGGTTTGGAGGGAAAGTTCCATCCTATGGGGAGTGGAAGGCGGGACATCAGGAGGAGGGGCTGTACTGTATATATATGTGAAGCGTGTGTGGAGAGTTTAGGAGAAGCTGGAGGAAAAGCTGAGAGAAGAAGCTTGAGTGGGAGTCTGTGTGTCAGACAGGGTACTACTGTGTGTCAGAGTACCAACCTGATAGGTTCAGGTGTCTGTTGGTTAGCCAGAACTGATAGGTTCAGGGTCTGTGCTTCAAGTTAAGGGTTCTGTGTGAACCAAACTGTGTGTATGTATGAGTGA